GGTATGCATGAAGCCATTTCAGTCGAAGTGGGTAACGGCAGAAATTAAAGACTACCGTAAACTGAAATCGGAGGACAGAGAAGATTTGCAGGAGCTTGCAATGTTTTTCCCTGATTCAGAAAATGAAAAGCGAATAATTCCGGAATCTGGAATAGTTCGGGTAAAAACAAACGGAAAATTGCAAGTGTGTGTTACGAACTTGTCTTTCGAAGCACAAGTTATTGACCGCACTGTACCGCTTGGAGAAGTGGAGGCGTACGAGGCAGTGACGTCACATTTGTCGACGGTGAAACCAGAAACCGACAATCAGGATGAAGCTGCGATGTACAATATGGAAACTCTGGATGAACCAGAAGTTGCTCCCGAACAGGAACAGTTGATTCAGTCAGCTAAGATCAGTTCACAGGCTTCAGAAGCTGAACGTGAAGCACTGTTAAAATTATTACGCACGCATTGCGTAATCGTACCAAGCAAAGAAAGGCCTATTGGATGTTGTAAACTGTACGAGCATCCGATAAATACAGGAACTCATGCACCGATACGAGTACCTCCTTACCGCACAAGTTACGCAGATAAGAAGTTTCTGCGTCAGAAGACGGCGGAAATGCAGGCAGATGGGATAATCGAACCCACAGATAGCGCGTGGGGTTTCCCGATTTGTCTCATACCCAAGAAGATGACGACCGAAAAGCGAGTTACGGTCGATTTTCGAAAATTGAACAGTTGTCTTGATGGATCAAGCTATCCGATGCCGAGGATTGATGATATCCTTAGCCAACTCGGAAACGCGAAATACTTTTCAAAAATAGATTTGAAAGCAGGATTTTGGCAAATCAAACTCAAGGAGTCAGATAAACATAAGGCCACGATGATAGGCCCAGAATCGTCGTACCAATTTAAGGTTCTTCCTTTTGGGATAAAAGATGGTCCCACCGCTTTTCAGAGAGCGATGGATATGACACTGGGAAATTTAAAAGGCATAATTTGTTTTGTCTTCGTGGACGATATTATTGTGTTCTCAGCTACAAAAAAACAGCATCAAAAAGACCTTGATGAAGTGTTCGCCCGCCTTGCGGAGGCAGGTTGGACAATAAATTTGGAAAAGTGTGAATTTTTCCAAGAGTCCTTAACATTCCTTGGGCACGTTGTGGATGGAAATGGTATCCACACTGATCCCGAAAAAGTTCATGCAGTTATGAACTTCGGACCTTTTCGAAATGTGAAAGACATCCAGCGCTTTAACGGAATGGCTGGATTTTACCGCCGATTTATTGCGAATTATGCAAAACGGGCCGAGCCGTACACACGCTTGATCAGAACAGGCGTCAAGTGGGAATGGGGCCCGGAACAAGAGGCAGCTGTGCAAGATATTAAGAAAGCATTATGCGATGCTCCAGTTCTTGCACGATACGATCCTCATGCTCCGATCAGTCTGTATATCGATGCATCCGGTATAGCTGTGGGTGCAGTTATGAAACAGCTGATCGGAGATGAATGGAAACCGATCGAGTTCATGAGTGCACAGTTGAAGCCAACTCAAAAGCAGAACTATTATCCAACAGAGTTGGAATGTTTTGCGTTGATTTCGGCGCTGAAGAAATGGCGTCATTATTTGTCGGGACAGAAGTTTGACGTCTATACGGACCATTCAGCCCTTCAGTACTTGAGAAACATGAAGGATATGGGAGGCCGTTTGGGACGATGGGCCATCATGGCACAAGAGTACGATATGGTCCAGAAATACATAAAAGGCAAAGAAAATGTGGAAGCAGATGCCCTGTCGAGAAATGAGGGCATACAGCCAAATGAACCGAAGTCAGGAGATTCCTGTGAGATTCCAGATTATTTACCTAACTGGAACGATAAGCAGGTGAATGCTGATGATAAAGCCACACTGGCTTCAGCAGAACTGCATCAACATATGAACATGTTGAATCATGAAGTTCTCGGTGTGAAGGCAAATGAGCAGTTCGAGTTCTTCAAACCCGATCAGGCTAAGTTTTGGGAAGAAGAACAGGAGAAAGATCCACAAATTCGGATGTGGATTTCTTTGGTAAATGATCCAACTCAGAATATGAGTAATGGACAGCGTAAAGTGTTGAAGCATCTCGTAATTAGAGACGGCGTACTGTACTACCGCCGTGTTCACAACGACGGTTACTTGTATTTGTTTTACGTGCCGGCCCAGTGGCGGCTGCAACTAACACATGAGAGTCACGATGTGCCGTATGCTGCCCACTTGGGACCGGATGCTACGTATCAGAAAATGGTCAATACGATGTTCTGGCCAAAATTACGGACGTTTGTTATCAAGTATTGCAAAACGTGCGATGCGTGTCAGAGGAGAAACCCTCTGAACAAAGCACCCGCTGGGTATGAACAGACAGTTCCGGTGGCTAATCCTAGAAGAGTGTGGGCGATTGATGTGGATTCGTCCCTTCCTCTCTCAAAGTCAGGGAACCGCCACCTCATCGTAGCGCAAGACTACGGAAGTAAGTTTGTTGTGGCGCAGGCTGTGCCGAAAAACGACAAATTTGCCGTGGCGGATTTTTGTTCCGCCGAATTGTGTCGGTTTATGGATGCATGGAAAAACTGATATCCGATCAAGGAACGAATTTCATGAGCGAGCTGTTTAAAGAACTCGCTAATTTGATGGGAATTACGCATATTCCGATTACCAGCCACCATCAACAGGCCAATGGCATGGTGGAGAAAAGGATCGGAGAGTTTAACAAAGCTATCAGTAAATACGTTTCGTCTAAGCAGGATGACTGGGATAATTATATCCCAGCATTGTGCATGGCTTTTAACAGCACTGTGAATTCGAGTACTGGCTGCACACCAGCATTGTTGATGTTTGGCACTGAGTTACGGCTACCGATTAACAATTTCGTGCCTGAAGTGGATAAAAACTTCGAAATTCCTGTGTACCAGTATACACAGCAGATACAGGATGCGTTGGGCGATGCGATTCAAATCGCCCGTACAGGTGAACTGATGAGGAAGAATCGTGATAAGGCACGATATGACTCTCATCGGAAAAGTGAAAGTTATAAGAAAGGAGACATCGTAATGCTACGGGAGAAAAAACGCCTCCCGGGCAAGTTGATGAAATTTTGTGATTTGTGGTTAAGCGGTTATGAAGTGCTTGAAAAACTAGATGAGATTAATTATCTAGTGCGTTCGCTTCGTGGCGGAAAAGCACGTATCGACAGAGTTCATGTCGAGCGAATGAAAAAGTATAATCCGCGGATGGCACATAATTATGTTGTGCCGGAAGAGCCGAAAACGGACGAATCAGTTTATGATTTTACGCATAAATCGAGGAAAATGGGAAAACAAGTCAAGGTCGGTCAAGATCATGAAGATGATCTTGATAACGACCCGGTTGAAGATGGAGATACCGAGAAAGACGAATCTAAAATTTGCCAGACCCTGGATCAGTGATGCCTAGCGCGCAAGGCGTGCCGGTGCAAAAGTCTCGTGCAGGTAGAACACTGCGACAGACTAAGCATTTCGTACAAGAGTAAAGTGTACGAGTAGTACTGAACGAGTACAGACAGTATAAAGGTAGATGCGAAAGAGCGCATCTGATTTAGTGCTGTTTCTGTCTAGTCGAAACTTCTTCAAGTTTTATTGATTTACTTGAAATTCGTGACCTTTTAATTGGGTCAGTGTAGTACTTATCCATGGTTACGGTAGTTATCACAATGGGTGATCGTTCATTGTATGACATGTTGGAGCTGGCCTTGTATGGACGTGGCCAGCGTCGTGGTCGATGGAATGCGCGAAACTATCGTCAGCGCCGAGGAGCCGATAATCAGGGCAATAATGGGCCTCAGGGAGCGAACGGGAATGGAGCCCAGAATGGGAATCGCCGTTGTTTCCGCTGTGGCCAAGCCGGTCACATGTTGCGTGATTGCCCAGCTACGAATGGAGGGCAACAGGGGAATCCCCCAGCAGCTGCCGTGAACCAGTTGGTTGTCCAACCAGGACCGGTCCAAGGACCTCAGAATTTGCCGCAAGAACCGGCAGGGAATCAGGTCCAGGTGGCCGTAGATGCTTATGATGCGCTGCCACCGAAAGAAGGATGGCGTGACTATACGTATGAGCAACGCTATACAGCGCTGGCTCGTTGGTACCGACACCCAGAGTTGGCCCCGGAGGACTGCAGCTGGGCCGAATGGGTCATGTATAAGGCCAATGTGTTGACTGCGCCGCCAGCCCCTGTGGACCAGCAGGCTGGACAGGATATGGACGCCAATCAAGATGAGTTGCTGGACTATGAGGATCCATTGTAATCTACCGGTATAGCGTGGTAGAATTATTTGGATTTTTTAACCTGAATTTTGGTAACCTTTGGTAAGGTTTAGCAACACCAGCAGGGGTAATAATGCTGGATTGTTCCTTGCTGAATTTAGTTGAAGAGTAATTAACATTATTTCAATCAGTTTTGTGGAATTAACTGAAGTTGTGCTATCGCATAAGGTTGACCTTTCGTTACAGCATTGCATGTCGCTGTACTATTGATTTGTTGTGTTAATTGTCTATAATTAATGGAGGCATTGGTTAATAGTCATTTGCGGTGTCGCGCAAAGAATGAATTGTAACATGCGAATGTTGATTAATAAAATTCCGATAAAAGACGAGAGTTTTCGCTTCGCTGCATAGTAGAAGTAAAACTGTACGAGTATAAAACGTACAGGAAATATCAGAACGGAATATGACCCAATATTGCATGCAGTAGTGCTGCACAAAAAGGAAAAGTACAGATCAAAAGAACTTGTGAAAGTATTTCACAAAAGAGTTGAAAATATTACTCAGAAATGAGAAAACTGCATTGTCGTTGCATGCGCAGAAACATAGCAGTATGAGTACGTACAAGTATAGAAGTATGTAAGTAGTGTATGCAATCAGCCAGCATGATTGGATGACTCATACGAAAAAAAGCATGCTTGAGCACGTGCTGCAACTTGCACTTAATTCGCAAAAAGCTCATTGCAGTTTGGTTCTTGCGTACGTTTTCGCGGTGAAAAAGTTTTACGTATTGACATCGTAAAAAGTGCATTTTGAAACTATTTTTTCACTTTGTCGGAAACATCTTGAGCAAAATTTTCAAGATTGTGTGCGTATCAGACGGTAAAATGGCAGGAAGAGGACGACTGCGCTCTGTAAACCCGCAGCCAGCGGTCCTGAAGTCATCTGGTATCGCGACCTTCACGGATGAAGATGAAGAGGTGTACCAACGCTACATGCAGCTGATCGACCAGGAGAGTGATAATCCTGGAGTTCCAGCAAAGGAAGTCCAAAAAGACGTTCGAGTAAGTGATCAAGTAAAGAAGAAACTTGATTGCAATGGCAGAATGTGTTTCCTGCATGTGGGTACCATATTGTCATATCTGGATGTATGACTTTCCAGATGCGCTCTCGATTTGGACGAGTGCTTGGCGATAGTGCACAGGAGATGGTGGAGAAAGTGCAGCCACCAGAGAAACCAGAGGATAAGCACGTTGCTTTTCAGGATCAACAGAAAAAAGTGGAGGGAAAAGAGAACCCTCAAATTCCGAAGTTTCGTTTGTTGGACGAGCAGAAAGAGACTGCTCCAAAAAATAATGAAATGGGCGTCCAAAAAGCCATGGAGAAGGAAAATGCCATGGGGAGAAACGCCATCACCTCCGACACCTTATTCAAGAAGATTTCCCTCTTGACAGTGGAGGAAAAGAAGAAACTGAAGATTGGTGGACTGCCTGCAGTAATTGAACAGCAGCAGAACCCTCAGATGGGCGACAATGATGGACAGACCACAATTGTCCCGAGTGTCATGGCCGTGCTGCGCGAGATGTTGCAGGGATCGTTGGATATGCGCTACCGAAAGATCTGCATGCGAATGTTGCAGAAAAGCGCCTGGACGGAGTGGCTGGAGATGCTGAAACAGATTTCAGCGTACGTGGATGTGCTTCCGCCGTTCCAGAATGTGAACAACGATCACTGGATGAATTACGAGCAACCTAATCTTGCTCAGTATATGGACGTCACTGTGACGATATGGCCTTTCGGAAGTTGCGGTTGTTCCAGCAAGAAGCCAACCAATTGATTCGGTTTCGCGTTGTGTCAGCGACGAACAATCGCCACATTACCACTCAAAAATAATCTCGTCATTCAAAATGTTGACGAACGTGGCTCAGTTTATTTGCGATCATATGGACCGTATCGAAGAAGTCCCGTATCTGATCTCATACGATTTTGATCAAAAAGCGTTTCACCAGAAAAAGTCGGTGAGGTTGGTGCAACAGAGCGCGGTGTACAAGAACACCGGATTGCTGCGGAAGTGCGCCAGACAGCGGGAAACCTGGTAGCGCAAAATTTTGCACGCGAACGAAACAACGTGCAGAAGCGTATGGCGGAAGCAGTGGATGACTTGCAAAAGATTCACTTTGGTACTCCATGGTTTTGGAGAGTGTTTCATGCATTGAAGGTGGTACTGGACGGACTGGCAGCGCGATACGGACTGCCACGTTACGTTTTCCAGCCTGAAGGAAGCGAAGTTGCCCCAGTATTTCGTACCTACGAACGTTGGTACGAGTTGGCCCCAGAAGCACAGCAGGCTGCCCGTAATGTGCAGGGCATGTATATTCTGGAACTCGACATGTTGCGAGCGCTGAAGAAAAACCGCCAGGAAATGGAACTGACCCTGGCTGCCTACAACCTTCCCCCACCGACGAACACCATCACTTTCCCTTCGGAACTCACCACGGCCATCAAAAGCCTGGAGCAGAAAGAACGCGAGGATCCAGTTGCGTCAAAGCGGATGTCGGATGCCCGACAAGGATGGATGACCGCGGCGTATGCGCTGAGTAACCTGGAGCGACAGTGAGTCCAGGACGGAACCGATACAGGACGTGTGGTGGATGTGACGGACCGCGATGGCCTTAAACTCGGTAGATAAACCTCCCTAGGGGAGATCTCTTATGTTGTTGCGTTTTTGTTGTTTTTGTTAGTGTCCTCCGCGGACGGAGGCGTTATTTGATGCGGGGATGACGCGGTGGTGGTAGGAAGCGTCGTACATGCAGACTTTTGTACGAGATTGGTGTTGCTTATGTCGCCGCTAATTGGTTGATAATTGCTAGCTTCTGTGACTCACTAGCGCCAGATTGATCCCATGTTAATTGCGGCGTTATCTCTCTTGAATTTTGATATGCAATTTAGTCTTGACTGGAACATCTATGGAATTGCAATTTAATAACAACATCCTGAATCTGAGATCTCTCGTGTCTTCTAGTAGCGAAAGCAGTAGCGTGTACCTACCGGAAGTCACATCCCTTTTACTAACTCTGGATAATTACATCTTCCAGATAACTCTCGTGCACGTAGGAATAGGTAATAGTTTGGTAAGTAGAGCTTCGACATAAGAAAACATTTATCTTTCTTATTTTCCCACTTTGTCGATTGAGTAAGGTTTGGTCATCTAGTGCGGTAGTCGTAGTGCGACTTCCGCATAGCATGTCAGTATCTGCTTTACTTATACGTACTTATATGTTCACTGCGGTTTCTAAGAGAAGTATCCCTGATTACCGCAAAGGATAATTAAGTGTTCAACGCTTGAATAATTCTATAGATTGGAGATGTCCCTCACGATGGGAGCTACCAACTGATTGTAGTGGCCACTTGTGGCGGGACCACGAGAACTGAAACAAGCGACCTGATGCTGATGGTTGTGGATAATACCGTTTTACTGCAAACCGATAAACCCATCTACCGACCAGAAGATGTAATTCACTTCCGAGTGATCGTTTTAGACGAGCAACTTCGGCTCTCCCGGAATGTCCAGACGGTCAGCGTGTATCTAAAGGTGAGCACGTCAAGGCGCAAATCTGCTCGTTCTTATATATTTTAAGAACTTCTAGAGTAAATAAAATCAGAATTTTACTTCCCCCACAACCGCCCAACCGGACGTTGCGCGCACAAACGGGTTTCCCGTCAATGGACAGATGCACAAATCATCTGACTGCAGAATGACACAGTGGAAAAAAATTGTCTCTGTATGGCAAAGTTTCTGTGCACGTACACGAAAATGGTACCATGCAAAATAATACTATCAGATTCTGCCCTCGTATGTATCGGTCTACTTCCTTAAGCGACCTACACCCAAGTGACGCAACTCCCGACTAATAACTTATGAAGAAGCATGTTACAGGACCCTGTGGGCGAAATTAACTGGCACAAAAGTCTTTCATGGCAGAACGACAAATGTACGCTAAAAGTGCTCATTACAACCCTACAGTTGACCTTCCATTTACAAATAAAACGCCATTTCCCCTATTGCAGTCCCGGGATTTTTTAACGGAACCATTGAACCTTTGCCGCTTGAACCCGAGTTGGGGGAGTGGTCTATCGAAGTCCTGGAGGTTGACGGCAAAAAAATAGCGTCGAAACGCATTTCGGTATCCAATTACGGTAACCAGCTAGCTGTCGTCGGCGAGTTGTTGCTGCTGGAAACTTATCGTACTGACAGAGTTTTGCGTCTAGAACTTCCTAAGTTCTCAATAAGCATCACCGGACCGGCTTATATAATGCGAGATGACAGTATAATGCTCTTCGAAATCTCCCTCAAGTAAGTTTACAATGTTTAGTGTATTTATCCGTTCTTTTTAAATTTTAACAAGCGCCAAATTGAAACTGCCTGCGCAGGGATCACTTCGGGCACCCCATAAGAGGAGACGTCCAGATCTTTGTTAGCGAAGGGGAAAGTGTCATCCAAGAATCTATGCCCCAGGTAAGCTCACACTCTAGACACCACTTGGTTTCAAAGTCCACACGATTACTGAATGGGTTGGGTTAAACTGCACAGATGATCACCGCCAGCGGCCGCATCACCGTGCCCATCGATCTCAACGAGGACGGTAAAGTGAACTGCAAGGGCAGCGCAGCCGGTCCGCACATGCTGAACATAACAGCTACGGCGCGGGAACTGACAACCAACCGAAAGGTCATCACGACGCAGAACTTTCCCGTCTTCTGTGACCGCTTGCAACTGCTGGCTTCCATCCCGTGGCAGAGCTTCCAACCGGGCTTCGCGGTCAACGTGACCATCCGCGCGGTCATGCCAGACGGACAGCCGTATGTGCTCGGCCCATCCGACTTTGACGAGGAACCGTGCAGCGGCGAGCAACTAGATGATACTGAGCCAGAAAGCAATGAAGACCCCGACGACAGCGAGTCACCAGAAATCAGTAGCCCGGCGTACTCTCCTTTGACGATTGACACAGCTTTTCGGATGGATGCCAGTACGCTGGTCATACCGGTGACGACGGCGTCCAGTGCTAAGGAAATGGAGCTGACCTGTACCGTAGGCGAACTGAGCCGGAAATTTAAATTTCCACGACACAACGGTGTGTTGGCTACCATCCAGATGGAACGCGGGCAAATGTTTCGGGTTGGCGATGTCGTACGGTTTTCTGTGGCTTGCACGCAAGGCTGCACTACGATGGAGATAGTCGTAAGTTCGACCGTTCCGCATCTATGTGTGGAAATCGATTTGCCTGGATTGTGCAAATGCGTAGGTCGCGTCCCGACAAAACGTCTTGTATTCAAGGACCTATAACATGACGAACGAGCACAGCGGGCCGCTATCGCTTCAAGTGACGGCAGATATGGTCCCGACGACCAGCCTTGTCGCTTATTTTGTCGCATACGGAATCCCTGGCAGTGACATGGTGGAATTCCACGTGCAGCAAGCCTCCTTGTTAACAAATGTACGCTTTATATCTTCTTGACAGTTTTGTTATCGGCCAATAACTGACAAGTGTAAACACTAAAATTACGTCAGTTGCATAAAGCTGCAGTATAAAGACAACGTCTGCACAGTTGACCGTTACCGCCGTCCCCGAGAATCTCCAACGCGCACACCTTCGTCCCGGATTAGGGGAGAAGGTGCGGATCAACGTACAAGCATCCAAGAACACTCTAGTAGCTTTCTTGGCGGTTGACAAGGGGCTACGGCAGTTGGATAGCACATTCGACAACATAACAACCGAGGTAGCCAAGTGTGCAGATTTTCCAGGGTGCCGCAATGGTATGCTAGGAATGTGTGTGTAAACAGATTGGATCGCATCCTGCACCACCCGCAATTGCATTCGGGTCGGAAAACGATGATCTAGCTGCTTTCTCAGTACGAATTCCTCAAGTTCTCTTAGTCATATAAATGTTGTTTCTGATTTCACGCATTGCTATGCTTCAGAACGCTGGCCTTATCGTGCATCTCTTCACCCAGGACATTCCTGATTCATTTTCATCCGGCAGAAAACGTATGTACTTGTTTTTCAATGTCGCCGAAATATTATTTTTTAAATTATTACCACATTTGACACTATGCACGGTTATATCTTAGCGTTGACAATGTAATGAACATTATAGGGAAAAACAAGCCCGCCAAAAAACCGACCGGTAAAATTCTGCGGCAGGATTTCCGAGATAGTTTTCTGTTCTACACTGGGGCCACAGAGTAGGAATGCGATTCAGTTAAGGAGAATTCTCCTGTCAACGCGTGGTTTAATTGCGCAGTGATCAGGGCAAGCTGCGGCTTGTGGAACAACTGCCGGACGCCATCACAACGTGGTCCATAACCGCATTTGCGGTGGGCTTGGATACACCGCTGGCAATCACAACGACTCCTACAGAGGCTAGAGAAAACCTTTGCAATCTGCTTTTTTAAACGCTTTGAATATGGCGAGCATAGCAACGAGAAAGACGGTAGCTGGATTGCTCTATTTGATAGGTTCACGTCGTCCAAGACGCGTATATAGACATGCCCGTACCGGTAACCTTAATCGAGAACGAGGTGGTCTTCTTGAAAGCCACCGTCTACGCCAACGCTTCCGATCCTCTGCGCGCAGATCCTTGGAAACTCGTGGTGGAGATTGGATATCCGCTGCTCTCCAAGACATTCGCCTTTGACTACACCGGCAACGCTGACAACGTCCAGTTTTACCAGTTTCGTTTCGGGCCGTACAAGGCTAGTACACAGACTATCACTGCTTCACTGCTGCAAGGCAATGAACTGATTGACCGGGTGCGCAAGAACGTCACCATAATCAGGAGCGGTACAGTTAGGATTCGCACATCGGATACGTACTTGCTAAGAAACGGTAGTACGATCCATGTGCCGATCCCGCTGCCCGAACATAGCGCAGCTGTGGTGCCGGATTCAAAACAGTGCACTGTTCAGATGTACAGTAAGTTGTAGTTGCTCCTCCGAAGTTTAGTGTCAGGCGGAATTTGGTAGTGGTCCTGATGCAGCATGTATGTGCGTATGCATTGCAGGTGACGCTTGGGGCTCGCTGCTGCAACAGGTTGCGTCTTCTACCAATGTTCAAGATTATGACCATTTAGCCAAACGCAAACTAACAAGCCGCTCATGCGATCACACCGTCGCCTGGCTAATGACCTTCGGCCTTTTGCGGCAACATCTGCAGCGCCTTCAACATTTTGACACGGTCCAAGTTAAGGAACTACTGGATCGGCTCTCTCGTAATATTAGAAACCGTACGTCTTAGTAATCAGTTGCCATGTTTTTCTCATGTATACGGTCCGTACCATACAGTAAGTTTACAGTTGTTACGGTTTTCATAGTGCGAGTCGGCCAGCAGCCATATGGTCCGCAACGTTCCCGCAGCAAAGTGGACGGGCAGCAAGCATACGGACTGAAGCGTTTCCGCAACAAAGTGGATGGCTCGTACAGGTACGAATGTACGGTAATTTAGTTTACTCTATGCATAATGTCGATGGAATTCAATTAAACTCCATTTTAAATAAAAAAGCACACTCTTGGGCGAAAAAGATAAAGCGTACACTGAGTTAAGACCCGTCTTGAAAAATTTTTGATAACGCCTCGTAATTCCCTGAAACCGTTTAAAAATTGCAGCTTAAAAGGCACCCAAGCCACTCCCGGGTCGACATGGCTGACCGCATCGGCCATCCGCGCGCAGCTGCTGACCAGGGACGTGGTACCGGTAAATCGCACGTTGCTGTCAAAGTCACTGGCCTTTTTGGATAGTCGCTTGGACGGCGCCACCGGCATGTTCGCCGAGAAGGGCGGTACGCTGGATATTAGCATGCAGGGTGGTGCGAGAACACAAGTCAGCCTGACCGCTTTCGTCCTGCTGGCGTACATCGAGGCGGAGCACCATAGTACCACCATGCAAATCGCACAAGCCGCGCTGGAGCGCCATTTGTCCGGATTAAACAGCACCTATGAAATGGCCATCACGTGCTTGGTACTGCAAAAACTGCAGAGCCCGGCGTACAGCCCGTGTCCGAGCAAGCTGCTCGCCGCTGCCGAAACTGCTCCAGGAATTCTCTACTGGCCAGCACCCAAGATTCGACGCAATCGCAACGCATCGCACGACATTGATGTGGAGACCACCGCCTACTCCCTGCTGGCACTCCACGGCGCTGACAACGTCACCGATGTGGGACCGATTGCCAACTGGCTGATGTCGCAGCGGACTCCCAACGGGGAGTTCCGAGCGACACAGGTACGCAGTGTGCCGTTGTTTAGCCGGTATGATCAGCAATGGATTTTCAGGATGTTTGCAGAATGAAGTCGTATTGCTGTACGCCATGAGTGAGATGGTGTTGGATGTCGTCCATTCCACCAAACCTTGCCAAATCCATGTGGATTTTGACAACGGCGAGTCATGCGAGATGCATTTACGCTCGGATGAGATTGAACCGCAGATGGAAGACGTACCGCTGTTGTCTAGCGCAGTGACGTTGAGCAATTCCGGGGAAGGCACCTGTCGAGCCGTGATCAGCTGCCGGTACAACGAGGTCGTTGTACAACTTGCTGAGCAAGCGAGCCAGCTCAGTGCGAGCCCAACCGACGGGGAAGTGGAAATCACAACGAAACTGGTAGCCGACACAGACGCCAACCAACTCACTCTGGAGATTTGTCTAGCGTGAGTTTACGGAACAGCTTGGTTAGTTGCACCTGCATCTTGTACGAGCTTGTATTACGACTGCTTTATGCAGCGCGGATCACAATATTATATCGACCGCAAAGGTCAATCGTCACGAAGGCGTGGGCAGAAAAATTAAAACCTTAGAAACCTATGAAAGCTAAGAAGCTCGAACCTAGGAACACAGCACGGTATCCGATAATTACTGTAATTATGTCCGCCTAGGTTCGACGGCAACAGCGAGGAAGACCGTGTTGTGGACGCTGAGGTGCCGGCATTAAGCTGCTACGTTTTCGAAGAGAATTCCGGAGAGGCAGTCACCGTTATTACTGATGTAAGAAGTAGCCGGCAAAGTGTTTTTTAAAGTGTTGAAGTTTCCGCGTGTGTAATATGATGTACTTTCAATCAGCCAAACCTTGTAACGCTCAATATGCTATCGCAGTGGGATACCCAGATTCAGTCGTGCAAAGACTTCCTCATGTGGAGACAGGTGTGCACGCCGGAAATTAGCGCGGCCCGTACAGTGCGAGTTCGTCGTTCGACCCAGCCATCCAATGACATAGTTGTTAGTTATTCCTTGAGCGACGCAAGCAACTCCTGAAATTCGGCTAAAATAATAACTACTGCATGGCTTTTCCAACGTTCACCACAGTCATTGATTTACGATTTCGTAAGCGCATCACCGTATGCGTACTTATTATTCTATCTTTGTGCAGGCAACTTGTCATCCAACCATTGCGATCCTACGGTAATTGTTATTGCGAAGTTTGCACATATCCCTAATTTTTACCTCAGAGGCAATAAACGCAACTTTTTGATTTAAAACAAAGAAGTGGCTAAGGGCAGGGCCGTTCTTAATAATTGGGGGTGCAGCAATGCACACGGAAGTGTAATGCGGAAGACGCTACCCGTATCGTTGCTTAATGTTTCGTCAAGATTTTTACAATAGATAGCTGTACTGTTGTTTGGACATTAAAAACGGTGACATGCTGGCTTATTTAATCAGATGTGTCTGTGAGTTTGTGAGGTACCTGTTTGTTCGATAAGCATAGAAATGCTGTACTACCCTTCTCTGGTGTTCACATTGATTTTACATTTGCTCGGTTTACACTTCTGACGATTTCTCTTTACCAGTGATTTCGATTGCCTACTCTTATAAACAGCGCTTTGGCACATGCGAGCGGCCGGTCTGGCCTTGACCTTTCCTACATAATTCTTCCCGTTGCTTTGCCAATATTACGTAACACACAAAATCCTTTCGCTTCCCTCTTACGTTATTCTCAAAAATCAGTTCCATGCCAGAAATGATAAACTTTATTACTTTTCCTTTTTGTGTTCTCTCTGTATTTGTTACGCTAATCTATGCTGCTCCGTTGCAACCGTTTGGCCCCGCCGTTGGTGACCGTCTCCTGGATAAAGTCGACCACACTTCCGTGGGAGTGGCGATTTCTTATCCATTTGTTTTCCTGGAGCATAGCTACAGGCAGTTATATGTAAGTACTTAATAAGTATGCAAATGTGCACGTGTCATTCATGGACCGAAAGCACGCTTTATACTTGACGTAAGACGGAAAATTTGCTGTGGTTTCAGTTAGGAGCAAATGGCTACATCAGCTTCAATCAGCTTCAATCAGCCCTTTAGATCCTGGACCGCGAGCCGGTTCCCTGTGAACGGCATTTCGTTGCTGTCGGCGTTCTGGTCGGACAACGGTCCCAGCGCAAACTGCAATACGTTCCCGGGAGGCAGTTCGAATAACAATATTTTTTACCGGGAGATAACCGACCAGAATTCGCCTGTACTGCGCGAAGTGTCGAATCAAATACGGTAAAGCACGTCAAAGATGCTATAGGCTCGTCATCAGATTTAAATGCCGTTGCTGGCAACTGTTACAGAGCCTACGACGCAAGTTTCCGATCCTTCCGCGCGCAATGGGTTTTTGTGTTCACGTTTTCCCGTGTCATTGAATGTGGTACAAGTTGTTCCCCGGTAAGTGACGATGCATTTTTCTGCGTTTCGCAAAAGTATATAATAACACGTTCGCACAGCAAACTCCAGCCAATACTTTCCAAATTATTCTGGCAACCGATGGACGGTATTCCTTCTCTATCTTCAACTACGACAAAATTGAATTTATAAATGATGGAGGATCTATTTATACCTATGCGATTGGTAATGATTGCTTCCTATCACTCAGCGACCGTATTAGCACATTAACTGACTATTTGTTAAATCTTCAGCTGGCTTTAATCGATTCGACGGCCAATATTATAAAATGATCGACGGTTCTGGAACAGCGAATGTGAGGAATCTTGTGCGGACATCGAATACTGGAGTTCCTGGTCGCTGAATATTTCGAGTGGATGGCGACACCGTCACCGGCGTTGACTGCGGCGTTTTATCCAGTAGTCGAGCGATTTCCGTTAGTCCAAAATACGGCTCCGTTCTGGGTGGCAGTGAAATCATCGTCAGCGGAGTGTGCTTTGGTGCAAGCACTCCCACCAATCAGATCATTTGTAAATTCGGCAGTGAAAGCCTTCCCGGCCAGCAACATGGTCCGACATCTGTGCGGTGTATCGCTCCAACACCGGGAGAGTTCGGTGCAGTGACCTTGCGCATCTCGGTGGATAATGGCGTCACCTTCCCTTATACGTCGACATACACATTTGGTAAGCAAAAATAAGCATAGTCCGGTACGGTACACGATATTAACTCCACTATTTTCAGAGCAGCTTGCTTTCCAGATTTCTGAAACTCTTAATGTTTATGTTATTCCATGGTTAATGATTTATACTCGTATACATTGGCCCGAAAGGTATTTATGCGGCTGTGAGCAGTCCTTATATAGTAATATTTCTTCGTGTATAATATTATGCAGATTCTACAACGTACTCTGCAAGGCTTATCAACCAGCATTTATGGGAGTCACAGCGGGACACAAAGATACAAGTTCAATGGAATGCGTATGATATCGATGCCGATTTAGACACTCTACAAAAAAATTCGAAGGTTGCGGTTGATTTGGTGGGATGGTATATAAGGTACAGACAACTCTAGTCCACGAGTTCATGAAGATAATTCAAAAAGCTAAGATTTAAAACCGTGATCAACGGTTTGCCTGATATGGAATAGCCAGCTTGGGTTCCTTTAAAATATTTAAAATATACGAATAAATTTGTCTGCTTTGTTCAACAACTTATGTAGAAAGAAACCTTCAGTTTTGGTCCAGTTTCACTCTGCAATCAAGTTTTGTATATACAGTACTTAATGGTTGCCAGTATAGAACAGTCTACTGATTTGGGCGAATTTCAGTGGTTCTGATATCACGCGGCATGTCCGCACTATTGTGGTTCCTCTTGTCCCGTCAGCCATTAATACAGGACGAATGGACATCACGTTGAAATCGGCCATTAACCTCCATCAACCAAGCTTCCCTAACGAAAAATACACTTTTCTGCGAGGATCTCTTCGCATTATGAAAGACACCATCCGAAATGCGGCAATAAATGGGAACGGCATTTTGCATGGGAGCCAGTCACTTCCGGTATCCCTCTGGACACCGCTTTTCGATATAGATTTTCTTCAGCGACTGACCCCGCGGTCCAGTCAAAATAACAACTTACCGGACGCCTCGGACCTGACAGGAGGGATTTTAACCTATACCGTTCGCCGACCGCTTCAACCGTTGTTTGGTCGGCGTGCATTCCAGGCGTTGGCTTTCTATAAAGGTTCGGAGACGCTGCTTAGTCAGGCTCAATGGAACAAGTATCTGGCGGGATTTCCTGAACGTCACCAATTGATGAACACCATACTGGAGTGTACGGCTGATACTGATTTTTGTGGATGCTGGGCGAATGCCGAACGAAAAACATTGAGGTAGAGGTCCCCCGCGGCGCAAAATACCGTATATGGGTTTCCATAGGTGTGCCAAAGGTCATTCGTGTTATTTGAACGTCATTTAGGAAGTTTAGCACGTAAATTTTTAAATCTACAGTATATAAGTGTTTTAACGCTTCGCTTACAGATACGACTCCTCGGATTGTGCAGACTTCCCAGGGTGTCCAGCAAATGCGAATCAAGCCCGTTTGGACCGTGCCCGGTTCTCCGTAGAGAACCCGCTAACCAGCACCAGCGCCTGCAACCGTATTCAAACAGCCACCAGCACGTTGTGGCCAACCAGCCCTTGTGCTGAAAATCTCGCCTCGGTGCTGTGCGTTGTAGCTCCCACTGTATCGCGCAAGTATCAACAGCAGTGCTGCTATTCGGACAACGCCAATCTCATTCTGGCCAACATGCACCCGGGCGGCGGACGGGTGAAGCTGGTTGTCCAAGATCGGCAGGTCGCAGGCGTTAGTTCCGGTTTAGTCTGGCTGGCACAGAGACTTGAGGAATCTTTAACGGATAGACTTCCCATGAAAAAGTGCTGCGGGAAAGCCAACTGGAACAGTATTAGCTGTCAGTTATTCCGGGATGTGAGGAAAGGTGGCTCATCACGATGCTACCAGCCGCCACGACCGGGTAACGCTATTGCTTGCCAAGGCAGACTAATAAAACGAATGAAATTAAATATCGAGCAAAACAAAATACCAGTCACTAATACTGGTACAGTCCGGATTTTCATATGATTATACCATTTTTCTTAAACACTTCAGATAAACTTATTCGGTGTGCACTCTCCAGACATTGCGCATCAAACGAGATGGCCAGTTTTATCGGCATGAGGCTTCGCTAACAGAGTGATCTTTTTTCTGGACAAGAATGTTTATTGTTTACTTACTTACTGTTCAATATTAGGCTTCCTGCTCTTTTTTGACTGATTGGCGTTTTATACATGCGTTGGCTTCGATTAATGCAAAAGAAATTTATGATAAATTTCTTTTGCATTAATCAAAAATGCAAAAGAAATAAAAAAAATCAAAAAGCAAAAGAAATTTATGATAAATTTCTTTTGCATTAATCGAGCTATACATATACAGATAAATTATTTATCTGTACTATTTTCAGGAGTCTGTTGCGCTCTGAAACTAGCGCAATTCTAAACTGTCAATGCTAAATTACTTTTATTTAGTAAATTTACTTTAATTTAGTAAGTAAATGTCCTTGGAAAAATTGAAATAGTAAGTAAAAGTAAGTAAAAGTCCCAAAAAATTTTGAATAGTAAGTAAAAATAAGTAAACTTCCAAAACCAGATAGTAAAAATAAGTATACTGGCAAGGACTTTTACTACCCAACACTAATAGGGACATCATTTCGGTTACAATAAACTGAAGAATGCAAACAACAGCTGACATCGTTGTTAAATAATTTTGGTTTTACCCGGCAAAAGTGCAAGGAACCTTCGCACTTCGCAGTATCACCATTTGTAATAAACAAACTAACGCGTAAAGAGTTTGGCGTGGCGGGCCGTGACCTGGAGCTTGGTATGAACCCATGAATTTGTATTTCTAGTTGTATCTTCAAGTAGGAAATACCAGGCTTGTACAATACAGATGCAACACTTCTCAGAATTATTGCTGTAGGTTATTATAGTACACAGGCATAAGGCAGAACAAGGAAGGGTATTTAAAGGCAGAACAAGGAAGATCTTGTTCTGAGGTGATCTCCTGGAAGGTCACTTACAGATCTATTAGGGTCACCTTAAATCAACCAGATCGAGACATTTTGTGCGAGTGAACAGCGGTAGCAGGATAATTTTACAAACGGCTACTTGTACCGTATACTCTTTCGGTTTGGCCAGTGGCTACTAGGTTAGTGAATAGGCGATGGCCGTTCGGTGGGGCACCTTCAATTACAATTCCCACAAACTGATTTCCTTCCAGTTTTTCTCGATTTCCGATGAACAGAACGTACCCTTTATTTATTTCTTATTTTTTGTCGCCAGACACGGCTGGTGTTGCTGCCAATTCTCTTAGATATTGTAGCCGTACAAATGAGATCTGTAGTGAAGATGTACATCTCATTGGTGCTAGTTCAACCGGAAACATCTGAATGTGTACTTGTACGAGATGACCAGTTCTAACGTGGATTTTCTAGACTTCTTAGATTGTCTGAATGTTCTAAAATCATTCTTGCTCTTGCCCTTGCCCTTGCTCTTCCCCAATGACTTTTCAGCTGATTAAAAATGTTTGTGCACTTTGACAATCGCGCCGGTATCGGTTAACATGTTCGCAATTGCATAATTGATTTTTGGGTAATTCGCTAACTCGTAACATCACCGACGGTCATCGACGAACCATCAAACCTCGTTTTATCGTGGTACGGGTGTGTAACCCAGGTAGAGCTTGCGCAGGTAGAAGCTACTTAAAATGATTCAAAATTTAAACAGAAAACAAAGACTGGCACTGCTGGCCCTCCTTGGGGGCAAAAAGCCACTCACGCACCCCAATGTTAGGGGACCAGTTTTCAGGAGAGAACATTTTGTCTGACTCATGGGCAAACGAACCAACACGCGCAAACAAGCTGTTCTTACGACCCTTTCTAGCAGAATAAATAGACACAAATCTGACAGAGATCCCGTTTGATTCAACTGCACATTTGAGATCTTTGCCGTAATCTTCAAGTGACAAATGTTCGGTCTGATCCAGAGGGGGGATGCCATGCAGACAGAAGTCCTTCTTCTCTTTCTCTTTGTCGGGCTTCATGACGCGTTTCAGCTGCAGTGTTGACATCACGACATCTCCGCTGCCTGTTGGCCGCATATCACGTGTACCGCGAACCAGCTTTTTCTTTTTGGCCACTGTCGCCCAGGAGTTCCGCGTGTCCGACGAATTGAGAGAGGGGCTATCGAAACACGGAGGGACGACTTTAATTTTCGGGGTTGACAAGGGCGTCTGCTGACTGCTGAGTGGGGGGAAACTTTCTTCGAAGCTTTCACACACATCCTCCTTGGCAGGCGTCATCGTGGCCGATCGAATAGAACCGCTAATCGACCAGTTCCGACGGTGTCCGAGGAGGGTACTACTGACAGTCTACTGTATTGTACAGTATGCTCACTGCATGATTTCGACATTCGTACAACATCTTAATATCTTATCTCTTATTTCTGCTTCGTATCTGCTGTCCCTCCAAAATTCAAGCCTCCATGCTGCAATCGGTATCGTGTTGAAAAGCGTAATCAAGCTGTTTATCATTGCCTGTGTATTTGGATACCAGCCCATAATAATCAACTGTCAACGTGGGAGCCGCAGAACATTATGCCGAGGGCAGTAGGTACGTAGAATAAATTAGGTATTCCGAAATCCAATACGCCAATTAGTGGCACAACAGGTTTAAGTTTTTAAACGTTGTTGCTGGGAAACTGCTGGAGAATGCATATCTACTTCGACAGCGAATCAGAGAAACGTAAACCGGTGCACGGATGGAATACCGTCGATGCACTGGTCGACGGACGATTGCAGCACGGCATGGTCATTGACGCCGTTGAAGACGGCTTGATCATCAATTTTGAATGCTCTCAACAACGCGGACGATTTGTTGAATACGGGCTGATTTTTGACTGTTCCGATGCCGTGAAATCAGAAGAGCACATCATCGCCTGCTGCATGGACAGTGGTTTGGCTGCCACGGCTGATGTGCAGGCGCTGATACGCTCGCATCCCGATCGACCGTGGATCTGGTATCCCGCCCAATTTCTGCCGTTTCAGTGGGCTCATGATAATTGGCAATCCGGTTATGTTGAAGTGGAGCTAGAGAACGACATTGTGAGGGAACTTCTTCCAGCCGCGCAGATACGTGCACGATTTTCTCTGTGCGATCTCGCAGCGAGAGCGATCGCGAAAGGCCACTTTGTCACCCGATCATGTCGTGTACCGGACAGTTACTGGTCGACGATTACTCCCGTGTTATCTGATGCTCTGTGTCGAGGTTTGGAGAACAGGGACAAAGTGTTTTGTACCCACGTTGCTGGTGAAGGCCTTATTTATGTACAACGCTGTACGGATTACCCGCTCACTCCTGAATCATTGGTAAATATTTAATAAGCAGCACCATGGAAATAAGTTTATCCGGCAAAACAAAACAGCCAAATGAAATAGTTTGTGGACGAAAATGCGTGAGCACGCTGCATCATACTGATAAGTATGCGGAAGTCGCAACGCGACAGCGCACCGGACGATCAACATTGTCATCGATGATGTACATCGTCGGTAGAGTGGAAATACGCGAGTGGTACACACAGACTGGTACTTCCGCTAGGTACTTACAATTCAAGCGGATTACCGTGTCGAACGAAAGTTACCAAACCTAAACACTCAGGATATTACCTAATGGTTTTATTTTTTCCTTTTTTTGAAATTTGTTTTGCACACCAAAACAGAACCAACTCCCGCTTCATATACACTAAAGTCGCTAATGGTAAGGGAAATACGAGTAGCGATCGCAAACTGTTCAAACAACAAGTCGTATGTAACGTCGATTTCACTCAGAACAGGTGGATGCACTCGATATCTCTGCCCTTTTACTGTATCTTATTATTTAGGTCAGAGTTTTCAGTAAACTATTGCAGTAATTGCTTAATAATGGGAAACGGCGTTGTACAGGAGCGCACTTATCAATCCAGAAGCGCGTACATCGCATACAGCCAGTCTTCTAACAGCCAGTGGATTCGCCGGCAGGTCGAAAAGCTCAAACCACCAAAGAAACGTCAAACCCGACGGAAACCTATTACGAAAAAGCCTTTGTCTCTGCCGGCGGAGCTTCTTACCGAAGTTTTTCATTCACTGAACACGGTAAACCGGACACGGTGTCGGCGTACATGTCGAACATGGAATGCCATCCTTACTGCTGATGGTTATTTTACGGATATCTGAATGTCCTTTGATCAGCAAACTAACGAATTGTTCACGTTGGCCAACTGTTTATTGAAATCTCCAAAGAACAACCGTGCGGACGCTGATTATTTCCAATGTCGGCCCCTACGATTTCGAGCCGCCCCTTATGACAGATATGGGGAATATTATTCGACAAGGTCTTGGTGGCTTTAAAAGACTGATTTTTGCCGACTCTGATTTGTGGATGGGAAATGACGAGAAAAACCAGTTGACTCGCCTGGCTACGGCATTCCCGTGTGAACGCTGATTTTTAAAAAGTGTAAACTGTTTTATCACAAAGTGTTTTTGCTTGCCAATATTTCACGGGGAGCCATTAATGTGCGCATGGCGGATGCGGCATCACAAGTGTGGGACATGTTTGAAAACAATCTGCAACTACGAGATTTTGATGGATGTCGTCTTGCGATTGAACCAAACAGGGAAGCGCTGACGGCGTGGTTAAGACCGCAAAAAGGGCATATGAAGAATTACGTTGTCAGAGTAAGAAAGCTCTGTCAATTTTTTTAACAAATTACTGCATGGTTCCAAAACGGTCCCGAAACCAGTTATTTGTCTCGTATTGTAAGGGCGGGACGCCCCGCCCTCCTGAGTAGCTATTCGCTGTTTCTGGGGATTTCCACCCCGCACATTGCTGCGCTGTTTTGACGGACCTGCAGCACAGTTGCACTGGCTGCAGGATCCTTCCTCATTAGTCTGGTGTTGCTGCGCCACGGTGCGCATTAGATTCGGCAATAAAGCCTCATCCGGGTTCACCGCTGTTTCGCTGTCGAGGATACGCGTGGCGCCCATACGGCCCCGCGTTATATGGTCGCAGCAGTTATCAGACAGGCTGTGCGCGCGGGCAGGCGCACGGTCTCTGATTATTTGAGCCAATTTAACCCCCATGTGTGGAGCTACAATGCCCCCATTCCCGCGGAATGATGGATTCCTCTCCCAACTGACGGAGATGGACGCCTCCCCGCGACGGATGCCTCCCAAACTGGACGGAGATGCCGCGGAGCGAGAAACGCCTCTTGCGATGCCGTGGAGCGAGAATTGCCTCCTGACGATGCCGACGGCGAACGCGACCCGGACCAGCGGGAAACCAGAACGGATACACCGCCAACAGCAGCACCAACTCCGATCCCAACGGCACGGATCGACCACCAGCGCCAAGCCGAAAAATTCCCCCACCAAAACACTGCCCGAACTTCCTGGGACGGCGACCTCCCCCCGGACGGAGCAGTGGATTTCACCGCGGATTTGCGTGCTTTGTTTTTTTGCAGGGGTCACGGGCCACATAGACCCCAAACCCCTGCCCAAATTTCCCCAGAACGTGACCTTTACCCTGCTGAAGAAACTACGGAATTTGCCCGTTTCCGGGTTGGACCCTGGATCTGGCGCGACAGTGCGTTGACCCAGACGGTTGACTCGGACCGAACCGGAGCCGAACTGGCCCGGAACCCAACATGAGCCGAACCGGCGGGGGGTGCGGATCCTCCGAATCCTGGGAGATTTCGCTCCGAGGACGTAGCGATGCCTGCAAGTGGTGTAAGGGCGGGACGCCCCGCCTCCTGAGTAGCTATTCGCTGTTTCTGGGGATTTCCACCCCGCACATTGTTGTGTTGTTTGACGGACCTGCAGCACAGTTGCACTGGCTGCAGGATCCTTCCTCATTAGTCTGGTGTTGCTGCGCCACGGTGCGCATTAGATTCGGCAATAAAGCCTCATCCGGGTTCACCGCTGTTTCGCTGTCGAGGATACGCGTGGCGCCCATACGGCCCCGCGTTATAGTATATTCTGTAAATTCTTCAAATTTATCAAAGCGCTGATCCACGCTCAACAACGCACCACTATCCAGATGATCACTACCCAGCGGATGTAAAACAGTTATCCAGATTGACCCTTTGTATATTGGACTTCCAAAGACGATTGTCTAAACGAGATGACTATGAGTGGCTCGAAGTGATGGGTAAGAGTAAAGAGTTCAATGTACGAAGTTTACAGTATCTTTACAATGGCAAAACCGAAGACATCGAGCTAAGCATATCTGTAGTACCGTAAAATGCATTCGCAAAGTGCGACCTTTCAGCAATCTGTCTCTACTTCAAAGCACTGGTTGTATCTGCACATAATACGAATACATCGTATGTGGTGTAAGAATAGATTGTGTTTAGTTCACTGACTGACTTCTTTTATCTTGTAGAGGAATGAATTACTAAGGCAAAAGCGGGAAGGGAAAGGATGGTTGTACTGTGATATGTACGAGCGCGATTTACAAACTGCCAGAACGAAGGAGCAAAGTTCGCTGATGATTAAAATTTTATTTCAAACTAACGCTCGAACACGTGTTTAGAAGCAATTAGAATGTGGAATGCGAGAGAGGTTAATGTCATATTAATGATAACCAATTGAGGTACATATAACGGAGACGATGCACACCTGGACGTTCTTGTCATGACGCCAAAATTTTATGATAGTTTGTTAACCCGCGCTATTGTTTTGGTCTCTACTGGCGCATTTAACCAGTTATCTTTACGTGCTTGTTCGCCTGTTCGTTCGTATGTAGATGTTCCGGTTCGGCATATACATATAAAAGTATGTTATCCCCTTTCTGATGTCAGTTGGTTTTACATTCGTTCAGTCTCCGTGCCGTTGAATTTCTTCAATCCAGATACTGCTAGTAAACAACACTGTACGTGCGTCACCGGCCGGTCTGGCCTTGACCTTTTCTCGTTTTGCGGTTTATTCATATTGTTGTTCCTAAAACTACGTAGCGTATAGTGTCACATACAAGCCTTTCTCTGCCATTTGATCCGCTGTTTTCGTTGATCAGTTGCATGCAAATCCAGAAATGACGAACTTTATAAAACACGCCCTAAGTGTTTTATCTGTATTTCTTGCTCTTACCCATGCCGCTCCATTGGAACCATACGGCACCGCCGTTGGTGACCGTCTCCTGAATAAAGCCGATATTTCCGTGGGACAAGCAATTTCGCATTCGTTTGTCTTTCTGGAGCACAGTTACAACCAGTTATATGTATGTAGATTAATAGATGCACACCATATTAGCGGACGTGTGGATACATAGAAAGTACGCTTTCTAGAGTTACCCTGCGTCGTGCGATCAAAAAGCTGCTGTGGTTTCAGTTAGGGACAAATGGTTATATCAGCTTCGACCAGCCCTTTAATTCGTACAACCCGACCAGTTTCCCCGTGAACGGCATTTCGCTGCTGTCGGCTTTCTGGTCCGGCATAGATTTCAGTCATGACTGCAGTTCGCTTCCGGGAGGCACTTTGAACAACAATATCTTCTACCGGGAAATAACCGACCAGAATTCACCTGTGCTGCAGGACGTGTCGCATCAAATACGGTAAGGTCAAACGCCATGTAGGTTTTGTCATTAGATCAAATTGATCGGCAACTTTTGCAGAGCGTACGATGCAACTTTCCGATCATTCCGTGCGCAGTGGGTGTTTGTGCTCTCGTATTCCCGTGTCATCCAGCAGGGTACAAGTTGTTCCTCAGTAAGAAGTAACAATTTTTTACATGAAAGATCAATACTTATTTATAATACCACTCTTAAAGGATAACCCTGCCAATACTTTCCAAATTATATTGGCCACCGATGGACGATATTCCTTCTCTCTGTTCAACTATAACAAAATTGAATGGGTCTCATACGGGGGAATTTATGCATTCGGTAACGACACCTTCTGGCTGCTATCACTGATCATAGACAAACTGCATTATTGTAACTGTAAGTTGTCTGTAACTACCCATACCAAACATATCACTTTGTCATTTTTTAGGTGGCTTCAATCGATTCGACGGGCATTATTTTAGGATGCTCGACGGCTCCGGAACTGCGAACGTGGGAAATATTGTGACGACATCGAATACGGGAGTTCCTGGTCGCTGGATTTTTCGAGTGGATGGCGACACCGTCACTAGCATAGACTGCGGTACTGCATCCAGTAAGGCAGCAGTGAATGTGCTGTTATGGTCAAAAATACCGATCCATGTTTGTTGCAGATAGTCGAACGATTTCCATTAGTCCAAAATACGGCTCCGTACTGGGTGGCAACGAAATTATCGTCAGTGGAGTGTGTTTTGATGCTACCACTCCCACCAATCAGATCGTTTGTAAATTTGGCGGCGAAAGCTTTCCCGGTCAGCAGCACGGTCCGACCTCTGTGCGGTGCGTCGCTCCCACACCGGGAGATATCGGTGCTGTGACGCTGAGCATCTCAGTGGACAACGGAGCGACCTTTCCTTATGCGTCAGCATATACATTTGGTAAATAAAATGAGCAAGGCTTTGACTGGTTCATGCGGTTTGTGCACGTTTGTATAGGTCACTTGCGTCTTACAATAAACAACTGTATCATAAACCATGTTAAACAATCGAGCACCTGTCATATGGCTGTTGGCTATATATAAAATATACTGTATATATGCAGATTCTACGACGTACTCTGCCAGACTTGTTGACCAACATTTATGGGAGTCACGGAGCGATACAAAGCTGCAAGTTCAATGGAATCCCTACGATATCGATGCCGATCTGGACATCCTGCAAAACAACTACAAGGTTGCAGTCGATTTGGTGGGATGGTATCTAAGGTAAAAGCTGCGATCGTACTCTATATATAACAAAATGAAATAACGGGGCAAGTTAAAGTTTAACCATTGTAATGGAATAAACGGCTTACCTGAACAAGTAATGAAAAAGGATTTAACAAGCGGCCTCGGCTAATCAAGTGTGAATTGAATGCGTTATGTATCTAGTAAATACAACTAACTGTTTTGTAAGAAAGCGTTCAGTGCTTCATTCTGCAATCAAGCAACAGTGTCTGCAAACATTTTTTTGAGTGATTAATGAATTTCAGTGGTTCTGACATCACCCAGCATGTGCGCACAATCCTGGTTCCCCTTGTCCCGTCAGCCATCAATACAGGACGAATGGACATCGCTTTGCAAACGATCATCGACCTCCATCAACCAGACTTCCCTAACGAACAATACACTTTCCTGCGCGGGTCTCTTCGCATTATGAAAGACACCATCCGCACTGTTACAATTAATGGGACCGGCACTATGCAGGGTAATCACCAGCTGCCGGTATCCCTCTGGACACCGCTTTTCGATATAGATTTTCTTCAGCGGCTAACCCCGCGGTCCAATAACGGCTTGCCGGATGCCATTAATCTAGCTGGACAGGTTCTGTCGTATTCCGTTCGCCGACCACTGCAGCCGTTATTTGGTCGACCTGCAGTTAATGCACTGGCTTTCTATAAAGGTTCGGAGACGCTGCTTAGTCAGGATCAGTGGAGCAGGTATCTGTCGGGGTTTCCTGAACGCCACCAAATGCTTACCAACATAATGCAGTGTATCGTTACCAATGATTCTTGCGGATGCTGGGCGGATGCTGAAAGAAGAACATTAAGGTAAAATTTAAAATACAGTACTGTATCTGTATGGGGCCTTTTCCGTATAAGACATTGTCAAATTTTTCACAAGAAGAGCTTAGCGCCTATTTGTTTTAAATGTGCGCCTATTTGTTTTAAATAGCGCCTATTTGTTTTAAATGTGCGCCTTGATATAGACCGTACTCATAAGTCATAGTATTAAAACGAAGCTTTTAAAGAATCTCCACTCGAATTGATTATTAAGCGCTTCGAGTGAGCTGACGACTGCTTAGGTTGGAAAAGGATGCAAAGGTCACGAATTAACTATAAATGATTACGATTATAAAGAAACCCAAGTGACTGTGCAGCCAGATGCCAGGCCTGATTTATAAGAACCTCCCGTAGGAACAAAAACTAAAGCCAGGTTTAGAAACCGCTTGACCAGGTTCCGATTTATGCGTTGTGCAGTCTTGTTAAGCTGATCAATAACCACTTAGACACTCGTTTTAGTATTCACATTTCCTTATGCAGATACGACTCCTCTGACTGCGCCGACTTCCTAGCCTGCCCGGCAAACATCCACCAAGCCCGTTTGGACCGCGCCCGTTTCTCCGCAGAGGACCCACGAACCAGCAGCAGCGCATGCAACCGTATTCACACAGCGGCCACTTCGTTGTGGCCCATCAGCCATTGTGCTGAAAATCCCGGCTCAATTCTCTGCGTTAATGCCCCGACTGTCTCGCGCCAGTATCAACAGCAGTGCTGCTATTCGGACAATGATAATCTCATTCTGGCCAACATGCATCCGGGCGGCGGACGGGTGAAGCTGGTTGTTCGAGATCGGCAGGTCGCAGGCGTCAGTGCCGGTTTAATCTGGCTGGCGCAGAGACTGGAGGAGGCCGTAACGGATCGACTTCCAATGAAAAAGTGCTGCGCCAACTGGAACAGTGACAGCTGCCTGTTGTTCCGGGATGTTAGGAAGGGTGGCACAGCCCACTGCCCTGTGCCCGTCGTGCCGCCCCACCCAGGTAATGGTATTTTAGCGCCGGCATAACCGTCTCGAACTGGGTTGGCGATGCGCCACTTCAAGATGTTATTACATGATCTTTACGTAGGTGTTAAACGTAGAGTGCAAAAGGCAAGAACGAGCAATTTACTAGCAGCTCAGTTATTGATAAAACCAGTAGGAATCGAATATCGAGCAAGCCAACTGGTTACTGGTACCGCCCGGAGTTCGTTATATTACACTTTGATGCGCTCTTTAGATAGAATCACGTAGAAGTCCATGTTTGCAGACACCCGATTTGCGCAGTAAACGAGGTTTTCAATCGTACTGGCACTAGTTTTGAAGTAGTGACTATTTGTTTTCCTACATGTAGGCGTCGGTCACGGAGATCCGCACATTCAGACATACGACGGCTTCCGCTACACTTTCAACGGACTAGGTGAATACATTCTGCTGGAGATACCTAACGTGATAACGGTGCAAGGTCGAACCGCCAGAGCGAAATCCGAGCAAGGTAAAAATGCCAACCTAAAACCTGGCGCGCTAAACTGCACTTATATCCTGCGATTACGCTTCTAGCCATATAATTATGTCTTCGTTAGGAGTTGAGCTGCAAGCCACTGTGTGGTCAGCTTTGGCGTTTCGCGTCGGCAACATTACCATGCAAATCGGCATCAGTTCGCGAGGAGACGGACTGCATCTATACGTCAACCGCGACAGCATTGATCTGGATACGGTTTCGTCGCTAATTAATCTAGGCGGTATGTAAAATATCAGAGTTGTTGCGTATTCTGAAAGAGCGTATGCGTACCACTGTTACAATGGTTTAGATTCTAAAATAAACCTGGATCGTCAAGCTGGTACCGCGCTTCAAAAAGTCAGCGCTCAGCTGGCGCTTGGAATTTTGGTAGAAATCGAGAAAGTGGACTTTGTCATCCAGTTCGAAGTTTCCTTGCCCAGCATCTACAAAAACTCCCAAAGTGCTGGGTTACTCGGCCGATGGAATGACGATGCCACGGATGACCTTTTGCCTCGAGGCCACACGGTGCCGCTGCATCCGAATTCCTCCACCCAAGAGATTTTCGCATTCGGAGAGACATGTATGTACGCATAAGCAAAGATTTATTATCATTGCTGCTCATTTTGGTAAAGGCCTGCGTTGGAATTTTCAGGGCGGATACGCAAAACCGAATCCCTTTTTCAGTATCATACACCGGAAACCTACGAGACCATTAACGATCTCTCGTTTCGCCCGTTCCTTACTGCACCCGTGATACTCAATGCCACGTTGCGACAAGAAGCGGAAAAGCTGTGCGGCGCGAATGCCGAATGCATGTTCGATGTTGCGGCAACCGGCTTGCTGAGCATGGGTCAGGCGACGAAGGAATTTATGGCAACAGCGGAAGAGGAGTTCAAAACTTCTCGAATCATTGGTAACGTTAAATATAACTGAGTCATGATTCGCAGTTGCTGCTTCTGCTGTCATATGTCGGTATGGATTTGTCTGTAGTAACCAGTTGCGGCTACCCTGCCTTGGATGAGTCGGTGGTCATCGCATCCAACTCGTCATTCAACAGCGGCGAGAGTGTGCAGTTAGCATGCCGGAACAGTTCTCTTTCTCGGATATCCGGCAGTACAATTTTGCTGTGCTCAGCCGAAGGGAAATGGATTGGGGAAGCTTTAAAGTGCGGAAAGCGTAAGTGCACCACGTAGTTATGCAGTACCATGTCAGTACGCGCTCTGCAGTCTGCATTACCACAAGTTAATCTTTCACTTTTTAGATGTTGACTGATTTACTGTGCTGAGTGTGCTCATCATAGTCGCTTTCCTTTGGCGCCTGCTTGCAGTAACCAAATCTCCCAGCTCATTCAACAAATTCAGACATGGAACTGGAAAATTGCTTGTTCTAATTTACGTGATTAATAACCGTGTACTGACCTATACGAAAGTCACATAATTACAGTATTATCGTTCTTGTAACATTACACTTGTACCGTGTTTTAATTCGTTTTGTGATGACCACAGCGGCAAGCAGGTCTTTAATGCTTATAAAATTAAGAAGTTATTCCAAAGCATGCAGCTGACTGCATTGTTATCGTTAGCCTGTGTTTTAAAACGTGGCACAGTGCCCAGAACAGCAGGAACACAGCCGCATTACACCTCGTGCAATGGATACATGATTATCAAGATGTCTGTAAGGGTAAACGCGAAGCATTTGCAGCGAAAACCTGGTTTTTAACAAACCAATTTTTTGCCATCCTAAGCGTCGAAAATCCTTCACACACACCGCACTGTAATGTAACACTGGACACCCGCATCAACAAATTTTTGCATGTATACCATTAACAAATAAGAAAGATGTGTTACAAGTAAAAACAGCTGGTTTAAAATTTGGTAGAGCGTACAACAAGCAACTACAGAGAAATACAGCATTTACGAGTTCAGGTGCAACGTTGTACCTAGCTCAGGCTAGCTGTGCTCATAAACCTCACACAATTTGCAAATACAACTCGGCTGCCGATGAATTTTCTCCGGAGATCGAGATTCATTGTGCCTGAAGCGAGCAATCATTATTCATTATGAGCGAACGGTTCTGCCTGCCGCTCTCTTTTTCCTTCTCCTCCCATCTGTTCCGTCCGCACCGCTATGGCACGTCGCCATATGCTCCTTCATCTGATTTTCACCAAAACACATCGCGGGACACACACTACATACACATCTTCACGGTCGTATCATGCGAAACGCGATAATGCGCCGTAACTTTGCGATAACTCGGCAGGATCTTGTCACACGCGGGACAGGGATATGCCCCGTTCACCCGGTGATCCATAACATGGTTGCTGAGCTGTACCGAGTTGTAGAACACCTTGGCGCAGTACCAACACTGGAAGCCCTTATGCTTCGTCTTAATATGGAATTTCAGTTTTCCTCGGCTTTTGAACTTCTCCCGGCAGTCGGGAGACTCGGAACACTGGTGCTCCCAGTCTTCGGTGATCCGCTGCATCTCGGTCGGATGTTTCGCACTCACATGCTCCCGCATGCGGCCGCGCTTCACCGTCTTCCCGCAGAACATACACGGACGCTGCTCCGATTTGCGTAATTCGTGCTGCGCCGTGTGCTGTATTAATTCGGCGAAACTCGCTCCTTGGAACGGGCAAGCCGGACACTGACGACGCGGATCGTCGTCCAGATTCTTCGGCTGTTCGTGCTGAATATTATGCAGATCGAGCAACTCAATACTGGCGAAATTCTCCTGACATTCGCAGCAGTAGCAGGCGAACACTTCCGTCGCGCGGATAATCTCAATCGCACGGTCCACCGTGGCGGACGACACAGTTGTCGTCGCGGTATCGACCTTCGCTGGAGCCATATCTGCATACTGTACTGACTCCGCGCCGTGACAATCCCGAATATGATTACACAGTTGATGGTACTGCTTGAATGATTCCTCACAAGCCAAGCAAGGAAATGATTTATCGATGGCATGTTTCATGAGATGTTGGTTAAATGATTTCCATCCCTGCGACTGCCGGTGTCCGCAATACACACACTGCCATCCTCTATGTTTCTGATACACGTGAAAACTCAGATCAAGCGTCTTGGCGAATTTCTGCCGGCACTCCGGGCACTCGAACGTCCACGTCTCCATCGTCATCTTCATCGCTTCCGGATGATTCCGCTTCATGTGTACGTTCGGGGGCCCGCGCAACCCGACACCGCACAATACGCACGGATAGCGGCTTTTTATCGAGACCATGTGTTGTGAAGCGTGCTGCACCAGATGGGCGAAACTCCGCGCTGCAAACAGACATTCCGGGCACTTCCGCTCCTGCTCCACGTGAGGAGGAATGGGATTATGCATGAAGCTGTGTAAATCCAGGAGGTTTTTCTTGGTAAAGAACGCGTTGCAGTCGGCACAGCGGTAATTCAGCAAACCGGTGCGGCGCATAAACTGCAGCGCCGCGGCGCGCGTGGATTCATCCGGCACGGCTCCTTTGGCGGGATGAACCTGAAAAAAATCAAAGGTAATTAACAAGATGTGGAAAATGAACGTCACTACGCATAAAAGCGAACCGTTTAAAAAAAATATGAAGTAATCATTTTCTTAATATTTCTCGATCCGAAAGCGAACAACAAAAACGCAGCGTCTTTTTCATCTTACATGCCCCAAGTGGGAGGCCAATGCCAGCGGGTTCTGGAATTTTCTGTGGCAGAAGAAGCACGCATCGTCAACGGTTAGCACATCCTCTTCGGAGTGTTTCTTGTCCAGATGGTCGGGCAGATTTCGCGCTCGTTCGCCGCACACCAAGCAGACCCCGCTCTTACGCGATGCAAGATGTGCCCTTGTTTTTAAACTACCCATCTCCTTCACAACATCCAGTTTAGCAACGTTTTCTTGTACGGCGGTTGGCGATGATTCACAACTATCATCCGGCACCAGCGGTAGCTCCAGAACCGCAGTACACGCTTCAGCTGTGTAAAAAGAAAAAATGAATAATATTATTAAACAATCACATTCAATGGATACTGCTAAACCGAACGTCAGCCTTACTATCATCGTTTCCTGCACCAAGAAAATCCGTGATAATTGCATCAACTTCTTGCTCCACCGGCAAACCAGATGCCGCGCAAGCACCAACATCCCCCAAATCGTTCTGCAAATTCGTGTTGACTTCCTCATCCCGTGGCAAGAAACTGGGTAGGGCCATGGACGGGCATGGCGACAGCTTTTTGCGCTTTCTCGCCCTCACGTCTACAGCAAATAAATCGGTCAAAACATTCCTCGGACAACTGGCATTTCTGCTCAATTCCTACCTAAGACCTTGGGCTTCTGATCCGCGCTGTTTTGGAGGGCGTACGTTGACGCGCTTGGTGCCGCATCACGTCGAGTACCTCTCACAAATTTTTTTACCGTGGATTCGTTATCATTCTGTTCACATGCATCCGTGCCACAATCTGGCAGGTGATTCTTTTGCGAATTCGGTAGCGGTATGGAGTAGCTGTAAGCCTGTGCGTAAGCGCGAGAGAAAGCCACTTTCAGTTCATCGCCGGGAAGGATGGTTTTCGTAGCCACGAATATCACATGGGTGCGCGTATGCGACGAGGCATCCAGCGACGATAAAAGCGCCGAAGTGTCACGGACCTACAGAATAATTTTGATCGAGAATATTTTCGAAATTCCGCATCACATTTTGCAAACGCAAGAAACCACGCAAAAAGCTTGTCATGCTATTTTGTAATTTCAAAATTTCGGATGCAAAAAATTGGCAGAAATTCACGTGAAGTTAAAATTATATCAAACTGAAACAGCTGTAAAAAATTTGAAAAAAGATCCACTAATGCATTCAAAATTAACAAAATCATGATCTAATTTGGACCGCCTATTAAGGGGCATTTCTACCACAGCCCAGAATTACAAAACTGTCGGATGTGCACTCACAATCCGGCAAAGCAATCAATCTTCACCTCATAGGCAGCCAAATTTTGTTCATCCGAATTCGCCGCAAATCGAACAAACTTCATCCAGTTGGTCGTCTGATCCGATTGCAGATCGAAATACTGCAGTCCCTTTCTCATTGCACTGCGGCAGGCGAAGGCAACATCCGCCGGTTTACATTTGCTGAGGGCGCCGATTAACGGGCCGAAAATTGCCAGCGGTGGAATGGCGTCTTTGGCGAAGACGGCTTTGTCTGAAAAATTACTGCTGCGCTTTCCGAAATCTCCGGAGCTTATACTCGTAAAATACTCGACGTAATCAACGAGCGTTCTTCGTACTCAACTTCTACATTTAATTTTTCAAACCCAATATTATAACTTAATTACTGTACAATGCTATTTGTTCTAGAAATGCATGCGCAATGGCCATTTTATAAAAACTTTTTCTGAAAGATGTGAAAAGTCTCTGCGAATTTATAGAAAATCCGTAGCCCATCCTTACCAGCCCGGCCATCTGGAGGAACATCCAGGTACAGGACAGACGGCAGACTGGCCACAGAATAGGCAATCACCGCCGTATCCAGTATGCGCTTCGCATGCGAAAAGCACGGCACGCTCGTCCGTTTCTGGCACTGCGGACAAACTGCAAAATGTCAAATGCATAGGCAAAAAAGCATGGTAAACTCAGTAGTGCCACTATTAAGTTACTTATGTAAAAACAATAAGCTACAATAAAATACGAAGAAACATTGAAACAAGTTACAAGGTAAAATAGTGGTGCACAGCTGCCCCAAGTTGCCTCACGCAAAGTCCATAAGGAACACGGTGGACGTATATGTATACGCAGAAACTTACAAATTTCCTCCAAGGGTTCACAACAATACGAAACCGACATGTCCATGGAATCTTGCGGACTGCGGTTCTTCCACAGGAAATTCTGCAGCATTATGATATTATTAGGTAGATCAGTAACCAGTGGTCAGAACCAGTGTAACGTCACAAGATTCCAAAGGTGATTTTGACAACAGCGGACACTGCTGCATTTCCCCACTCATTAATCCATAAAAATGGTAAAACTGTCGAAATGCACACGGCAGGTTACTGTCCTACAACCGTAAACGGGCCATAAAATATCACAGTGGTACGGATAGATTTGGTTGCAGCCTGCAGATTTGCAGAGACCTGACGACCTCTCTCTGCAAGCGAGTGAAATCTTTAGGAATGTGGATGGTCGGGATCTCAGGGTAAATTGCCACTAGTTAACTCAAGGTTACCTGCCGTAAAAACAACAAACAAAACACTATTATACAGAAACACATTCAACACGGAGCAAAAACGAAACAGATCAATATCAGATTTCTAAAACTGAAACTCCGAAAGTACCAACACAAAAATTAGTGTTTGACTGTTTGTTAACTTCGTTTATAGTCTGTACAGTGGCCAACCCCCTGCAGGTGCGGTGATTCCGAAAGTTTTCAGTTTAACGTCAGAGTATTGCGTATTGTACCGTGTACGTACGAGTACATACTCGTAAGTACATTGTCCAATTAAAAATATGCCGGAAACGATAAATAAAAAAGCTCTGAACTTAATAAAAACAAGATTAAGAGAATTGTGCCATTACGCATAGAAATGCATGGATGCTGAGCCCACTGCTCATTAGAATCGTCTATTAAGTAATTTTTTCGTTTATATCGAGCCGTTTTACTTGCGGACAGTTGGAATCCCAAATTTCTGAGCAAATTATTTTTGTAAATAAACTATAAACGAAACTTCTTCGATAATGTCTGCGTCGTTCGAAGCCCTAAGTGTGAGTACTCTGTAGATGCGGCACTTCCGGTCCGAGTGGCTGTTTAACAATGGAACATGCTAAGCAGACAACCGCCCAGTCGTATCGTTTCACGGATTTAATTTCACCAGCTAACCGGTAAGAAGTTTAAATTCTACAAAACTTCGAAGCCTTCACGTAAAAAAATACCGGCTTTATTATCAAGACTGGATTATATTTATACCGTACACCGTACTGCCAAAATCTGATAAACAGCACAGTTAAAACGCCACACAAGGAAAGGAACACTAGTTAAAAATGTACCGTAGCTAAAATATGAACATTACGCCAAACGAAAGACATAGAGAAAAGCTCAACTCTGATTCAAAATATTAACGCGCTATGCATAGATTGCGCGTATTACGTACGTACGTGTTACGACGTACGTGTTGTCTGTTCCGTTTCGTACGATGTGCTGTTCTTATCTAACGCATTTGATCGCTAATCGCATCCACGATTCTGGTCTAACTGATGAGTCTGAAGTTTCTAACTTTAACTAAATCTGTGAGCTCGTTTCTAGCTAGAAAGGTCTCTACCGATTGAGTAGGTTTGGTCATCTAGTGCGGTTGTCGCGGTGCGACTTCCGCATAGCATGTCATGGCGCCCACCGAATTTTAACAACCCCTGGGAATCTGGATCGTCTGGTAAGTGGTATCGTTCGTTTGTCGCTTTGTATGGTTTTGTGTGGTGCTGGTTGACCGCGTGGATTCTCAGAGAATCCCGTGAGGCAAGGTTCCTAAGTGAGAACCAGGTGCTAAACCGCAGTGTGTACCGCAGTGACCTTAGAGGGTTGCGCGAGGCACGGTTCCTAAGTGCGAGCCAGGTGCTGGACGGGAGTCCGTATTCTGTACTCGTACTGGTAATTGGTACGGTGTGTACTGAGAAGTCATGGCGAAAGCCCTGTTATTTGTGTAGCAGACTTACATCCGGGTTCGGTGACCTGGATTACTTGTCTGTTGTTTGTCAAGCAGGTGCAATGGATAGTACAGTGATTGAACCATCAGCATTAACCGCTGGACCGGAGGACGGTGTAGAAGAGCCGTTAACTGGCAAAAGTAAATCGTCCCGTCGAAAAGGGATGATAAATGTTGATGAGTTTGAAGCCATGTTAAAGAAGGCGGATTATTTATCCCCGCCTACGGTGCAGTGGTTTCTACCTGAAGACGAAAAGGTTGGCGATTTTTGCAAAAAGTGGGAAATTGTTCTCCCACGTACTGGAGAATTAAGTCAGAAGTGGGTTGAATATGATCTTAATGGTGGTAAAAAACCAGGAGGTTATGATCAGTGGATCCAGGCAGGAAGGAAGATTCCCGCCCGTAGAACGATTCATCTGACCCTGCATGATTACGATCAGCAGTATGGCACTGAACTGCATGAAAAATGGATGCAGTATCTTGCCAACAAAAAGCCTGATCAGTCTGCAGCAGGTAGCAGTAAAGCTCATCCAGGGTCGGATATGCAGCAAAGCGGCGGTCTGCAAGCTGCAGTCAGTGAGGGCAATACACTGTCCGCCAGTGGCTCGAGTGGTACTGCGAAGAATACCGTGGTAACTCAGCACTTGGACCTGACAGAAATGAATAAGGTACTGGAGCAAATTAGTAATGCTCCAGATTATTCAGCTGTTGTTACTGAAGATCACGATGATAGTGATACGGAACTGGCTGCGGTAGATAAGCAGCGTATTGAAGACGCTGATGTTCACTACAGTCAGAAAGTTGGGAAAGAAAGCGATGAGTCATCAACCGCTGCTGTGGTTGAACAGTTACGTAAAGAACTGGACGCGGAAAAGTTGCGATATCATGCGCTGGTTTTGAAGCATGATGGTTTAGTTGATAAACATAATGATCTGGTCGATAAATATGACGGTTTGGTTGATCGTCATAATGAGTTGGCTGATCAGGTGAAGTTGCTTGGCATAATGCGTACTCGAGACGCAAAGCTAATGCAGGATGCGTTCGAGCATGTGAATAAAGAAAGCGAGAAGTTGCAACTGGAAAAGCAGAAGTTCCAGTTAGAGAAGGAGAAGGCGCAGAAAAGTTTTCAACAAGGCACAGCTGCCTTGAATAAAAAGTATGCGAGTTTTCTGGCTGAACAAACAGCATTTAATGTTGCTGTTGATAAGTGGAAAGTTGATCGGAATAATATACGCCATGCAGTGAATGATGACGTAATCTTTGTTCCGCACGTTGAAGCAGGTCGACGAAGCGTAGCAGTACAGGATATGGCTGATCCTGTACGAAAGATGTACAGTGCAGTTCAGAAGCCTGTTTTCATGGTTAAGAATTCCCACAAGCTGGAAGATTTTCTGGAGCTGCGTGAGCGTGCTCATAATATGCAGGAATGTTTGGGTGAGTCGCGTAGTCCCTCACCAACGATTTCAGAAGTTAGCACAATTGCTTTGGCCAAGATGGAAGCCAAGGTTGCTGAACTTGATCGTCGTTTAAAGGAACAGGAAGCCAAGGGCGGTAGTACTGCTTCCGCTCCATTTGATATGGATAAGTTTACGAATGCTATGAAAGGTGCATTCAGGACGGATACAATGTATCCTGAGAAGTTTGATGGGAAAACAGATACGAATAAGGTGGAACAGTTTATCCAGAGTGTAGATAACCGTAAAAACCACAACAGTTGGTCGGACAGTGACGTCATCAGTAAGTGCTTGTCGCGCTGCCTTACTGGTACGGCGCTTACCTGGTACTTGGATAAATACGATTATAATAAAAAGTTAAAGTGGTCTGAATGGAAGAAGATGATCCGAGAACATTTCTCGGATGAGAAAGATTTAATGGCTGTTCGTGATAAAATTGCTGATCGTCATTTTGGTAGTGACGATACACCGAACTCGTATGTGGATTGGTTCACTACGTCGTTCAAAAAGCTCGATTTGAACGAATCGGAACGTGTGTATTATCTGAAGCAAGGATTAAAGAAGAACCGTTTCTTTTGGTTCAAATACATGGAAGAGAAAAGAGTTGCAGATGTTGAAGAATTTCTGTCAGAACTGAAACTGCAGTATAAGCTGCGTAACAGTAATCCCGGTTCTGGTTACTCTGAATCAAGACAGTTCAGTGGCAGGAAGCCAGTTGATGCAGATAGCAGCGCAGTTAAGGCTGCTAGTAATGAGGCGAAGAAGTCCGAAGGAAGTGCAGTTGATAATGGTACGCAGGTAACCATTAATTACGCTAAATGGTATTTTCCAGACGGACAACCGAAATGTTTTAAATGCCATGGCGCGCATGTGGGAAAGAAATGCACCAGTACGGAACCTCGTAAGCCTGTGACAGCTGAACCGCCGGATCAGGTGATTAAAGCTTATATGATGAAGAAGTCGATGGGAAAGAATCCCGAAAGTAATAGTTTGGGATTGTTTTTGATGCGCAAACCGGAGGTTAATTCCTTTACTGTGCAGGTTAAACATGCACCAGAGTTCGCTGCACTGAAGGAAACTTGCAGTGGGGGCGATGCCGCTCAGGTTAAGTTTTGCTCGGTACGCCGTCCGACAGGGCATTCGCTTTGCAGTGGGGGTGCTCAGGCTAGTGTGGGTTGGCGTCGGAAGCAAAGTGGTAGTGCTTATGTGAAGCGCCTGAAGTTTCTGATCAAGAATCCCGAGGCAGAGATGAGTCGGGATGAAAGAAAGATCGTGAAAGGATTTCATGTTTATCGTGGTATCGTGTACCGTAGCAAGGGCGGTAGGTACGGTAGACACCGCGCAGTCGTACCGGAAGCTAGCCGTCAGGACTTGTTACGAGACTGCCATGAAAGTTTTCATGCTGGTAATTTGCATGATTACTGGTCAGTCCGTAAGTATGTTTTGCGGAATTATTACTGGCCTGTGATGAATGCCGAATTGTGGAAAATAAGAGCTGAATGTGAGCATTGTAACGCTCACGTTTAAGTTCTGACTGCTACGTTTGAGTCCGCTGTTCCGTTGTCTGTGGTGTACTGACAGTGTAACTTGCTTTTGCTCATAACCGCAGGATTTATCAGCAAAAAGGGATGCTGATTGCCGAAGTATCAGAAAAATATAAAGACTTGTTTTTGAAAAGAAGTACTTATTAATCGAGTACTGTGTTGTGTGCCGTAGCCGCCGGTGTGGTAGCTACGTGCATGAAACGCTGTGCTGCGGTGCAGTGTTTGATTTCTGTAAAAATGATTTCAAAATCATTTTGATTCTGCAGACCATTTTGACTCTGCAGTCGGAGCAGTAATTACGATTATTGTTTGGTTTTGATAACTGAATGTATATAATCCAGTTTAGATTCCAATCAATCATCCGGAAGATAATCTTGGATGATACTGGTTACGTTTTGTTTGATCACTGCTAAGAACCATGCTATCGTATCGGTTCTTGCGATCTATTTGTGATTGACTGTGTTTGATCGTTTGACTGCAGGTGCAAACTTGCAGTGGGGGTAATTGCCAGTAATTAGTGGAATTAAATATCCACTTTTTGGGGCACTGAAGATGCTGATTAACGAACGGTATTCATTCGTTTTAATCTGTATCTGTGTTGTTGATTGATTGGCGGTAGCCAGTGTTTGTCAGAAGGGCTGCCATTCCTGATGTGTCTGGCCTGACGGTTTGCGGATCCTCGAGCTCTTCGGAGGGAGAGGATGGGTGAAAACCTTACCTGGATACGAAACGTTTGGATGGATGGACGATGAAACTGGACGCGCATGGAACGAGGAACTTCGGAGGACTTGGACGGAACACCAACTTCATCAACTTGGACCTCCATTCAAACCCCCGTCACACCCCGGATTCCACGCGCGAATGATGAAACGGATCCTCCAGGATTACGGTACTTCCTGGATTTGATTTTCTTTGATTTTGGTTTTTGTTTGTTTGTTTGCTTTGATTAACGCGGACGTTAATTCTGTAGCAGTGGGGGTAACGCGCTATGCATAGATTGCGCGTATTACGTACGTACGTGTTACGACGTACGTGTTGTCTGTTCCGTTTCGTACGATGTGCTGTTCTTATCTAACGCATTTGATCGCTAATCGCATCCACGATTCTGGTCTAACTGATGAGTCTGAAGTTTCTAACTTTAACTAAATCTGTGAGCTCGTTTCTAGCTGAAAGGTCGTGTGACTCTAGGTTAGAAGGAAGTTCATATCTCGTTCTGTTCTGTTCTGTTTGTTCGTTCGTTCGGTTTGGTGATTAAACATTTGGGAAGTTCCTGAGTGTTTTGGTTTCGGTAACTTTCGTTAGGCACAGCAATCCGCTCGTACCTAGCGGAAGTAGGCAGTAGTACCACTTACGGAGTCCAGAGCATATTCCCACTCTACCGATTGAGTAGGTTTGGTCATCTAGTGCGGTTGTCGCGGTGCGACTTCCGCATAGCATGTCAATATAATACTGTATCACGGAGTTATTTTACTGGTACTCGGCTGCTGGATAATCTTTTCTGGATGCTGGGATTCATTGTGTTTGAGCAGCGAAATGGCCAGCACAAATCCCAGCTGGCATTCCTCACATTTATGCTTAAAATCCTCATAGGCGGTCCGATCGCGCGGCTTGACATAGCGCGGATTCGGTATGCCGGCCGCTCTGCGTTCCGCCCGTTCCCTCAAAAACTATTCCCTCAGCTCGCCGCGATGCACCCACCGTTTGTGCTTCCGTAAGGTACTGTCACAAGCAAACATCTGCTGACACTCATCGCACTGCGTCCGCACTTTGGGCTTCAAGTTCGGATTTCTCCCCAAATGCTTGGTAATTTTATGGTAATGCATGCTAGCGTAATTTTTGAATTCCTTCTTACAAAAACTGCATGTTCGTTGATGAGATCCACTGGCCGACCCCACGCGCGCTGCGGAACGCTTCGTCTTGACAGCCGTTTCGCTGGGAATACCGTGACATGTAAACATATGCTCGTCCAACTTGTTGTCACCAAAACAAACCGTCTGACACACACTGCACGTCTTCATGCGCGTGGCATCATGACACTTGCGATAATGATTGTTCACTTGCGGATAATTCGCCAGGATCTTGTCGCACGCTGGACACGGGAATTTCCCGTTGACCCGGTGCTCCGCCGCATGACTGCCCCCCGCATGCGAACTGTACAGCACCTTGGCGCAGTACCAGCACTGGAAGCCTTTATGCTGCGATTTGGTGTGGTACTCCAGAAACCCGGGCGTTTTGAATTTCTCCGGACATTCCGCACACGGATACTCCCAGGTCTCGGTGATCCGCTGCATTTCCGCGGGATGTTTTTGGAGAATATGCGGGCGTACCCGGCCGCGGGATACAATCTTCCCGCAGAATAAACACGGCCGCTGATCCTGCCTCCGCAATGCGTGCTGCAAAACGTGATTCACCAATTCGGCGAAACTCGTCGCTTGGAATTCACACGCCGGGCAATCGCGTCGCGAATTGTCTTCTAAAGTATCCGGATTTTTGTGTTGCAGCTGATGTAGATCGAGCAGCTCGAACGTAGCGAAGGATTTGTGGCATTCGCGGCAGTAGCAGAAAAATACATCATTCTTCCGGATCATTTCGATGGCGCGCTCCACCATCGCAGGCGGCACACTGTTTGTTTTCGAATCCTCCGCCACCGAAACCATATCGGCATGCTCCACGGAATCCGCGCCGTGACGATCGCGGATATGGATACACAGGCGATGGTACTTTTTAAACGACTTCTCACAAACAACACAGGGAAACGCATTGTCGATCTTATGCTCCATCACGTGCTCGTCGAAGCCGTTCCATCCGTGCGCTTCACGGTGTCCGCAGTACACACACTGCCAGCCTTTATGCTGTACGGCCACATGCGTGTGCAGATCGAATTTGCGGGCGAATTTCTGCCGGCACTCCGGGCACTGGTATTTCCATGTCTCCATGATCAGGGGCATGGCTTCCGGATGGCTATTCGCCATGTGATGGCGTAGGCAACTGCGTATGCCGGCGCCGCATAACAGACATGGATTTCTTGCCTTCGACGGCAGCGTATGCTTCGATGTATGCTTGATCAACTCCATGAAACTCCGCGCCACAAAAGCACATTCCGAGCACTTCCGCTCGGGATGCTCCGCCGGATCAGAGTTATGCCCAAGGCTATGCAAATCCAGCAGGGATTTCTTGGGAAATGTTCGGTTGCATTTCACACAACGATAAGTCAATAATCCCGTTCGTCGCATAAACTCCAGAGCGGTGGCGCGACTGGCTTCATCCGGCATCTTGGCGATCGTCCCAACATGAGCCTAAAACATTCTCGATGCAAATGTGACAAAATACAATGCGTGCTTCGTGCGTACGATGTTGAGATGTTGGAGTAAAGCCCTGTGATTCTTGAACTTTCTACGGCAGAAGAAGCACGCATCATCGACGGCCTGCACGTCCTCTTCCGAGTGCTTCTCCGCCAGATGGTCGGGCAGGGTCCAGAACGTCCGTTCGCCGCACACCAAGCATGTTCCCTTCCTGCGCAATCCAAGGTGCGCTCTGGATTTTAGGCTGGACATTTCTTCCAGAAGTTTATGACACTCGTCGACGGGACGATTTTCCTCGGGAGAGATGTCATTCGACAACGACTGGCAAGTATCATCCGGTTCTAGCGGCATTTCCGGAAAGGGAAGGGATTCATGATCTACATTCAACAGCATATAAAAATAAACAATAATAACTAAATGACCAAACAAATACAAAAAATAAACAACACAAATTTATTGGGCAAAGGCCATCAATATAACCAACAGTGATCCAAATTTATTCAAAAAATCCTACTTAAACGATCCAAATTTAAACGTTAAAAAATTGATAAATTAGTAAATAACAATATCAACCATAAAGATTTGGTGCTGGACTGTTAACTGCAAATACGCCATACTTGTATCATCGTCCTTAGCGTCGCACGAATCCATAAATGATTCTGGTACTTCTGGTTCCATCAAAGCGGGCGGTATATCAGTGAAAATTAATGCGCCAACATCCGCCAAGTGATCATGTGAATTCGCAACGGCATCGCTATCCGGTACAACCAAAGGAGGCGGTATAACGGTTTCAACGTCAGCCAAATTATTTTCTGCGTTTGCAACAGGATCGTCATCCGGTGGTAAGAAATTGGGCATCGCCATGCATTCTTCCAACAGCTTTTGACGCTTTCTTGCTTTTGCGCCTACAAAGTAAATCGTTCAAAAAATCGCCGGGATCGCGGTCAACGCGGCTCTTAGATATTATAATTCACGCGGACACACTTGTGATCTTAGGCGCGGGATCCGCATAAATGTCTTTCTTTTTCGACTTTGGAACAGCAGAAGTTGTTAACGATTTCGATACACCGTCCAGCGTGTTCAACATCCGATCTGCAGAAGCTCCTTTATTATTTCCATTCGAAATTGCCTCAGTAATTGTCGTCGCTGTCGGAGCACTGTCCGGGACCAATCCGTGTTGTTCAGGGTCAGGTATAATCCCTCTAGGCAGTGAGAGCAATTTTTTAACGGTCTCGATCGAACCGATCTGGATGGGACAGAGTTGAGAACGCGGCCTGACGAATTTTGGAGCCGTTCTCTTCTTTGGAGACGAATTCTCTTGACCACATGGTTCTTCACCAGCCATAATCACAGGCTCCATCGGGTGAGCCTTTTCCCAGTCGGCGCGGTTGGACGCGGTCTGATGAATTCTGGAACGCAAACGCGCTGTGACGACTTTCGGAACCGTGAAGGAAGAATCTTTATTCTCTTGGCCACATGATTCTTTATCCGCCGTCACCACAGGAACAGCCGATTGAGCCTTTTGCGGATCAATGCAACCGATAGCCTGGGAGTACACCCGGGAGTAGGCGACTTTCAGCTCATCGCCGGGCAGGACAGCCTTCGTTGTGACAAATACCACGTGTGTGCGCGTAGGGGAAACAGCGTCCGAAGTGGACAACAAGGGAGAAGCTTCGTGGATCTGCAATTCATTTCTGTTACGTAGTATACTAACCGAGCAACAGAGAAAAACAAAATATACAAGCAAAGCACAAAAATATTTAGAGGAATTTCTCAGACACTATGTACTATCCGAAATAACACAGAAAATTGTGTAAATGAAAAATTCGAGTTTTACTGCAGTTTCGGTTGTATAAAACGTTTCGAAGGGTGGCTCCAGATAAAACTATTAGCCTGCCAAAGAAAATAAATATGTTGCGGTAAAGAAAATTACTGCAGTAAAAAATAATATAGCAAAATTCAAGTAAGCCTTAAATATACCGTAGTTTACCGGCCAAATTTGGACCTCGAAAACGCTGCATAGTGCCCTCGTACTACGAGTACAAGTACATAAATTGGGCTAAGCCACCTCGCCCAAAACTATCAACAACTCGTACCTCAAAGGCAGCCAAATTCTGCTCAGCCGCATTCCTTGCAAACCCGACGAATTTCATCCAGTTGGTCGTCTGATTAGATTCCGTGAGAAAATAATGCAGTCCGGCATACGTTGCACTTCCGCAGGCAAACGCCGCATCCGCTGGTTTATCTGTACTGAGTGCACCGATTAACGGACCGAAAACCGTCTGCGCGGGAATGGCTTCTTTGGCGAAAACGGCTTTGTCTAGAAAACACATGGTAAATCTTCAAAAACCACCAAACTATGTAGCAACTCCCGCGGTGGACTAATTACCGCGTATTTTTATCGCCGGATGCGTCTACTTTCGGTTCTGCACCGTACATACATAGTACACACACAGTCAGTTACTTAAGTACTGTATCTTATCGTTTCTCGTTGAAAATTCTTCGTTATGCTTTCGCCATTTTTATTATGAATTTTAATTTGATATATAATTGTATAAATGCACTTCTATTTTTTTGTGTACTTTGCTACATTCTGTCCGAGAGGCTTCTCTCCAGAAATTAGAACATGATTTTCATAGATGATTTATTCGTCCTTACCAGACCGACCATCCGGAGGAATGTCCAGATACAGCACACAAGGAAGACTCGCCACGGAATAAGGAATCACAATCGTATCGGGTATGCGACTGGTGTGCGAAAAGCACGGTCTGTTGGCCCATTTCTGGCACCGATCACAGACTGCAACATAGTCAGGGAAATGTACAAAAACCTTCAAATCTGGCTTCAGCAGTACGAGCATTATAAACTTGAATACAGTAAACAATCTGGCAATCAGAATTCAAACTATCTGAGATCTCACACCGATGGAGATAAAATCTCCCACAAATATTAACATTTAGTCGAGCATAATGTTAAGAAAAATTATTGCATCCATGTAGGCCCAAACTTACAAATTTGCTCCACGGGTTCACAACACGGAAAAACCACCATTGCAGCGAGCTTCTCCTGATCTGCGTCAAACGAGGCCACAAGATGATCCTCCTGGGTTTAATACCGCGTTTTTATCATAGCGCTTGCTGGTTGCACTTGCAATAAATCAAATGAATATGGACAATGATATCAATCGCGTCCAAAAAAGAAACATGAAACCAGAACAGAATTCCAGAATCTATTCAACGTTAGTGTGTAAAGGAAAATGTGAAAGAAATCGCACCAAGAAAAGCTGCAGACAAAATTGCAAGCCAACCACCCAGGGATCCGTGAAGGGGAAGAGGCAAAGAGCGAAGATTAGGTGGAAATTTCAAATGTGCAGCAGTTAAAATGAATTAACTGTTGAGTTGTGGCAATTACATTTCCCAAATTGCAAAACAGTGCAATTTTAATCGTCACAAAAGACAACGAAAATATTTTGAAAATCCACAGAATTTGGGGAAATTGTTTCCCCGGCTTTCAAGTCGGTCGACTTGTACATTTGGTGCGGTTTATTCAATTTCCGTGTGAGTCTGCTCGTTGTTTGTAGTTCTTCTTTTTTAGTTGAATTGGCCCTATTTTATTTACAACATTTATCTGTAAATCAAGAATGTGCCCCCGTGATATCAGTTTGACAGGAAATAACGAGCAAACATTTTCCAAAAGCATACGCAAATCAAGAGAGGCACAAAACTTGATGACACTAGTCACACTACAATAACGGACAAACGTCAGAGCTTTACACAAAATACCACAAGAATACGGGAGGATGAGAGATTCAGAGTTTGAAACATTTCCGCAGGAATAACACATTGAAAAAAACTGTCACTAACTGTTTCCGACACAATCATCCCGTTTCTTTCGAATTCTATACACAGACGTCATAAACGTCATTTGTTTAATGAACGGCCAAGCGACACAAGACAGTTCATCCTCATTCTTGGTTCGCAATAACATCCGGAAGTAACCACGCAAACCGTCCCACTTTTTGAAGCATTGTTGACTGGACTTCTTCGGCCAGCCCGCCGCCGTGGCCCGACTGACGGCGTCCGCCACTTTCTCCCACGCCAGCTGTTTCTGCCGGCTCCGTTCGGTCAGGGCCGTTCGCGTAAAGTGACCCTGTCTCCGCCACAAAACCGGGTGGGCGTGGACGGTGTCAATGAGTACTGTGGTTTCTTCGTCGGAGAACACGTCCGCTTCCCCTGCCACCTCTTCAACAGGTGTCAATAAAAGGTAATCTGGCCATACAAACAAATCAGAATGACTTCATGGTGACCTGAACACATATATATTACAGGCATAAAACATTATAAAGAGCAACAAAAAATTATCTTGAGAGTTTAGATTTCTGCAGTTGTATCCGGGCATACGAATTTTGTCTATCACAGTACAGTAATTACTTTGTACTGTATCGCTTTTACTGCCTTCGTCATTAAAGTCCTCGAAATCGCGCTCATTCTGCAGTCCAGATTCCAGATGTTCTTCGTCATCATCTACATAAAACATGCCGACGTACATATCAGATATCGGTTATTCCAGTAAATACTGGAAGAAACAAAATACCCCAGGAAAGTGCATACCGTCTCTGCAGAGTACAAACGCAAAATTCATTTCAGCACTTACTAACTGAACCATCTATGCCAGAACCTCTGCCAGAACTGCTCTGACAAATGACAAGATGATTATTTTCATCGTTCAGCTACAGATATTTGCACAATCTACCTAGATCTATACGATTCATGCCATTTGACAAGGAACGACGAGAAAGAATTACATATTCCGTTTACCATCTTCAGCCACCGAATCACGCATTTCCATATCTGCATCTATTGCTTCAGCTGTATTTCCCTCCGGAACGCTGGTCGATAAATTATCTGTTGTGCCGGGAAGATGCGAAGTCAGATCAGAAGATGTGTGGCAAGAAGTTGTCGTAAATTGTATCGGATCGTCTACGGTTCCGGTATAAGAATGAGATCTATCAAACATCAAAGTGACCATAAAAGAACCTTCACCAAATAATGCAAACGCATTATTTGGAAGTAAACTGATAAATTTTTACATGTCCAAACAGTTGAACGCTAATCAGAGACTGTAGAATACCGAGATAAAATTTCAGGGGGCTGATCTATTTTCCTGACCTAGTTGGTCGTGTAAATCTCGCTCGTTTAGGCTCAGGCTGGGGAAGATACGACGCGCTTTCCGTTTCATCATGCCATTCGTTCTCCTGCTCGTCTGAAGCGTCTTCATCGGGTCGCAGCACCCCCATGTGTTCCAGCAGTTTCATGAGATCGTCCTCGTCGGAGAGGAAGCGTCGTCCAATCACCGCTTTGACGTAATCAGAGCTGAGCTGCGTCTCGTCCACGAACACCGTCGGAATCAGCCGGCCCTGCTTGTCCTCGCCAGAGGGCTGCTCGCGACACACGCACGCTCTTGCTTATGCGGGGCAGTGCGCCGCGCAGATCCACTTGGAAAAAACTACCGTCTCCGCCGAGTGATCGATCGCCTTTCGCCACGATGATGGACTTGTTTCCGGATCGATCCCAATGGCTCTGATCAGTTCTCGATACGATATAGAAGGAGTCGACGGAGGTTTCATCTGGTTAGACTTAGTGGATGACTGAAGAGGACGTCGGACGCTGGATGGTAAAACTGCAGGTGGTGCAGTGGAAATCGAACTGGTATGACGCTGAACGCGACGTTTCACTCTGAAGAGTGAAGTTCCGCTAGTCAGAGAAAACGCTGCTTCGTCTTCCGCCATTTCGCTGGTAGGAAAAAACTTCGATAGCAAGATGAATTAGGGACGAGACAACCTAAGTTCTATCAAAATGATGACTTGATGAGAGAAAAATCAAACTCAAAAAAAGTTACAAAACAGATCTAAACTAAACTGTCCGAAGCTCGCATTTTTTTATATGCTAAGCCCATGGTGCAGCCGACCAGGGTGGCTGCCACAAGAACACCTTTGAGTAATTATTGATTTGTTCTGCAGTAGTGCAATCACTGCAATGGCTGATTATGAAAAACGATCGAAAAAAGTGTTTGTTATTATTATACTCGTACTTACTCGCAAGTCGCATCGTATTTGTAGTTTAGTTTTTATTATTCATTCTACTTGGAGCAAAGAAACTACACGAAGTAAATACTAATGCATTAATGGTACTTCTGTTATATGTACCATGTATTTTTCTAACAGAGCTGACAAATCGCGCCAGTGTTTGGAATTTTCTTGCTTGCGAACACGCCGAACAGAGTCAGATATGTACAGACAGGAGTATGTCTGCAGCGCGATTGTTAAGCAGTTGTAACCATAATTAAAATAATCAGGGAAACAATTAAAAACACGCAAACCAGATCAAAGGCAATTTCGAAATTCTGCAATCGACTACATTACTGCACGGAATCACATACTCAATGGCTGCTGCTCGACAGCAAAACGATTTTCTCTGGATGTCGAGTTTCGTTGTGCTTGATCAGGGAAATCGCCAGCACAAATCCCAGCTGACATTCCTCACATTTATGCTGGAAATCCTCATAGGCGGTGCGATTCCGCGGTCTGATATAGCGCGGATTCGGGATGCCGGCCGCCCTCCTTTCAGCCCGCTTCCTCTCGAACTTCTCTCTGTTGACACCGAGATGCACCCATCTTTTATGGTTGTACAAAGTTTGCCGACTGGAAAACATCTCGTGGCATTCATCGCACTGTGTCCGCACTTTGGGCTTCAAGTGCCGATCTCTCCCCAAATGTACGATACTTTTATGGTAATGCATGCTGGCGTAATTTTTGAATTCCTTCCCACACAAATTACACGTTCGCCGTTTGGATATATTCGTCGTTTCCGTGGGTGCTGCGGTATTCTTCGTCTTTGCACCGGTATCGTCTACAATGCCATGACGCGTCGCCATATGCTCGTCCAACTGGTTGTCACCAAAACACACCGTCTGACATACACTGCACGTCTTCATACGCGTGGCATCATGACACTTGCGATAATGATTGTTCACTTTCGGATAATTCGACAATATCTTATCACACGCCGGACACGGATATTGACCGTTGACGCTGTGCTCCACCACATGAGTCCCGAACTGTACCGAATTGTAGAACACCTTGGCGCAGTACCAACACTGGTAGCCTTTATGCTGCACCTTAATGTGAAACTCCATTTTCCCGCGTGTTTTAAACTTCTCCTGGCATTCCGCACACTGATGCTTCCAGTCCTCCGTAATCCGCTGCATCTCCGCGGGGTGTTTCTGGAGAATATGATGCCGCATGCGGGCCACCGTCGCTCCACACACCACACACGGCCGCTGATCGTCTTTGTACAGGCGATGCTGCGCAGTGTGTTGGACCAGTTCCGCAAAACTCGCTGCGTGAAAATCACAAGCCGGGCAATTTCGTCGCGGATCGGCTTCCAGATTGTCGGTCGGAGCGTGCTGCAATGCGTGCAGATCGAGTAGTTCGAAGCTGGCAAAAGCGCGTTTACAAAACTGGCAGTAGCAACTGAATACTTCCGTCTCGCGAATCATCTCGATGGCGCGTTCGACCAGCTCCGGAGCTACCACGGTTGCTGTTAAATTCGCCACTGCAACCATATCCGCATGCGGTAGACAGTCGGCGCTATGGCAATCCCGAATATGAATACACAACCGGTGAAAATTTTTAAAGGATTTCTCACAGACGAGACAAGGAAATTTCTTGTCAATTTTGTGCGTCCGCAGATGCTCTTCGAAGGCTAGCCACCCGGAACCCGACGGCTCACGCTGTCCACAGTACACACACTGCCATCCTTTGTGCACCTTCGACACGTGCACGTTGAGATCGAATTTCCTGGCGAACCGGTGCCGACACTCCGGGCACTGATACTTCCATGTCGCCATGATCAATTTCATCTCGTCCGGGTGATTACTTTCCATGTGTCCGCGGGGGGTGCCGCGCACGCCGATGCCGCATAACAGACACGGCGTGCGGATCTTGCGCGACGCTTTCTGATGCTTCGCTGTGTGCTTCACCAAATCCAGGAAAGTTTCCGCCCAAAAAGGACACTCGGAGCACTTCCGCTCAGGCTGATCCGCCTGGTCCGAGTTATGTATAATGCTGTGCAAATCCAACAGGTGTTTCTTGGGAAATATTTTTTTGCACCGCACACAACGGTACTGCAAAAATCCCGTTCGCCGCATAAAGTCCAGCGCAGCCATGCGGGTGGCTTCGTCCGGCATCGCCGCCCTTTCGCGATGAACCTAAAAACTATGGGTTGAAACTGAGAAACAAACAGCTTTGGGCCGTTTTTGCAATGATTTGAAGTAAAATAAAACTCATCTGAAAGGAAATCGAAAATTTTAAGGAAACTATTCATAAAATTTAGTTTTCAAATATGTTTTGTGGTTTTTAAGCAAAGAAATTAAATGAAATTTTAATATTTGTTGAAATATCCTTGTTTCCCACAGTTCACTGCACATTTTTTTCCTTTAATTAATCACATAAACAAACGTTTCGGGTTTAAGCACTGGAAACCGTTGGAATTCAGTTGGATTCAAAATGATTTGATCTAAAGCTTGCAATATGAAATGGTACAAATTGCAATTTTAACACTACTGGAAATACAAGTTTGAAATAAAAAAATGTCCTACTGGAAACATTCTCTTGTCTAAATTACGATAAGTAAATAAAACCATCTCGCTCTACTTACCATCTGCAAATGTTGAAGCAATGACAAGTTGTTCTTGAATTTTTTACGACAAAAGAAGCACACATCATCAAGGGCTTGAACATTCTCTTCAGAGTGTTCCTTCTCCAGGTGGTCAGATAGATTCCACACCCGTTCGCTACACACCAAGCATCTGCGATTCTTGCTCAATCCAATATGTGCTTTGGTTTTTAACATATTCATTTCCGCTAATACATCGCATTCCAAGACGGCGTCTTTCTGTGCAACAGGTGGGACAGCAAGAGATTCGAAACTATCACCCGCATCCAGCAGTTCTTCCGGAACTGGTACAGATCCTTCAACTACGTATAGAAGTATAAAAAGCATTAAAGAAATTGCACTAAAAAATACAGATTTCAAGTAAGTAATCCTACTTAAATCGTCATTTCCATGATCGAAAATAACCACGCTTCCTTCGACTTCCGGTTCAACAGTCACTTCAACTGAAACGGTTGGCGTTTCTGCAGTGGTCATCGTGTACGCATCAATAGGCGACAAATTATCCGGCGAATTCACGACAGGATCTTCGTCCGGCGGTAAGAAATTCGGCAAGGCGACGGATTCATCCGATAACTTTCGGCGCTTTCTCGCCCGTGCATCTGCGGCCCGAAAGAGCGTAAGTAAATCTGCGCTAATCGCTTACCGTTTTGTTTAGATCTAAAATTGCATACCTGACACCTTGGGCACACGATCCGCATAATTTTCCTTATTCTTTGGATGCGGAACGGATGTGGAAACCGCCGACGACATCGGCACAAAAATCTTGGTCGGGACAGAATTCTTGACCAATTCCGGTTGGACACGATTAGTTTTGCTGTTATGTATTAAGTGTAATTTCTGAAAGTTCTGCTTCGCAGTGCTTTGCACGACGCTCAGTTGAGGGCGCGCCTTGATAAATTTTTTGACCGGGGACCGAGACTCTACAGAATTTTCTTTGTGCATTTCACCAGCATCCAGAATCCTACTATCCGCTTCTGTTGGGTGGGGCGTCGGCCAATCCGGACAGCCGATAGCCTGGGAATAAATCTTAGAATATGCCACTTTCAGTTCATCGCCTGGCAGAATGGTTTTTGTCGTAACAAATATCACGTGTGTTCGGGTAGGCGATGCAGCATCCGCAGATGATAACAAGGGAGAGGCTTCATGGATCTACACAATTATAGCAAATATAGCAAAGCAACTACATTCGGTTTAAAGTAGTATAAGGCGCAACTTCAACAGCAATTTAATCACTGGAAGGATATTTATAATTTATTAAAAAAGCGTCAAGTCAAAACAGTCGTTCAATCAAAGGCCGAAAATCACGAAATTTAAATCCAGATAAATCTGATATTTTCTATTTTTCAATTCCTAATTCAAACACTTTTAAGGCAATCACAAAGCGTTATTTAGTACACGTGAAAATTCATCTAAAAAAGTTACAAAAACAAATAAATAGTTTCAACTTGGTTTATGACCGATTGTTTTGTATTCTGCAACAGGTGTGCCATTTTTACCTCGTACGCCGCCAAATTTTGCTCGTGAGAATGTGCTGCAAACCGAACAAATTTCATCCAGTTGGATATCTGATCGGATTCCAGATGGAAGAAATGCAGTCCGGCCTTCGTCGCACTTCCACATGCAAACGCAACATCGGCCGGTTTCCTTTTGCTGAGGACACTGATCAACGGGCCAAAAACGGTCAGAGATGGAATGATTTCTTTGGCAAAAACGGCTTTGCCTGAAAAATCATTAAACTTATTCGACTTTTCCACAATGCCCGATTATCAGACATGATTGTACAAAATAATATATTCTTATACAGGGCATATACGCCCATTACGAGCTCTTCCATGAAATCAAAAATGTCCTTGTATTTAATTAGGAATCTCCTCGCTCCAGATTTCGATTGTGTGGAATGAGACATACACTTTCAGTAACTGCGCTATTTACTATTTGCTTCGGGAAAAATTGTGCCTTGTAAATTGTTCAAGCATTTCACAGGTAATCAGTCCCACATTCGCAATTAGCAGAAATTTAGCAGAATTATTTATTAGCATTATTTAGCAGAAATATTTAGCAGAAATTTAGCTATTTAGCATTATTTAGCAGAAATTTTGCAGTTATAATTTACATTTAATAATTTCAATTTATAGTAATAATAATTTCAATTACTTATAGTAATAATTTAATTTTAATTTATACACTGAGTACAGCGCTAATTTACAGCTAACAAATCTTACACCACTTACAGAAAATTTTACAGTAGTATTTGTCAAATATCTCCTTACCAGACTGGCCATCGGGAAGAATATCTAAATACAGAACGTTGGGCAGACTGGCCACGGAATAGGGAAACACGGCTGTATCCGGTACGCGTTTGGCATGCGAAATGCATGGCATACTGGTCCATTTCTGACACTGATCACAGACTGCAAAGCACCATATATAGCTGAAGTCCGCGACAAAATCTGCGCGATGCACAAATGCAGAACATACGAATTACCAACTCACAAATTTGTTCCACGGGTTCACAACTCGGCGAAGTCGGCATAGTTGGAAAAACGGGTTAATACCACAATACCAAGATCCAGATACAGTAAAACCACGAACCACATCCAGTGTGCTTCGCCAGCTTCGGTTCCAAACTTTCCAGGCGGAATCCGAAAGCAAGCAACAAATTACCCGATCCCGAAATGGACAGATTCGTACGCCATCAAGTCAGCTCAGGGATTTGCAGTGCGAGTATGAAAAGCCACAAAGCTGTAAATTGTTCACAGACGGAAAAGCTCAGCCAAGAGGCACTCCACAGGTTCGCGCTACATCGGTTCGCTAATGAGTTTAAAATTTCATTATGCCCCGCGTAAAAACGCACAACCGAAGTTCGATAAAAAACCAAAACAAATCAAAAAAGTTATTAAAGTTTAAAACCAATCAAACTTGAAACTTTTACAGTTTTACTTACTAGTACAGAGTAGTACTTATTTGTGAAGACTGGAATAGTGAGTGGAAGACAGAAAAAACTGGAAGTTACGAAAAAACTGGTAGTGACAGCTGCGTTCTGATGCCGTACTTGGCGGTTGCTGTTGCTACAAGCTCCGGAAGTGCCTGGATTCTGCCTGCCACTCACCATCAAAATTTCTAGGTTTTCGTGAAAATTATTGAGTGGCTTTATTCTGCTGTTAACTCATTGTAATCTCATTCTAATTCTGTTGTTTTTTATTAATTTTATAATTTTAATTGTGAGGTATTTCATCCAGTCACCGAAACCTTCTCTTCATGTTTATATCACCCAAAGATTTCAGATTTGGCATTAAGATTTAGCGCTGCGATAAACGGGAAACTGCAGCAGCTATTTTTGAAAGAATCTTGTGTTTGCAGTTTGCAAATCGGAATGCGCTCGCCTGTATGCTGCGAACCTGTTGGGCTAATATGTAAGCTTCATCCAGACCTTGCCGTACAGATGCAGTGCTCTGTACCGCGGCTGATTCATCGGTTTGTGTTTCTAGTTTGCGAGCAATGCCAAACTCACTCGCCGCGGCCGTGTTATGCACACGCTCGCATCACTCCCGACAAGCTCGTCATTCCCTATTCCGTGGCCAGTCTGCCGGAATCACTGTATCTTCACGCTGCAGTTGACGATGATTCTGGTGGGTGCATGCCAGTGATCGTGCTACAGTTGAGGAGACAGCAGATAATACGTTTGCAATGTTGATGTGTTCATGTTGCGTTGATTGCAGAGAAGGCTGTCTTCGCCAGGGAAATCATTCCCGCGCTGACAATCTTCGGTCCCTTGATGGGATCGGTGACAAGTATTAAGCCAGCCGAGTGTGCCTTCGCGTGCGGGAATGCGGAGAACGAGGAGCTGCGTTATTTCCAGCTGGATTCCGATCACACCTCCAACTGGATGAAACACGTCCGATTCGCCAGCAGTCCACAAGAATGCAATCTCGCCGTCTTCGAAGTAAGTACTGGCAGTAATAAGGATACAATTAAATCCGTATTATTACAATTAACGTCGCGAAATTTTCGTTTTTTAATTAAAACTAATTTCTAAATTAAAAAAGAGTATTTTCCGCCAATTTCTGTGCATGTAATGTTGTATTGTATATATGCCTTTCTAATATTTTGGTTTCTTTTGACTTTCGTTCAGAGATGGGAATATGTTGAGTTAAGGCGTGTGTTGAATATAATATTATTGGTTCCAAACTTTATGCGCTACAAAATATTTGATAAAATTAGATCTCCGGATGATTTTTTAGGTGATAAAACATTCAGATTAACTGCGCACCATGATCCCAGCTTGCACCCAGAAATATGAGATTGTTCATGAACACTGCAGAATACAAAATTATAATTATAGTTGCATTCTGTATCAGCAAGCCGTTTTAACGCGTTTCAGATGCCGCAGTCTGTCCCGTTCTGGCAGCCTTCGAACGGCGCGTTGCGTCTGGGGATGGTGATCTTCGTGACAATTCGGGCTATTCTGCCGAACGAGGAACTGAAGATCGCTTACTCGTGGGATTATGCCACCCGCATCCGGCGTGGCTGTTTGGGAAACACGGCAACCGGAAACATCACTCGCACGGCTGCCAACATTTCCAGTGGACTACCGGCCGACAACGCTTTGACGGACAACCACTCATCCAGTTTCATTAATTTCGACGTTAGTATTACAGCTAACGGCAACGTTTTAATGGGTTTGCCTGCCATCTTACCTGACAGGGCAGACGCCAGCAGCGAATGTACGGATGCAGAGCTTGTTTCCGATTTTGAGACTGGCAATGGTAAATTTCTTTCCTCTCGTGCGTTCGTAGAATTTCTTCTGATTTCGAGTATTAAGATTGGTTAAACTGTAGTAAATATAAAAATTCATTTCCAGATTTCCTTCCGCTTGTTGACGACTGTTTCGCGGAGGCCGACGATATGGATACTGGCACTGCCTTCGATACTGAGGACTCGGCGCTTATGGGCAGAATAACGGCTGCCTCACCCGTTGATAACGGTAAATTCTGCCACGCAGACATGTTAATTTTTTTGTTCTTCGATTTTGTTCTCGCAGATGGCACGGTGTCAGAAATGCCAGTGCGGCATCCGGAGAAGTGCTCGGATTTGCCGTTGGGAGTAAACAATGAAACCGATTGTAGTGAAATTCTTCACGCCAGCCAAGATAATTTGAAGACCAAGAAACACCTCCAATCAAGGAAGAAAGGAAAATGTCTGGTGTGCGGTAAACAGTATTTTAACTTGGTGTTCCATCTCAGCACTACGCATACGGAGGAGGATGTCCGCGCAGTGGATGACGCCTGCTTCATCTGTCACAGAAAATTTAAAAGCACCACATGGCTGGCAAGACATTTAAAAACGGTAAATCGCTTGTATCTTAGATTCCCCGAGCTTTAATAGTTGACCGATAATTTCGCAAAATTCGAAGAATGATGACAAGTTAAGTTTAGCACTGGCAACCGCATTTAACATGATGAACTTTTGCATTCTAAAAGTTTTGCATTCTTAGAAGGTTTGCATTCTAAAAGTACACTGTACAGCGGTGCAACTGTTATCATATGTACCCAACAGCATAAATTAGCTAACCACACAATTTTTTCATTGTTAATATCAATTAGCTCGTTTCTAACGGGTGTTCTTACCCTGAAGGTTCACCGTCGCATTTCGCCGCCCGACGAAACCGCTCGACTGGCTGCTCTGGATTACATCCGGAGAACAGGATTTCTGCATTACCGATGCGCTTTCTGCAGCAAAACATTCCCAAACGAAGCGCTGCTTAATATCCATGCTTTTGCCCATGATGCTGATAACAGTCGCCCCGAAGAACAACCGGAGAGAAAGTGTCCGGCTTGTGCGTTTACTGCGTCGACATTTGCCGAGCTGATTGAACACACCGGGCAGCATGCTGCTTCGCGGACATCGCGAGCGCAAAAAGAGTGTATCCTGTGCGGTGTTCATGTTGCTGATCTGAAGAAGCACGCTCAGTCGAACCATCCTGAAGTGCTGGAGATATTACGGGACAAATGGCCGTATGAATGCTCGGAGTGTTCGCAAATCTTTATGAATGTAGTCGGGTTGAAGTGCCATATGAACCTTAGCCACCAAGACAGACGGTGTTTGTATTGTGGATTCAGTAGCCACAGCATGAAAACGTTCACTGATCATGTGCAGCAGCATCGCGTGAACGGGCGCTTTCCGTGTCGATGGTGTGGGACATCTTACGAGGAATATGGATTGCTTGCTGCTCATGTTCGGGACAATCATCGTGACGGGGAGGATCAATTCGCCGAGATGCATACGGATGCTTTATGTGACTCTCAACTGCCGGATGAGCTAAATGCTGACGAAGTACGTTGTCTTAACTCTTAAGCACATTATTTTTATATCAACAGTAACTATTTAAGTTTCTGTTAATTATTTTTATAACTACCGTACTGTTTAGGTTGGAGCTGTTCATACTACGTCGAACACAAACGAAAGTGTTGAGTTGGCGGAATTTATCCAACATATAAAAGAAACATCGACGTTTTCTTATTTTTGCCGCTCCTGCAAACTGCATTTTCCCATTAAAGCCCTGCTTGATCTTCATAAGATTCATCATTATGCGGATAGAAAGGAATTGAATCAGCGTCCAGAGCGACGTTGTCCGGTATGTGATTTTGAAGGAGCCGGCTTTTCCGACTTGATGCGCCACACCCGTGACCACGGTTTGCGAGCAACGGATAAGAAACCCTGTGCAGTCTGCGGAGAACACTTTCAGCATTTAAAGACGCATTTCCGCGCCCAACATCCAGACATCATGAAGCGTCTTGAAGAGAGCTGGCACTTCCGGTGTGAAGAATGTGGAGAGAGATGCAAGTGCAAAACTACACTCAACCTCCACATTAAGTTGGCGCATTCAGGATTTCAGTGTCTTTACTGCGCTAAATTGTTCCGTAACCAGCGGGATTTAGGCTTGCATGTCAGGCCGGAACACAGCGTCAACGGCGAATTTCCTTGTCCGTCTTGTGATAAGAAGTTCAGGAAATATCCTTTCATAAAAGTGCATTATCGGGAACATCACGATGTGACGCAGATGGAGGCGTGCGATATTTGTCAGCATGTCTGCCGCGCACAAAATCAACTGGCTCAACATATGAAAAACGTTCACGATGTCCAGGTGAAGGTAAACAAATTCAAGAGAGGAATAAACAGAAAGCGACCGCCGTCCTATAGGAAAACGCCTGCGGGCGGCTACGAATGCCCGGAATGTGGGAAAGCGTTGAAGAGCTATTTATCACTGTACATGCACAAACAGAATGTGCATCATTTCGGAAAGAATCAAGCGGAGTGGAACAAGATGCTGCTTTCCGGGGAAATCCCGCAGAAAGGAGCAAGGCCACGTTTACAGTTCACGTGTGATGAATGTGGAATCGTGGTCTCCAGTTATTCTTGTCTGCACCGGCACAAACGCTGGAAACATGTGGGAGATTATAAAGAGAAGTTTGAAAAACGCCGCGCTGAGAAGAAGAGACTGGGGATTTACACGCACTGGAAGACGTACAAGAAGCCGCGGGACCGCATGGCGTTGGAGGATTTCCCGTACAAGTGCGACGAGTGCCAGTTGGGATTTATAAGAGGAATCGCACTGGAGAAGCATAACGCGACACGGCATCCGGCAGGCAATGCGCAGCAGTCATGATGATGTTTCGCAGTATTAGTTGGGGCAGGTTTAACTTTCAACTAGGCGGCTCAACCGATCTAATCGGAATGTTTTGTCCGAGTGCCAATATTTTTTGATCTGCTGTTATTCCGTACTTGACTGCACATTTTGTGGTTTATCTCTTAAAATTTGGGTTTTGCTATGGACATGTGCGATTGTCAGAATCCGCTTGGATAACGGTCGGTCGGTCGATCACGATTATAAACCGGCATTCTGGTCATTTGCGGGATGGTTCACATTGTTTTTATAAGCCAGTTGATTTCTAATTGTGTACATGTCTTGTGGCTTCAGTGCTGTTAAAAACAGATGTACTTACAGTATTATTACGATCAAGGAAGAAATGTAACCAGCTCTGTCTACAAAAATATGAAAGTGCTGTACAGTGGATAGATAAACGCCACCTGAAAGCCCTGCCAATAACACCAAACAGATCAATGGTAGAATCGGACAAACAAACACCAATAAGTCTGAAAAACGATTGGAATAGCGGATTCAAACCAGGTCTAAGTCGAGCGGTTAAACAAACCAAAACTAGTAATACTGCAGAATCAAAATATCACGACTGTTGCATATGGTCATCCGGATGCCGCGTTGCGTTATGCTTCTCCAGAGCGATCGCTCTCACAAATCCCAACTGGCACACATCACATTTATGCGGGAAATCCTCCAACGCCATGCGATCCCGTGGCTTCTTATACGTCTTCCAGCACGTGTAAATCCCCAGTCTCTTCTTCTCCGCGCGGTCTTTTTCAAACTTCTCTTTATAATCTCCAACATGCTTCCAGCGTTTGTGGCGGTACAGGCTGTTATAGCTCGAGACCACTATTCCACAGAGATCACACGTGAAACGCTTACGGGGTTTTGGCACTTTCGGTTTAGCTACTTTCTGTGGGACTTCCGCAGACAGCAGTATCTTGTTCCACTCGCCTAGATTCATTCCAAAATGATGCACGTTCTGTTTGTGAAAATACAGTGACTTATAAGTTTTCAACAGTTTCCCACATTCGGGACACTTGAAGCCGCCTGCATGTATTTTGTTGAGGGACAACTGGAGCTTGCTCCTCATCCCTCTCTTAAAATTACTGAAACTCCTCGGGATATCGTGAACGCTTTCCATATGTTCAGCCAGTTGCTTCTTTCCGCGACAAACATGCTGACAGCTCTCGCACGTCTTCATCTGCATCACATCGTGGCGTTTCCGATAATGCTGTCTTGTGAGGGGATAATTTGCAAAAGTTTTATCACACGAAGGACAAGGAAATTCGCCGTTGACGCTGTGTTCCGGCCAGACGTGCAGTCCCAGATCTTTCTGTTTACGGAACAATTTTGCACAATACAGGCACTGATATCCTAGATGCGTGGACTTGATGTGGAAGCTAAGGTTGTTTTCACTTTTGAATCGCTCTCCACATTCGTCGCACCGAAACTGCCAATCCTCTTCCAGGCGCTTCATGATGTCGGGGTGCTGGGCTCGGAAATGCCGTTTTAGATGCTGAAAGTGTTCTCCACAGACTGCACACGGTTTCTTATCCGTCGGCTTCAAACCATGCTCTTTCGTGTGGTGCATCAAGTCGGTAAAGCAGGACGCTTCGAATTCGCATGCCGGACAACGATGCTCTGGATGCTGGTCCAATTCTTCACTATCCGCGTAATGATGTATCTGATGCAGATCCAACAGCGCCTTGAGGGAAAAGTGCAGGTGACAGGAGCTACAATAATAAGAGAACGTCGCTGTTTCTTTCATGTGCTGGATAAATTCCGCCAAGGCAGCACTTTCGGCAGGAGTTGAGGTAGTCGGATCAGTCGCAACCTAAACACAAATTTTTGCGTAAAGAAGTTAAATTCTCTTCACACGTGTAACAACAATATAACATACTTCGGCGCCGTCTAACTGTTCCGGTAACTGAAATTCACATGAAGCATCAGTCCGTTCTTCGGCGACTGTATTCTCCACATCGCGGTGCTCATCCCGCACATGAGCAGCAAGCTGCCAATATTTTTTGAAGGATGACCCACACCACGGACACGGAAACAATCGTTCCACGCGATGCTGCTTCACGTGCTTGTTTAACGTTTTTAGGACTGGACTTCTGAATCCACAGTAGAAACACCGCCGGCCTCCATGGCGCCGGGTTACATGACACTTCAACGCTCCTGTGCTAATAAAGATCTGTGGGCACTCCGAGCACTGCAGCGGCCACTTGTTCCGCAACAGTTTCAGCACTTCCGGATGGTAGGACTTTGCATGATTCTTCATATTATCAACGTGTGTCCCGCACAAAATACACGGATGTTGTGTCCTCATGGAGCGCGCCCTCAGGTAGCGCGCGTGCTGCCCGGTGTGCTCAAGCAGCTCGGTAAACGTCGACGCAGTAAACGCACAGCCTGGACACGTCCTCTCCGGTTGTTCTTCATGCCGACTTTTATCAGTATCATGGGCAAAAGCATGGACATTCAGCAGCGCTTCGCTTGTGAACACTTTGCCGCACACAGCGCAGCGGTAATGCAAGAATCCGGTTCTCCGGATGTAATCTAGAGCAGCCAGCCGAGCGGTTTCGTCGGGCGGCGATACAAGGGAATGAACCTTCAAGGTAAAAACATCAAGCATTACAATCGGTTGAAATGACCTTATTCGATTGGGTAACTTTTGTCTCATAAAACTAACCGGAAAAAAATGTTCAGCAGCCTGGTAAAAATATGTTCATTGAAAAAAGCTGGCTAATGTAGTGCGGTAATAATAATAACAATAATTACGAATCGATAACTGAATATAAACGCTTCATAATAAGTATTATGCATATTATGGATTGTATTACTGCAAAGTACAGCAACTGTCTAATATTGCATAACTACAAAAAATAGTCTTTCCTCACTGAAAGACTATGAATTAACTATGATCGTGAAGTTCAAAACTGAATTTGTAACTGAAGCTGCCCGAATTGCACAATTTTGTGCTAGTCTGCTGGATAAACACTGTAGTACGGATCGCCGTGAAATATGCGGGAATTACCATTTTCACATGTTTTCCAAGCAACTGGTCGCTTTTAAATTTTCTACGACACACAAAGCAGGCGTCGTCCACAGCACGGACATCCTCCTCCGTATGTGCTGCGTGGAGGTGAGATGCCATGTCTTTGAAAGACAGACCGCATACCAAACATTTTCCATGTTTGCGAGACAAAAGATGTTTCTTGGTTTTCAAACGATCTTGATTGAATTCCGCAATTTCACTGGACTTTCGATCCACTTCAACGTTGACGGACAGTGGTAAATCCGCACAGTCCTCCTGATTTCGCACAGGCATTTCCGCCATCGTGTCATCTTCGATTATAAAACCAAGATGAAAAAAAACAACCAGGAAAAAAACTACATGCACATTTGCTGTTGAAGTTTACCATTGTCGCGGTTATCAACAGGTGAGGCAGTCGTTATCGGGTTCGCAAAGGCAAATATACTATCGCCCGCTCCAGTTTCTTCCACGTTGGCCTCAGTAATGCATTCGTCATCCGGAGAAAGGAAATCTGCGATTAAAAAAGTTTTTACATTTGTGTTTTCTTATTTTCTATATAAATCACAGTTATATATAAATATAAATTATATAAATTATATATGTTATATTATTAGTTATATTATATATATAGTTTTTTCTATATAAATCACAGTTATATACTGATTCAAAATGCATGCCTAGAATCATAATAAGAAAAACAGCTACAAAATTTACCGTTGACAATCTCCGAGTCGGAAATGGGCTCATCGTCCGTACATTCGCTGTTGGCGTCTTCTTCCCTGTCCGGTATCATGGGAGACAAATCCCTGAGCACGTTAACGTTAGCTGGAAGACTAACGCTGAAATTGATAAAAGTGGATGAGTGATGTTCCGCGTCAGTGCTGTCGGCCGGCAGTCCACTGGAAATGACTGCACCAGCAGCATTGGCGGCGTGGCTGGCGTTTGCGGTTGCCGTGTTTCCCAAACAGCCACGCCCGATGCGGCTGGCATAATCCCACGAGTAAGCGACCTTCAGTTCCTCGTTCGGCAGAATGGCGCGAACTGTGACAAAGATCACCATTCCCAAGCTCAACGCACCATTGGAACACTGCCAAAACGGAACAGACTGCGGCACCTGTAACAGCGGAAACGTGTTGAACTGTGTGGTTAGTAACTGCTTTTGAAGAACGCCGATGTCATAATTTTTTGTAGTTTAATCTGCAGTATTATGGAATTACAACATATTTATGGCTACAACTTGAGGCTTATTACTAAACACTAAGGTTTAGTAATATTATGCTTCATCTAATCGTGCGAAATTTACTTAACTGTAAGTATTTTGATTCCGGGAAATGTCACCGAAATATTTCACCGCACAAACACATTTTGCGACTAATCTTAAAATTTTAACAGTAACGTAGTGTGCTGCGCTTGCACTTCTTGTTATCTAATGCCTATTGACGATGAGTAGACTAAGCTGGACGCACGCTTCACCACCGTCAGACGAAGGTCAGAAAAAACAAAATCAAAAATGAAAAAAAATGCAAAAATTGTCAGGAAAATTTAATTTTCAATTTAAAACTTGTGGTTAGTTACATACATATTTTTCTTTTACAAAATGAAACTTTTGCGACCGTAATTCCAACGATATATAAAATTATTAGCATCATTGTGAGTACTGAACATCGCCCATGCTTACCTCGAAGACGGCGAGATTGCATTCTTGTGGATTGTCAGCGAGTCTGACGTGTTTCATCCAGTTGGATGTGTGATCGGAGTCCAGCTGGAAGTAGTGCAGCAAGCTCCTCGTTCTGTGCATTCCCGCAAGCAAAGGCACACTCGGCTGGCTTGATGCTGGTCGTTGATCCCATCAAGGGACCGAAGATTGTCAGCGCGGGAATGATTTCCCCGGCTCTCTGCAATGAACGCAACATGAACATGTGTCTGCTGCTATCTGCACTGCAGCACGACCACTGCGGTGTACTGTACTAAGGACCTACCAGAAGCAGCACCATCATCAGGGGCAGCATGCAGATACAGTGCTTCTGGCAGACTGCCCATGGAATAAGGATTGACGAGTTTGTCGGGAGCGATGCGGGCATGTGCGAAACATGGCCGTGGCGAGTGAGTTTGGCATTGCTCACAGACTAGCAAAAAAAGCACAAACGATGAACCGACCGAGGTGGCCTACCAGCACCAGTGCCAGCAGGCAAGATTTGATTTGACATCTTTTTACAGATCAGCCCGAGTGGTTCGCAGCGTACAGCCGAACGCATTGCCCAGAGGTTCCTCCACAGCAACTGCTGTCTGGAGGCGCTGCTCTTAATCGTCAATCAGAAAACACACAGTGGCAGCCGCGACAACGAACGCGAAAAGAAGCCTTGGGTGTGTGTGACTGATCTCACCACTAAAGGAAGGATGCAAAATTTGTTCCTCGAGATACAGACGGTACTCCACTAACCGTTGCCACAGGTTTTCAGTACTTTTAATTTCATGTTTTATTTAAAAAAAAACAATAGAATGAGACGCTAAAATTACTAAAGTACAATTAAAAACACCAAGCTACAAGAAAGTGAAAGTTACAAAACATAAAAACTGAAATAACTATTTGAAAATCATGATCATAATTTTCGTGCAGTCTGTACTCTGTACCAGATCCAGGCACTTCCGGCGCTGGACGCATCCGCAACCGCCCAGTGTGGCAGCGTAATGTAGTCGCTGTCACCAGGCGGCAGTTTCTTTTGGTTTTTGAAAAACTGCATTTCTCTTATGCAACTGACCCGCGAGTGACGTGCGTTTTAATTCTTCATTTTTAGTGGAAAGAAACCTGTTTTTAGTGGTTCTCTACTGTTAGAAATAACAAACCAAAGAATTTTTACATTGTGTAGAACACATAACCTCAGAACCTAAACAATCCCAGCAAATACGAGATCAAAACATTCTGAAATTCGGATAATTCCGAATTCGCATTTACAAAATTCGCGTTAAAAAAATAAAATTAACCGGTTTAATCGTCCGGTCATAGCTAAGTAATACTGCAGAACTAAATCATTAAGACTGTTTCGCAATATCTTCCTGATGCCGTGTTGTGTTATGCTTCTCTAGAGCAATTTCTCTCATGAATCCCAGCTGGCACACGTCGCACTTGTGTGGGAAATCCTCCAACGCCATGCGATCGCGAGGCTTCTTGTACGTCTTCCAATGCGTGTAAATTCCCAGTCTCTTCTTCTCTGCGCGGCGTTTCTCAAAGTTCTCTTTATAATCTCCGACATGTTTCCAGCGTCTGTGCCGATGCAGACTGGAAGCGCTGGAGACCACGATCCCGCATTCATCACACGAGAAACGTAAGCGCGGCTTCTCCGGGATTTCCCCAGAAATTAGCATTTTGTTCCACTCCGCTACTTTCTTCCCACAGTGATGCACATGCCGCAAGTGTAAATACAGTGACGTACAACTCTTCAGTACTTTCCCGCATTCCGGGCATTCGCAGCCACCCGTTGGCGTTTTCTTATAGAACGGTGCTCGCTGACTTTTCATACCTCTCTTAAATTTTCCGATCCGTGTCTGGACATCGTGAGCGCTTTTCATATGCTCCGCCAGTTGTTTCTTGCCGCGGCAGACATGCTGACAGATATCGCACGTCTTCATCTGCGTCACATCGTGGTATTCACGATAATGCTGTCTTGCAAGAGGATAACTCCTGAATGTTTTATCGCAAGAAGTACAAGGAAATTCGCCGTTGACGCTGTGTTCCGGCCAGGCATGCAAACCCAAATCCCGCTGTTTACGGAACAATTTAGCGCAATACAGACACTGAAATCCTAAATGCGCTGATTGAATGTGCAGGTCAAGTCGGGTTTTGTTCTTGAATCGTTCTCCGCATTCTTCACATCCAACCTGCCAACTCTCTTCAAGGAGCGTCATGATGTCTTTATGCTTGGTACGGAAGTGCCATTTGAGACTCTGAGCATGCTCTCCACAGACTGTACACGGCTTGTGATCCGTCGCGCTCAAACCATGCTCTTTGGTGTGATGCATCAAATCAGCAAAGCAGGCGGCTTCAAAATCACACGCAGGGCAACGACGCTCTGGACGTTGATTCAATTCTGTTCTATCCGCATAATGATGTATCTGATGCAGATCCAACAGCGCTTTGATGGAAAAATGCAGGTGACAGGAGCGACAAAAATAAGAAAACGTCGTCGTTTCTTTCATGTGTTCAATAAATTCCGCCAACGGAGCGCTGTCGACTGCGCCTGAGGCGCTCGCAGTCTGAGCAGTACCCTAAAAAAAGTTAAAATAGTATTTAGACTTTAAGCTTTGCTTATTAGTTATTAGCTTCAGACTACTAATATAACAACCTTCTCGACGAAATCTTCCGGCCGGTGAGAGTCACTTAAAGATTCAGTATACTCCTCGGCGAATCGATCCGCCACATCACGGTGACTCTCCCGAACATGAGCTGCAAGTAATCCATATTCTCCACAGGATTTCCCACACCACTGACACGGAAACGACCCGTCGACGGCATGCTGCTTCACATGATCGCCGAAAGTTGTCACGCAGGGGGTTCTGAATCGACAGTATAAACACTGGCGACCTTGGTGACTCTTGTTCATATGGCATCTCAACGCGCCGATATTGATAAAGACCTGGGAGCATTCCGAGCATTCAAATGACCATTTGTCTCGCAACATTTTCAGCACTTCCGGATGGTACGACTTTATATGCTTCCTCGAGCTGGCAACATGGGTTCCGCACAGAATACACTTATTCTGCTCCCGCAGCTTCCGCGCATGCTGCCCCGTGTGTTCAGTCAGCTCGGCAAACGTCGTAGCAGTAAAGGTACACGCTGGACACTTCCTCTCCGGTTGATTTTCGTGCCGGCTTTTATCAGTATCATGGGCGAAAGTATGGACATTCAGCAGCGCTTCGCTTGTGAACACTTTGCCGCATGCAGCACAACGGTAATGCAAGAATCCCGTTCTCCGGATGTAATCCAGAGCAGCCAGTCGAGCGGCTTCGTCTGGCGGCGAAATGCGACAATGGACCTTCAAGGTAAAAACAGTAAACATTGCAACCCGATGGAATTTTACTGGAATTAACAAAAATATTGTATAAGTACTTTAAATAATACATGTACAAATACTATAAACGGTAAATGTTGCACCAATGTACAAAAACTAGATTCAACTACTTAATTACCAACGAGTTAGAGGCTGTCAGTTGCCGGTGCAGCATTAATGTACTTCGTAACTGAAACTGTTCGATTTGTGCGAACCTGTTGCATACATACTACAGCTCGGATAATTTAAGATACAAGCGATTTACCGCTTTAAAATGTCTTGCCACTCTTTGGTTGCTCTTAAATTTTTTGTGGCAGATGAAGCAGGCGTCATCCACTGCGCGGATATCCTCCTCCGTATGCGCGGCGTTGACATGGGATACCAAGTCAAAATAATTTTGACCGCACACCAAACATTTGCCCTGCTTGCGGGTCTGAAGGTGTTTCTTGGTTTTTAAGCTGTCATGGTTGGTGTCCACGATTTCACCGGAACTAGGTTCAGGGTGGACTGTGCGGCATGTGGAGGAGGGTTCACAATTTTCGTTGGTCAACGGCAAACCTGGACATTCTTCCGGATGCCGCATTTTGGACACCGCGTCATCTGCGATAACACAATCCAAGTAAGCCCCACAAATTTGAAAACCACACGAGGCTTGCAAGATAGCATTTACCACACTCGTGGTTATCAGCGGACAAGACAGTCGTTATCCCGTCCATAATCTCCGAATCTTCAGCGTCCGTATCGTCGGCTTCAGTTTCTTCCAGATTGGCCTGCACCATGCATTCGTCATCCAGTGGAAGGAAATCTACGAATAATGTTCTGATATTTCTGTTTGCGTTTTTTTCATATTAAACAGAATCGCATGAACGTTGATCCGTATATATCTATATCCGAAACCAGAAAAGCTGCACGAACGCAGCAAGAAACTGAATTTACCATGGACATTCTCGGAATCGGAAACAACCTCATCATCGGTGCGTTCGCTCATAACGCTGTATTCCATGTCGGGTATGATGGGAGAAACGTCCGCATTGCCGTTAGCCGTAACACCAAGGTTGAAACTGTGGTTTTCCGCGAGAGTGCTGTTGGTTGGCAGTCCACTGGTAACGGGTACACCGACAGCAGCCGGGCCGTGGACGATGCTGCCAGTTGCCGTTTTCGTCGGGTAGCGACTGGCATAATCCCACGAGTACGCCACCTTTAGCTCCTCGTTCGGCAGAATGGGGCGGATGGTGACGAAGATAACCATTCCCCAACTCAATGCGCCACTCGCAGGCTGTCCAAACGGGACAGACTGCGGCACCTGACGCAGCGGAAACGTGTTGATTGCAAATCAATGGTGAACCAAAGACTAACTCAAATTCCCCATTTGCTTATGGTTTTCTTTAAATTACTATATACATGTAATAATAATTCTATCCGGCAGTTCAATTTCTTATCTGGTCATTTTGCAGAGTTGATGATTTGATCTTCAATGTTACTAGAACGATGCAAGTATTATAAATTTTCATATTTAATTGTTTGGGAAGATCTTCTAGTTTCACAGAATGCGAATTTATAATTTACGGCAGAACGGGCAGATCAATTCTAGTTTTAAAAAATACATAGTAAACATTATTACAAATTTTGCCACCATCAGGCGGCACTTATAAGAGCATTCAGTGAAAACTGATAAATTTAAATTGAAAATTATAGTTTACTGGGCAATAGCCGCCACAACAACAAAAGTGCAAGCGCGGGCACACTACTTTACAGTTAAAATTTAAACATTAAAAAAACAACCAAAATCTCTATCCGCCCGCGGGTTAAAAGGCAACGTACTTAACACAGCAGTAGCATTCCCCTTAATGACAGCCAAACTAAAACGTTGCTTCATAAAAGCAGTAGAACGCGCTTCTACAGTTAATTCACGAGTTTTACGGCCCATAAAATGTACAAATTCACTTAAAGCTAGGCCAAAACCACCGAACGTTTCAACAACTAAGGGATAGAAAAGGTGTCTGCTTGAATTGAAAATCAAATGACAACATTCACGTCAACTACTGTCAATACAATAAAATTACATCAAAAATTACCAGTTACGAAAAAGCAAGAAATTTATCACATTAATCGTGGGGATAAGTAACTGTACCGACGTACCGTAACCTAATAACGCCAGTGCTTACTTCGAAGACGGCGACGTTGCACTGGTGTGGATTGTCAGCGAATCTGACGTGTTTCATCCAGTTGGAGGTTTGGTCGGAATCCAGCTGGAAGTAACGCAACTCCTCGTTCTCCGCATTCCCGCAAGCAAAGGCACACTCGGCTGGCTTGACGCTGCTCACCGATCCCATCAAGGGACCGAAGATTGTCAGCGCGGGAATGATTTCTCGGGCGAAGACGGCCTTCTCTGCAATCAACGCAAATCACGCAACATGAACAATCTGCAAGCGTACTTTCTGCTTCCTGCACAGCAGCAACAGTGCAACACTACGACCTCGTGCACCCACCAGAACCACAGTCAACTGGAGCGTGCAACTATAGTGTCTCGGGAAGACTGGCCACGGAATAGGGAATGACGAGCTTGTCGGGAGTGACACGGGCGTGTGTATAACAGGGCCGTGGCGTATGAGTTTGGCACTGGTCACAGACTAGCAAAAATCACAAAATGAGGATCGGCCAAAGGCCCAAAGCACCATATTAAGGGAAGCCAAGATTTGCTGCTTACATATCAGCCCAAGTGGTTCACAGCGTGCTGCAGGCGAGCGCATTGCGAAGAAATGATCGTCCACGAGAACTCTGGTACCCTTCGCAACGACGGTAACGTTAATCAAAGAAAGTCATAGAGAAAAACCTTTAAATTAAAGAGAAGAAGAGAACCATATTAGTACTACTGCACTAGTACAAAAACTCAAAAAGTAGAAAGTATCTGTAATTTATACTTACTAGAAACTCAAAAAGATGCAAATCAACAAGCTTCAACGAAAGCACACGAAATGCTGGCTTACCAGGCGACCGCCCCAGAATGCAGGCTTCCAAAATTATTACGGCATGCGTCATCGGTGCGTAAAACTGTCCAGTGTCCACCCGAGTGACACAGGATGAACGTGAAGGGCGGGCGGGAAATGAACCTAGGTCTGATGGTAATTCAATTAAAAGCTCATAAAGAAACCAAAACTGATATTATTTGACAAATAGAATAGTTTCCCCATTTACTTGTTTGATCCTGTTGCGAAATGTCGTATTGCTCTCTAAGTCTAACAAGTAAGAAATTTTATTACATAATATTTTATCATTCTGTATTACGCGTATTTCGTTAATTGTATGGTAATTTTTTATTTAGATTATGCTGATTCACATTTCACTTGCTAAATGTCAGCACTGGAATTTAATGCACATGAAGCAGAAAGCGTCGGAGACCAACATAATCGCATTTTGTGACGGTTTATGTGTTGTTTGGTACATAATTTGGCACGAAAGTTCTCAGTTAGAGACTGTTCTTGGGACTTCACAAGATCTGCAGTTTAACCGGTAAATGTATCATTTTATCCTCACCGGTAAAGTAACTCGCAAAAATTCAGTATCTCACAAACTATATTTAAAAAAGCATGAACAAAGCAAAAAAAATGTGCTCATTCGGTCGATTGAATACATAATTCCGCCGACTTCCCAGCCGCGAAATCAACGGAGAAACTGCAAATAAGACTGCAAATTATTTGTGGTGACCATCGCCAACAAAATTTAAACTCGGAATATACATTCAGAACAGATGCAACTTACCAAACAGATTTAATACAACTTTAAAAGCATGCAGAAACATCTGTACTGCAGTTAATATGGACGTAAACCATTTTCAGATCTATTAAAGAGCTATCACATCCCTCCTGGGCACCGGAAGAAACGCAACACAACCGTGTTACCGTGCATTGTACACACACAAACTACGAGCTCCCTTCGACTTGCTCCGGATGTCGGGTTTCAATGTGTTTGATCAGCGTGATCTCCCGCATATAACCCAGCTGGCATTCGTCACAGCGAAAGGGGAACTGCTCCAGCGGCAGCCGTTTACGTGGATTCACGTAGGTCGCGGAATAGCAGGGTATGCCCCGTTCCTTCTTATACTCGCGATTTAACTTCTCCTGTGCGTCGCCAATATGCACCCAGTGTTTGTGTTTATTCAGCGACGCCGGACTGGCATACAGCTGCCCGCATTCATCGCACTGCAGACTCCGGTCGCCATAGTGCACGTCCCGTTTGTGGACGCGTAGGATTTTCCGGGAGCGGTACAGTTTGCCGCATACATCGCACGGCAAGCGACCCGGAGACGGGGCTCTGCCTCGGCGCTTTTTCGCGCGCCCCACGCCGAAGTTTCTTCATCTGGAGAACATCATTCACCTCGTCAGAAGCAGCCGCTGGATAGTTAAGTCTATCCTCACAGAATGCACCAAACCCACCTGCTTAACCGGCAATCTGGTCTTCGCCGATTCAAACTCCATGCTCACGTCGCTATGAACCGACTGTCGATGAGGCAGTCCAGGCCTGCAGTGGACGTTCCGCGGGGGCTGCGCGGAATCATCACCGTCGTCGTACGTCGTTTCGCCCAGAGGACAGGGCACCACGTCCGTCTGGGTTCCGGTGGACACAGTGCATCGGTCAGCGTTCGCACGTTGGTCCGTGCATTTGCTGATCACGCGCTGCACATGCGCCGTCAAGCCTGATGGCAACTGCACGGACTCTGACTGCTCCAGCCACGGTGACGCTGCTGACATTTCCGTCCTCCGGCGTCTCGCTAAAAATATTAAAGCGGGTGAATGTTCGTCCAAGCAGTTCACCATGTTGTGCCTAACTCTTCTGACCAAGCTATTTTACGTGAGTTTTCGTTCTTCTTGCGTTTGCACGGAACAATCTACTAAATTAGGCCTGCGATCTGGCCGAATGAACTGGTGTTTCTCGATTCCGGTAATCATGATCGTAGCTGACTCCTGACTTTGTATCCTTTTCCAACCTGGACAGTCAACTGCTCGCTGGAAGCGCTGCATAAGCGTTTCCAGTCGAGATGCTTTGAATTATCGCTCCAATGCGAGATCCGCTTGTACTTTGCTGATTATCGCTTCAGAATGACTGCACAATCATACTAGGAAAGTGCACTCGCTTTTTGCGGGCACTGCAAGATCGAAGCGTATCAGATTCAGGACCATATCTCAGCAAATGAATTACACGCACGTTGCACACGCAATGAATTGTCGCTTGTATATTTTCGGTGCCTTAACCCTGTTTAACTGAATGAAACTCAACCTACACCCCTTAACGCAACTAACAAGTGTATTCTCGTGCTATGGTCCCTTTTTGTGCTAACTTGGAAAAAATATTTCATTTGAATGTATTTTGTGAGCAATGCTCGTCTCCGCAGTTTCATACCATTGCGCATAATTTCACTATAAGTGTGTTACAATTATTTTAACCTCTTGGATTTTTAGATTTCTCAGATTTAAGTGCTCTTATTGGTTTCTTAATTTTGTTTTCGGTTTTCTTCGTTCTTTTAATTGTACGAGTATTGAGCATATCAGCACACACACTGACCTTGGAAATGCTTCAGAACCGTTACAGCGAGTTCCGATGGCGTCGGCATGACGGCAGAGTACCAAATGGCACCGCACACGTTCGTCCCGTCGGCATCGCTGCTGCGCTCTTGATTATCCTCACTGATTAGACGTTGGCTAGCTGCGGCTTCCGGCTGAGAATGCGGCAGAGACGCTGCGATGTCCTGATGGTGAAGCTCAGTCGCGCCGGCCACGTCCAATAATACGGTATGTCGAGCTCTCAAGCGCTGTACAACTTCGGAGTAGCCACGGGAATAGCCAACTTTCAACTCTTCATTTGGTAAAATTATCCTAGTTGTCATAAAGATGACAAGGCTCGGCGCATCGGAACCGACATCCGGAAACGCCGATGCCGGCACCTACCGCGGTCAGCCAAATTGTCACTAGTCCGATTTTTTAATTTGTACTGTATCATCAATAAAACACTAGTGCATTTCATATAAACTGAAACTGATATTTTACACCACCTTGAAAATTAACGAAGCAACAATGAACGATCATAAAAGAACCGAAACAAAACTGCGCTTCGTCAGCTAAGGCACTTCTTGGCTTAAACAAAGAGAAGCCTAAAAACTAAACGTACTGTGGCCCCATCCCGCATTTGAAAATTAATTTTATTACAACAAAAATCAGTCAAAGTCAGTGCGCCGAACCGCACAGGTTACAAACTACTGTATGATATGCCTAAAATGCGTTTCACATGTTGGGAATATCAGTTGTTAAATCTCACACCACTCGTTCAACCAGATTAGGTATTCCAACTGTTTTTAACAAAATTTTATTATTTTCAGCTCAAGAAGTTGGTCATTAGGATTATAAATTCTAAATCGTCGCACAATATATACACGATACTATTAACAAGTAACAACCGGAGTTAGAAAATAATAATTCTCTACCTCACAGACAGTCACATTCCGCTCGTCTGCATTCCTTGCAAATCTGACATATTTCATCCAGTTGGACGTCGCGTCGGAGTCCAGTTGAAAATAACGCGTACCATCATCACCAGCATTGTGACAAACAAATGCGAATTCCGATGGCGGCTCGGCCGTGAGGGCGCCCACCAACGGGCCGAAGACGGTCAGCGCGGGAATGGTCTTCTTGGCGAACACGGCCCTCTCTGTAAAGCGATTCTGGAATAGTTTGCAGGTACTGGTAGGTACGCGTCCGATGGTGTAACAAATAACAAAGTAAATAACTCGAAGGAAACAGCAGCTTTTATTGCGCCTTCCTTGACAGACTGAACGCGCGTACAATAAACCGATGTATACGACTAATTTTGAAAATAAAGAAGGTGATATTAGGCCCTCTCGCCGCACACCTAAAGAGCGCTTACTGTCAGCTTATAGCTAGCTGCTGCGTTCACAGTTATGGCTGTTCTGTATCTTGAAGGAACTCATAGAGATCCTTTAACTTGAAGAACACTTTCAAATTCGAATCTGTTGGCTGGTTCGTTTAATCGCACTTAACTCACAGAACACTTTAAGGTGTGCAGCGAGAGGGCCTATCATATGTCTGATATATACCAATTTAATACAGCATACCGTCCAGGAAGGTTATGTTGCGAACGGTACAACCGTGCATTTCTTTTTGATCTTTCTCTACATAATACTTTGTTAAAGTTTTATTATGTTTCTGACGAATGTTTCTTTGTTCACCATTTTAACTGTGGAGCGCTGAATAAGAATTCCGAGCAGTTGAATGTACTCGATGAGTGAACTATTGACACTCGTATGATAGTTTGATTATTGACACCTGTTGATCGTAATTCGTAAAATCGACCACAGCAGATAGTGCAGAGCGGAAGCTATTCAGTCTGATACCGTGAAACTATTCGGAAGCTATTCGTGAAACTCTGGTTTATTGTCAGTCGCATTTTCGTCCGCACCGGTGTTCTGCATGCATCTGGTAAGACACCGATTTTGCATCCTTGGTGCCGCCAGTTTGAATAGCTTTAACGCGGAAGCGATAATTGATTTAATGTGCCCTCTTGAGACGTGTCCCGCAATCCGGAAACACCGGCCACGATGTATATCTATATAAGGAACGTACAGAGGAAATATTATGTCAAATACAGCATATCGTATGTCAAATACAGAAGCACGTCGGGCAAACTAGCCGCGGCGAAGGGAATGACGGATGTATGTCCGGGATGCGCTGAGCGTGGGTAAAACATACGGGCCCCTCCGAAAATGCATGGCAGACGGTACAAACTGCAAAACCGCTGCGCATGTTGCAGCCGGAGTAGCAACACTTTCTGATTGGACGATATGAGTTTGGCAGCTCTTGCTTTTGAAACTTTTCGTAGTTGGCGCACATCACTACATCGGCTAACAAGAATGACCACTGGTCAACGAAGTCGGAAAGAGGGTTGAGTTACAAACAGGCGAGATCAGCAGGACCGCAGCCATGAGTTTTTTAGGCAGAATATTTCTTTACAAGTTAGCAAATCAGAGGTAATACAGCTTCTGTTATTGGTACTGTGGAAAATGTTGTTTTGTTTAAGGGATTCTTTATAATTATTGTAATCGCATTATTGGAAATAAATTTCAGATCCACCCATCCACGTAAGTACTGTACTTAATAGTTCTCATAATCCAGAATTTTAATGAATGCCACTTCCATTTACAGGTTTTGTAAATGGAAGTGGCATTCAATGGAAGTGTACAAACAAAATGGAAGTGTACAAACAATCCCTAAAAAATCGCATGCGGAAGTTGCATACAAATAAAATCATAACTGTTTTTAATTCATACCCTAGATGATCGAGTACTACTTTCTATACTGTAGTGTCTATAGAAAGTACTTGAGATGATACTAGAATATGTACAGCAATTATGTATCAAACATGCAAAATCCGTGAAATGCCACATAGGAATACGTACGTACAGCAGAATATTAAGTAACGAGGAAACACAAGACAGTACAGTATTCGGCTGGGGAGAAAAAAAATAAAACCTAGTAACGCCAAACGGATTTTTACGCAATAATTATTCCGTAATCAGAAGAACCATGCAGCAACAATTCAGAATCTGTTCGGTATACAGTATGCTGGTAGTGGTGTGTACCGATACTACCGTACTGAAATCATCAGACGAGAGCTAGTTCCCTTGCTTCAGCGCATCTCCCGCTCCTCTAGAGCAGCGGCACTCTGCTTCGCTAGCTCACTATACTCCGCCAATAGCGGTGCGCAGCGTGCCGTCCAGGCGTTGGCAGTGGTCCTTGAGCTTCTCCGCCCGCTGCTCGATCTCCTCCGCTAACTGCTTGATGCGACCCGTGATCCGCAGCTCCTCGGTCGGTTCATCGATCAGTTTCTGGACCTCCGGCAGCACCTGCTGTATCGATGTCCAGGGCGTCGGCCGTGGCCTTGTGGGCGGCCTCCCTTAGCTCCTGGATCAGCGGGAGAATTTGCGCGGTCTTCTGTTCACTGCGTTTCTGGACGTCTCCTTGCAGCTGCTGCGTCAGCTGACAGTGGATCTCTTGGGTGTCGGCCGTTACCATCTGGCTGGCCTCCGTTAGGTGCTGGGCCCCTTACAGGACTTGTTGGGTGCAGGCCTGCAGCTGGGCAGCTTTGGCCTGCAGAGCCACGGTCGCTTCCGTAACGGCGGGAGAGTTCGGTTCAGCGAGATCTCCATTGAATGTCATCCTGTATGTGCGATACGCTTATCGCGGACTATTATCAAAATAAGATGGACGAATGTCTGTACTGTACGACGTAATCCCCTGCTCAATATGGGATCCAGAAATAACTGGAAACAACTTTTACAGTTTTACGGCAGAATATTACAAATCAATCGAAAGGGTAAAATTTTATTTACAAAAATGTGGAAATTTATTCGCTGCTCTTGGTAGTACTTGTTCTAAGTACCGTGCTACGGTAAAGTCATATCCCGCTGCCACACAGGGCGGTGCCAACTGCGTCATGTGTCGGAAGTTTGAAATTTGCTAACTCTAGAAATTAATGATTTCCTGAACGCAGTGCAGTGCAGTTTTTTAATATTCGCAGTGGGTTTACTTTAGTTTTGAGTGATTTTATAACTTTTGCTTCTTTGTACTTTGTAGGTACGACTACCATTAAAGATACTGTAAATAAATCATTGAATAACGTTGCTTGTTCGTTCCTGAAACATTTGTCCTGATCACCTAGATGCACATTCGTCATTCCAGAAGATTTCCAGCCAGAACCTCCTCGTTAGGCGAGTGGCGACGGACGAGCCTCTGCGTTTCGGAATTTGCTGATTTCCGCTGTCTTCGAATTCTCCTTGGAAAGCAACTAACATTTGAATCAGGATTGCGACGGTTTGCGACTCTCCAGGACAGCATTGTTGCGTTTGGCACTGATCAGTGATCACTGGCTGACTGATGCTGCAAAAATTGCGTTTCTCTGGCAGAACCGAGAACGAGATCCGTGGAATTGTCTAGCCATGGCCGTTTCTCAGTATTGTGAACCCCTGGAGCAAATCTGTAAGTTCGTGCACTTAGTACTGATGTATTAATGTCGTAGTCATGCGTAGTGCTGTACTGCGTAGGCTTGCTTTCTGAAAAGCCACGATGAACTGCTGTCAGCATGCTTTTATACGTCGTACGGTGTATAATATGGTTGGTACAAATTCAGAATCAGTGCTTTAACGGATTACACAGTAGCAGCGTACTCGTATGTTCGTACCATATTTATTGCAATTTCTTTGGCATTTTGCAGTTTGTAATGAGTGCCTGAAATGGACCACCGTGCCGTGCGTTTCGCATGCGGAACGCATTCCCGACACGATGGTGTTTCCCTATGCTATGGCGAGTTTGCCGTCTGTCTTGTATTTGGATATTCCTTCCGATGGCCAATCTGGTAAGAATAGGCCGAATATTAAATAGGCTTTTCCCTGAATTTAGTGGATTTTCATTTCCATTTTTTAAAGCAGTTCTTCCTGAATTTTGGGGATTCCAGTCATTCCACCCTGAATATTGAGGGATTTTCTTTTGAATTCTTCAGTGTTGGTTCATCCCGTTTATCTCTAAAAACCGTTAAATTTCCCATACACATTAAGAGCGGCTGGTGAAATTTTTTTTAACTAGACAGAACAGCTCGCATTAAGCAAAAAACCGACAAGCATGTTAAATTTTAGTGTATACAATTTTTTCTTCAGACAAAGCCGTTTTCGCCAAAGAACCCATTCGTTCGCAGACAGTTTTCGGCCCGTTCGTCAGTGCACTGAATGTCGATAAACCGGCTGATGCGGCGTTCGCCTGCGGAAGTGCATCGCAGGAAGGACTGCATTATTTTCACACGGAATCGAATCAGACGACCAACTGGATGAAATTCGTGAGATTTGCCAGGAATGCGACTGAGCAAAATTTGGCTGCGTTCGAGGTAAACGGTGGCTCTTTTGGGCTACGCAGTCCGAAAGGCAAAGTTCAATGTTGAAAAAAATCTGTGAATTCGATCTATGATCTAGCGAAACTTAATCTAATTAGCGAGACTACTAATTTAGTGGAAATCTTTAACGCTTACTTAGTTTTTATGTTTTGAGGCAATAGTAATTTGTTGTGTCAAACTATTTTTCACACCTTTCTGAAACAAATCTTTAAAAAAGTGAAAAGAATTTGATTGTTTTCCGAAACGTTTGTATAGTGCCCTACATAATCTCTAAAATTGTTCTTTTTGAGTGATTTGGCTGACTCTGTAGCTATGTACATTGGCAACTTGTTATGCATTGCTGACGAAATGATTTGCAGGTCCATGAAGATTCTCTCTTGTTGACACCCTCGGACGCTGTTTCGCCTACGCGTACGCACGTGATATTCATCAGCACGAAGGTTGTCCTACCCGGCGAGGAGCTGAAAGTCGCCTATTCCCTGGTCTACTCCCAGACCATCGCCTCCGCCGAACGGCAGAGTGCTCACCCGACCGAGCCTATGATGGCAGCGGAACCATGTGGACAAGAGAATAAAGATTCTTCCGCCACGGTTACCAAGCGTGTGAAACCGCGTTCGCAACTCGGTCCCATTCAGATCGGTTCGATCAAGGCCGTTAGGAAACTGCTCTCCATGCCTAGAAATACTGGGCCTAATCCTGTACAGCATGAACCGGGTCTGGGGACTGGTCAGAAATTGTCGACGAATTCTTCAGGCGCGGAAACCGTTAAAATCATTAAGTGTTCGGATCGGACGCACGAGGACTTAGGTACGATCAAGATCGGAGCAGGATTGCCGGTGATTCGAGCCATTTTTGACGACGGACTTGTTCTTCGTAGATAGGAGGGAGAAAAAGCGCAAAAAGCTCTGCGACAATCCATGGCCGGTTTTAAAGAATATGCCCAATTTTTTGCCACCGGATGAGGATGTCGTTGTGAATTCGCAGAATGATTTGGCGATTGCTATTGTGCGCGCGATAAGTCCCACGGATGCACCGGAAGTTGATGATGTCATTACAGATTCCTTCGATGCGGGTAACGACGATAAAAGAAGGATTTACGATGTTGTTTAATAATTTTTTAATATTTTTTTAGCTGGAGAATCTGCTACGATTCCAGTGTTTCCACTGGAGACAGATGATAGTTTTGGAATTACGTCTCCCGGCGTACCGGTCAAAGAAGACCACCCCGTTGACGAGTTAGATGTGATGGCAGAAATGCAGAGCTTAAAAACAAGAGCACATCTTGCATCGCGAAAGAAGGGTTTGTGCTTGGTGTGCGGCGAACGAGTGCAAGATCTGCCGGATCATCTGGATAAAACGCACACCGAAGAGGACGTTCAAGCCGTGAATGATGCGTGCTTCTTCTGCCATCAGAAGTTCCACACAAATAAACCACAAAGATCATTGGCCACACACTTGAGCATCGTACGCATCATTTATGCTGCTTTTGTAATGTACCGAAGCAACGCAAATGACCTCTTTGTCCATGAAAACAGGACTTTCGACGGTCACGCAGTAATAATTTTGAGCAACTATATCGAAAAATTTTAAAACTGTATTTGCTGAACGCAAAAAAGTTTAAATGAAAAATGAAATTTTATGTAAAAATATATGATTGTATTTTGAAAAAGCTTTTTTAAAAGACTGAGTTTACAGTTTTTTCAATTTGCTTTCCCGCTTCGCTTCGGTCTTTTAGTTAATCTGTATATTAGTGCACTTTTCGATTTCAGGTTATTTGAACGGTGTTTCTGTAGCCGTGATCCTTGCAGGTGCATCCCGCCAAAGCAACCGTGCCGGATGAAGCCACAGGAGCCGCTGCACTGGAGTTTATGCAGCGCACCGGGTTTTTGAATTACAAGTGTGCCGAATGCGTCTTTATTTTCCCCACGAAACCGTTGCTGGATTTGCACATGTTCACGCATAATTCCGCGCTAGTCGACCGGCCGGAGCGGAAGTGCCCGGGATGCCCCTTTGTTGGGGAAACGTTCGCCGGTCTGGTCAAGCATACCGTGCAGCATCGCGCTAAGAGGAAAGGCGGAAAAATTCCCTGTCCGTTGTGCGGAGTCGGGGTCGTCGGCAGTCCCCGCGGACACATGGAGAAACATCATCCCGAAGCCTTGGATATGATTGTGGAAAAATGGAAATTAGAGTGTCCGGAATGTCGAAAAAAGTTTGATCAATCCGGGGCACTCGGCCAGCATGTGCACGAGCGGCACAAAGGATGGCAGTGTGTGTACTGTGGATACAGCGACTGGAAGGGATGGCAGGGCTTCCACGAGCATATCGCGACGCACATGGAAGAGAAAGCACTTCCCTGCCTGCTGTGTGATCTGTCGTTTAAGGAATACTGGAAACTGTGCGTTCATATCCGGGATTGTCACGGCGCGGATGCCACCGAGTATGCCGACACAGTGGCGGGGAATGACGCTATCCCGACTCCAAAAAGTGTCCCTCCTGAGCTGGTGGAACGCGCCATCGAGCTGATGCGGGAGACGGAGGTGTTCTACTGCAGTTGCCGTGAATGTCGCCGGTCATTCGTTAGTTTCGATGTGCTCGATCTGCACCAGCTGCAGCACGAACCGCCGGGCAGTTGGGACGGCGATCCGCGGCGGCAGTGTCCGGCTTGTGCGTTTCACGCGGGAAGCTGTGCCGAACTGGTGCAGCACACGGCGCAGCACCGGTTGAACCGGTTTGATGCGCATCCGTGTTTGATCTGCGGGGAGACGGTGAAGCGGATGCGCGGTCATGTGGCCGAGAAGCATCCCGCCGAGATGCAACGGATTACGGAGAACTGGGAGTTTCAGTGTCCGGACTGCGATTACAAGTTCAAAAACCGCGGAACCATGGAGATCCACATTAAGTCGCTGCATAAAGGCTTCCAGTGTTGGTACTGCGCCAAAGTGTTCTACAACTCGAAACAAATCGGGAGTCATGTTATGGTGCACAGCGTTAACGGCCGATACCCGTGTCCAGCGTGTGAGAAGGTATTTCCGAGATATCCGCTGTTCAACAATCATTATCGGAAGTGTCATGATGCCACGCGAACGAAGAAGTGTAGTTTGTGCCCGATGGTGTTTTGTGGTGAGGACGATTTGGACGACCATATGACGACGTGCCACGATGCTGCCGTCGACAAAACGGGAACCAAGACGAAGAAGCCGGCCGCCGGCAAAACGGCAGCCAAGACGGAGAAGCCGGGAACGACGTCGACAAGCCTGTGTGATGTGTGTGGGGAGCGATTCAAAAACTACTTCAACATGTATTACCATAAAATCACCGTGCATTTGGGGAGAAATCCCAATTTGAAGCAGAAGCCGAAAGTGCGGACACAGTGCGATGAATGTCAGCAGCTGTTTGCTAGTGCACTCACCTTGATGACACATAAAAAGTGGGTGCATCTCGGTGTCTGCAGGGAGAAGGATAGGAAGATGAGGCTGCGTGCGGAAAGGAAGGCGGCCGGCATCCCGAATCCGCGCTATGTGAAACCGCGGGATCGGATAGCCTACGAGGATTTTAAGCACAAATGTGAGGAATGCCGGCTGGGATATGCGTGGGCGATTTCGCTGCTCAAACACAACGAATCGCGACATCCCGAGAAGATTATTCAGCAGACGAGCATCAGTCAATGATTATCCTGTGAAACCACTCATTTCCGTTAGCGCACTCCCGTGGAATGGTACGGTAATTATGTGGTGAGTGATATAACTTGATCTTTCCTGATTACTACTTTGGCGCGTTGTTGTTAAGTTTTATGTTTCTTTATTTGTTTACTATTTTAGCTGTGATTCAGTGGATCGCCGAATAAAATAAGATTCCCAAGCACGAGATTTCGGAGCATAAAATGTGCTCGATGAACAGGCTGTTGATACTTTCTGTAGTATACGATAGATTCGAAACAGTAACGCAATTACATACAATAATAGTATTCCATCAAAATGTTGTCTGACAGAACTTCGCCAATATGTACGTCATGAGCAACAGCCTGTGTACTATATAAAAGAAAAACAGCCATTATACTCGTGCAAGAACGGAATGTAAAACAATGTAAAACATTTTCAAAATTCAAACACATCTGCAATTAAACACAGGAAGACGATACAGGAAAACTAGCGCTGCTCGCCGCAGTTGCATCGCTCTCCATGTGTTTCTTCCGTTGATGCTGCTGCAGATTGCCCAGCTGCAACCAGCCTAACCGGCATTCCTCGCATTTATACGGGAACTCTTCGTAGCGCATCCTGCGTCGCGGGCACTTGTACTCGCTGACCACTCCCTTCCGGCGCATTTCCTCGCGTTCGGCTTTGCGCTTCTTCCGCACTTTATCCGTGTGAACCACCATTTTATGCTGTGCCAAATTGCTCGGTCTCTTAAACGTCTTTCCGCACAAATCACATTTAAAGGAATAGTCAGACCGGTGACTGTATTTATGCTGATCTAGGCCAGACTTAGAGCGGAACACCGAGCCACAGGTTTGACAAATATGGATCTCCTTGTGCGTTCTCGCGTGCTCCGCTAAGCTTTTGTAGTTTGTGGAGCTTTTCTGGCAGACTACGCAGGTCAAACCCGATCTGTGCTCCTGCCTTACATGCGCGTGCAACTGCAACTTCGACGGGAACTGTTGAGCACAAACTAGACATCCCAGTGATTGCAAACCTCTGTGCGCACACTAAAAAAGACAAGAAAACGTTGTATAAATCGCGTGCGGAAACACAGTGACCCCATTTCAGCACTGAAGGGTGCATAAAATTCCGCAGCACTTAGTATAACGACTTGAAAACATCTGGAATCCTTACATTTTTGTGGGTGGTGAGATGGACAGACGTCCGAAATCGTTTCTCGCACTGGTCGCAAGGCAGCGTCAGACTTTCTTCATACTTGAGATACTGCTCCTTGTGCGCATACTGAACATGCAAGATCATATTCTCCACAAACTCTCCGCACAACCGACATCGTTTTCGATCGTTCACCTTCGCTCCATGCCGACCGACGTGTTTCAGCAACTCCCTCGCATTCTCGGCCCGGAAGTTGCATGCAGGACAGACAACATCGCCTTGATAGTCATCCGGCACGTTGTGACCAAGTTGGTGCAGATCGCACAAGGTCTCCGTGCAAAATCGCAGCCCGCAACTCTGCATGCCGCAACTGTACATAAAACACATCTCATGCGCGTCATGGCTCTGCGCCAGCACATCCATCGGAGCGGCCGTTTTGGAAGCCAAGCTCATGATGCTGGGGTCAGCAGTCGGGATAAAATGGATGATCTGCGAGGCTTTCACACCGTGATCGTTGACGTGCCGTAATAAATTGGACAGCTGGCTGAATGACCGCTCGCATGCTGGACATTGCCGAGCGCCGGCAGCCTCACCGGTTGCATCAGTATGTTGCAGGTTATGCAGTTTCAGCAAGTTTTCATCCTTAAAATGCAAAGAACACTCCCAACACACGAACCGGTAAACGTAACTGAAGTAGCGTCGGCGTCTATCATGCTCATAATTGTCAAGAACAAGCGGTTTCGGATGCGTATTGAGGGTGTCTGCAACGTTCAACTGACCCACCCCAACAGCATCGACATCCTTGTGAACGGCCAAGGGATGCGCGTCATCGGCGTAATCTTTCCCCGCCTGTTGCGCTATCACTCGCATAACTTCGATATACTCTCGCTCGTAATCATCGGCGGTATCCTCGTTAAAACGATCCAGCACGTTGGGAAAATCGTCCAAATGAGTCTGGACAAACCTCTGCAGACTGCTGCAGGAAAACTTGGCCTTCTTCGCTGCACCATCATCAGCCAGGTACGCCTGCCACGCTGCTGTCCACGCGGCGCGGCGTTCACGTCGCGAGGAATACTGGAAGGGATTAATCGCGGCTACCGCCTTCAATCGGCGCATTCTTTCCGACCTGGTGTCGAGGCGTTCGACCCTCCTCAATGCCGCTAGCTGGTTCATCAGGCCAACATACTCTTCCGGCATCGAAACGCCGCGGCGTTGTGCCGCTTGGAACTTCCGAAGACGGTCCTTTACGGAACGCTGCAGCATGGGTCCATCCAGCGTCGGCATCCCGGGCGACGCCTGGTCCGTCGACAGCATGTTTACAACCGTGCAATATGCCTGCAACCGCTGCTCTCCAGCCGGATACTGGAATGGATTAACCGCAATCACGGCTCGAATTTGTTTATTCCGGGCCTCCAGGAAAGCAGGACCGGGGAGACGGATTGGCTCATTCCCTGTCGATGAATCTGCAAACGCCAAACAGTTACTATCTGTACAAGTCACGCTCGACAACCATTATATACTACCCGCTTGATATCTGTTTAACGCTTACGCATGATCAGAAAATTTACTGACCATTCGTTACCAACACCGTCTCCGTGGCTTTGCATACAACACTTCCAGTTTTCTTCCGGCAACGGCGTGAAGACGGCGCTTTTTCTTTCGTGCCACGTTTTGTGTTTTGCTCTGTAAACAAGCATACCGAAGATGACCGTACGCTCAAAATTGTTCGCTTATTTCTTGTACATTTTCAAACCGTTCGCACTTTTTGTCGTAGTATTATCCGAAGTCAAATTAGTTTCGCTGTCGCATTCGGAATCAAAAAAAGATGAACCTAAAAGCAGCGTAAGTTTTAATTACGTTTCTTTTATCCACACTCAGATTAATTTCATCCAAAAGCATTTTGGGCAGTTTTCCACAGTGACTAATGGCACCATACCGCTGTCATCCGCTAAACAGAAATCTTCATCGTTGTCGTCGGATAAATTCTGATATCGGTCTGATAAGTCGTCGGCTGCACTGGCGCGTACGACATTGCGTCCACGAAGGGAATAAACACGCGAAAAGGGCGTCTGTTTCGACGAAACACCGGCTGATTCTTCCTCTTCACTCTTCCGTTTTCCCCGATGGACCGCCTTCTCCGATAACGCGTCAGTTGCAACTGAGCAGAAGTTGGACGGAAATGGGTATTCTGGTGAGTCTTCGCGCTGACAACGGCGCAGCGCAGGCGGCGGTGCGACGAGGCATGAGAATCCCGTTAGCATCTGTTCTTGTGACTGCACTGGCACCGATGGTTGGAATTGCGGTAAGAAATCTGTCCGGTTATAATGTGGTGAAAAAGACCGTGCATCAACGGAGAAGCAAACAACAGGAACGTCCCCTTCCACGTTGTCAACTTCGGCATCATAATCCTCGCGCTTGACCAGGCAGGAATCATCACCCGCAACAGTCCCGCTTCTGACGCGCTCTGAATCCAAGAAAGGTCACATGAAGATACAATGAAGCAATGGAAAAAAATTTATTTCTCAATACGTACAAGGCGAGCTTCGCTCAGCGAATCAAATGAAGAATTTGTCCCAATTAACATGGGAAGGGACTGTGCACAATACACTCATAGCATTATCACGCATAATTTTCAAACGAAGCAATTATCTGACCCCTCAGCCCCATTACGCAACGGGCAGGCGAAGCAAATAACGTAAGGACAAGTCCAGCGCGAAATGAGAAATACAGGCACAGAGATCGACACGTCCACACGACTTACCCACAGACACTGCTGTAGTGTTGTCCACGTTGTTGTGGCGGCTTTCCTTGTGGTCAGATTGAGGCAGTGCCAGTGTGAGTTCTTCTCCCGGAAGGATGACCTTGACGGCGACGAAGTATACCTTGTGTTGACGGATGAAGACGCGGAGGTTGTGCTGGCCGTGGTCAGCCGTCCTGACCAACTTCATCCAGTTGCACCAACGATCGTTCTCCACACTGAACGTCGCACACTGCCCGTCGCCCGAAGAAAAGGTCCGCGAATGCGCTGCACCCGGACTACACAGCGGGCCGATAAACGGCCCGAACACCGTCTGCGGGCGGATGGCCGTGCGCGCCACGACCGAGGAGACTAACAACGAGAAATACGATGTTAAGCACTTAATTTTACCAATTATCCCCTAGCCAAACTCCATTAAGGGAGAAATCTTACCAAGCTATCGGAAAATTTTTTTGGTTCATTAAGAAAATTTTCTAGTTTTTTTGTTTGATTTTATCATTTTTAGAGATAAAAGTACCAATGTCGTGTGAGAGGCTCTGTGCAAACGTATACTGAAGGCAGAACATCAACTACAATCACATGTAAATTCTGGACTGAATTACCTGTGATGTTCTCCGGAGACTGGCAAACATTTTGGTGTGGGTTGTCGTTATGGAAAGCCAGCACATCAGGCAAACTAGCAAAGGCCAGCGGAAGACTGTATCCGTCCTGGACGAGCACTGCGTGCTGCCAACAGGGCTCCCGCAGGAAACACTGACACGCGTCGCAATCTACAGGATAATCAAAAATGACAACCAACAAGATTCAAGCATGCAACCAGCGTCAGCACATGACATGAGCTATTTACATAAGCATGCAGAATTCAGATGTCTCATACATCTGCAGTCGTAGTTTATTCAGTAACTAATGTTTTAAGTCATGTCCGACTCAGTCCGAGTATCTACGAGTACTTTAACTTTAGCAATAGCTGAATAACAACATAATAACCAGAAATCACGTCAGAGAACGGACTATGAAGAAACTCACAAAGAGTGTCGTGAAAACTCTCTCCGTCGGGCAAGAGTGGCACTGCATTCGAACTGGCTTCCATAAAGCATACTTAATTATAGATTCAGGGGAATGCTAAATTAAGTGATATGAAACTTTCCTTAATAATAATAACAGAGCAACGACGGTGAACGACTGTTCTTATCGTTAATAAACAAATTCAAAAGACTACATTCACGGATGATTCACTTAACACCACACGTTCATTTTCTTTCAGCTACTTCCGCACCCGGGAGGTGGCGCGTGCAGGGTATCGCAGTCTGGAAAGAAGCGGAAGTGCCAGTAAGTTTTTTGTTCGCATAGTTAACAGATGTAAAACATCTGTTGCAATTCTTTAACAAATCTACAGCGTCGTTATTACAAAAACAATATGCAACCATTTTAAATACTCTACACAAAAAAACCGGAATAAAAACTCTGCGAAAATTTCTTCCGCTGATGCCGCTACACGTAAAACCGATCGGGTCGGCATTCGTCGCATTTGTGCGGGAACTCTTCGTAGTTCGTACCGCATCCTCTGCTGCGGATACCTTTACTCGCTGACCACTCCCGCCCGGCGCAATTACTCCCGTTCCGTTTGGCTCTCCGTTTCTTCCGCACTTCATCCGGTCGTTTTATTTCTTGGCAGACTTGCACGTGTCTTGGAGGTCTTTCCGCACAAATCATAATTGAAAGCTCATTGAGAAAGGTGACTAGCTATATAACTATACGTAATAATGCTGCTTTAGCTTGAAATTGCAGGTCAACACCGCGTCACCGCGCCTCCGGTATCCCAAATATTTGCATATATGGACCTCCTGGTGTGTATTCGGGTGCACAGTGCATACGTATAAGCATCAAGCATGAATGATTTGTGCACGTTTTTCTGGCATACGACTGCAACCTGCTGTATGCTCTTTTTTGCTGTTTCTTGGGCAGTAATTGGACAACACATCCCATCTGCGACATCCCCTCTGAAACCGAAACAATTACGGCGTTCGGGTAGATTGATAAATTTTACGCACAATTTTTTTTGTTTGTTAAACAGTTTCTGCCCTTCTGTGATTGCACCTGAGATGTATCTGTAATTTCAAGCTACTTGAGCATGGCGTATACAACGTGCAGAAGCAACGAATTTTTAACAGTACGTACAACGAATAACGTCACTTTATAAAAAGCTGAACAAATAACATATCAACCGATTTCGGAATTCGGAGAGAAAACAGTATTCGGATTTAGAAAATAAATCGCCAAAGTCGCCCAGTTGATAATTATTTATAAATCGTAAAATAATACTGTTAAATAAAGCATCACGACTGTTGCGCACTGTCTCCCGAATGTTGTGTTGCGTTATGCTTCTTCAGGGCAATTTCTCGCATAAATCCCAACTGACACATGTGGCATTTGTGTGGGAAATCCGCAAAGGCCATGCGATCCCGCGGCTTTTTGTACGTCTGCCAGTGCGTGTAAATCCCCAGTCTCTTCTTCTCCGCGCGGTCCTTTTCAAACTTCTCTTTAAAATCTCCAACATGCTTCCAGCGTTTGTGCCGATACAGGCAATAATCCGTGGAGCATACGATGCCACATTCATCGCACGTTAAGCGTGATTTGCGGGATTCCTCCAGAAATTTCTGCGAGACTTCTCCAGAAAGCAATATTTTATCCCATTCCGCTTGGCTCTTTCCAAAGTAATGCACATTCCGTTTGTGATTATAGAGTGAATTATGACATTTTAGCACTTTCCCGCATTCCGGGCATTCGTAGCCGCCCGCAGGTGTTTTATTAAAGGTTACCCGGGGACGTTTTCTTTTCTTCTCTTTCTTGACTTTGCGGACTCTTTTCTGAGCACCATTAGCGTTTTTCATATGCTCAACCCGTTTTCCACCCGCAGACGTTTTCATATGGGATACCGGTGGTCGCTTTCTTTTTTCCCTATCTTGGATTTGTTGACCTTTGTCTGGACATCATGAACGCTTTCCATATGCTCCGCCAATTGTTTCTTGCCGCGGCAGACATCCTGACAAATCTCGCACGTCTTCATCTGCATCACATCGTGGCGTTCACGATAATGCTGTCTTGCGAGAGAATAACTCCCGAATTTTTTATCACAGGACAGACAAGGATATTCGCCGTTGACACTGTGTTCCGGCCGGGCATGCAGTCCCAACTCTAGTAGACTGCGGAACAGTTTTGCGCAGTACAGACACTGAAATCCTCCCACATGCACGGTCTTGATGTGGAAGTTAAGATTATTCTCGCTTTTGAAGCGTTCTCCACATTCATCACACACAAACTCCCAGTTCTCCTCTAGGCGCTGCAGGATCTCTGGATGCTGGGTGCGGAAGTGCCTCTTAAGATACCGAAAGTGTCCTCCGCAAACGGCACACGGTTTCTTATCCGTCGGACTCAAACCGTGCTCTTTGCTGTGATGCATCAAGTCGGCAAAACAGGCAGCTTCAAAATCGCATGCCGGACAACGACGCTCTGGACGCTGGTCTAATTCTTTGCTATCCGAATAATGATGTATCTTATGGAGATCCCATAGCGCTTTGATGGGGAAATGCAGGTGACAGGAGTCACAATAATAAGAAAACATGGATGTCTCTTGTTTGTGTTCAATAAATTCTGTCAACGTAGCACTTTCCGGCGCAGCTGCTGTAGTGTAATCATTTCCAACCTAAATCAGAATTCTTTAAAAACGTTCCCACATTATTTATCATGACAATGACAATAGGACGTATGCTTCAAACTGAGAGTCACATACAGTTTCAGTATGTTCTTCAGTTAATTGGTTCAAAACATCACTGTGACTTTCCCGAACATGCACAACAAGTGCGTCATATTTTTTATAGGATATTCCACACCACTGGCACGGAAACAACCGGTCCACGCGATGCTGCTTCACATGCTTAATCAGTGCATTCATGGTGGGGCCTCGGAATCCGCAGTACAAGCAGCGGGTGCGTTGGTGGCTCTTGTTCATATGAACCTTTAACCGGACCATATCGATAAAGGTTTGCGAGCACTCGGAGCATTCAAACGACCATTTCTCCTGCAATATCTGCCGCACTTCAGGATGCTGCGCGTCTGCATGCCTGATTAGGCTATCGACAAGCATGCCGCACAGAATACACTGATGTTGCTTCCCAAGGGTCCGCGAATGCTGCCCGGTGTGTTCAAGCAGCTCGGCAAACGTCGGCCCAGTAAACGTACAGCCTGGACACTTCCTCTCCGGTTGTTCTTCATGCCGGCTTCCATCAGTATCATGTGCGAAAGCGTGGATATTTAGCAGCGCTTCACTTGTGAACACTTTACGGCAGTCAGCGCAGCGGTAATGCAAGCATCCCGTTCTCTGGATATAATCCAGAGCAGCTAGTCGAGCAGTTTCGTCGAGCGGCGGAACGCGACGGTGAGCCTTTAAGGTAGAAATAGGGAACATCACAATCCGTTGGAAGTGACCTCATTCAGAGGAACAATTCATTTCTGCATAAAGGTATGGTGAAATACATAACAAATATTGTACAAAATCGATCATTCTATCTTGAAAAATATAAGTAATTAAATGTGACCATAAAGTATCGAGTTTAATTCGTAGCTGAAGGTCGTAGAATTAAATATCATAACTTTATTTTTTATGCTGATCAGATGGACAAGAATTATCGTTCGGTTTGTCCAAAGACACGCGAGTTAGTGAGCGAGTTACCATTTTCAGATGCACTCCAAACCCTTTGTGGCTTTGAAATTTTCTATGACACAGGAAGCAGGCGTCATCCACTGCACGGACATCCTCCTCCGTATGCGTTGTGTTGAGATGTGATACCAAGTATTTGAAATATCGACCGCAAACCAAACATTTTCCTTTTTTCCTAGATTGAAGATGTTTCTTGGTTTTCAAACTATCTTGGTTCCAGTCCACAGTTTCACCGGAGTCGGCTTCAAGGCTAACTGTCAACGGCAAATCCGAACCATCGTCCAGATGCCGCACACACATTTCTGACAGCGCGTCATCTGCGAGAAAACCAGTTAAACAACGAACGTACGCACAACCAAATGAAAAATTGCATACAAGGATGTAAAGCTTTACCATTGTCGAGGTTGCTGACCGGTGAGGCAGTCGCTGTTCGACCCAAAAACGCTGCGTTCTCCGTATCGAAGACAGTACACTCGCTCGCTTCAGTTGCTTCAACGTTGGCCTGGACCAAGCATTCCTCATCCCGAGAAAGGCAATCTGGCATTAAAAATACAACAGTGGAAGATCTTTTTCTTATTTTATTTTCTATATTAACCACAGCTTATTGCCTATATTCCAAACCAGAAAAATTATATATACGAAACGCAATAAAAAAAATTACCGTTGAGAATCTCTGAATCGGAAACACCCTTGTCGTCAGGACATTCGCTAGAACCGTCGTATGTCCTGCAGGGGACGACGGGAGTAAAATCCATTGCAAAGTCACGGTTAGCTGTGGAACTAACGTCAAAATTGATGAAATCGGAGGCGAGATTGTCCATCAAAGTGATGTCGGCCGGCAGTCCACTGGAAATGACTGCACCGGCAGCATTAGTGGCGTGGGTGTTGTTTTCGGTCGCCGTGTTGCCCTGATAGCCACGCCCGATGCGGCTGGTATAATCCCACGAGTAAGCCGATCTTCAGTTCCTCGTTCAGGCAGAATGCGGCGGATTGTCACAAAGATCACCAATCCCAAACGCAACGCGCCATTCGAAGATTGCCAGAACGGAACAGACTGCGGTACCTGACACAGCGGGAAACGTGTTAAAAACGGACAGGTAAGGACGGACGAGTCAAGATCTTATAAAATTTTCGCAGTTTTATCTCCGATGTTCCTGAATAAGCTCATAAATTTAGCTGATGGGTTCAAGTTGATTTCAGCTTAAGATTATAATGAGAAATTTGTCTGAGTACTGTGCCTGGAAAAATCACTCTAAACCACAGAGCTTCAATTTCATACAGCGCCGCAAAACATTTTAATTTTTAGAAATTAGGAAAATAACAGGCTTGACGCACGCTTCACCGCCTCAAGACGACAGTCGCAAGTTACAAAACAAAAAATCTACAAACAGCAAATCTTTAAAAGTTAGATGTCGCAAAGCAAAATTCTGTTACGTTATTTACTTTAAAAATTAATTACAGTATTTCGAACAAGAATATTGCCAGTGCTTACCTCAAAGACGGCGAGATTGCATTCTTGTGGATTGTTGGCGAATCTGACGTGTTTCATCCAGTTGGAGGTTCGATCGGAATCCAGCTGGAAGTAACGCAACTCCTCGTTCTCCGCATTCCCGCAAGCAAAGGCACACTCAGCGGGCTTAATGCTGGTCACCGATCCCATCAAGGGACCGAAGATTGTCAGCGCGGGAATGATTTCCCTGGCGAAGACGGCCTTCTCTGCAAAGCAACGCAACATGAACACATCCACACTGCAGACGTCTTTTCTGCTGTCTCCGCAACAGCAACACGACAACTGCCATGCACCCACCAGAATCATCGTCAACTGCAGCGTGTAGATACAGTGACTCGGGAAGACTGGCCACGGAATAGGGAATGACGAGCTTGTCGGGAGTGATACGCGCGTGTGTATAACACGGCCGTGGCGTGTGCGTTTGGCATTCTTCGCAGACTAGCAAGTAGCACACATTGAGCAGTTGGCCGGGGCACTGTGCTAAAACAGGACAAGATTTCGAAACAGCTTACATATTTGCCGAACTTGTTCGCACCGTCCAGGCGAGCGCATTGCGAACAAAGGGTCCTCTAAAGAAATTACGGTGATTTGTCGCAACGATGGCATACGTTAATGAGAAATCACGAGGTACCAAGAAAAATGAAAGTAATGTTTCGCTGACTGGAAGAAGGTTCCCCGCGGCACACATACCAATGATACTACCCCGAATTATTTTCATAAGAAATTCCTCATTTTTCAGACAAAACTGTGCAGTATACTGAGTACAGGGCCTATAGGCCGTAAAAGGCACCTTCCCAGTTGTTCTGGGACAAATAAGAAACGAAAATCAAATGAACGGGAATTTTCAAACATCTGTAAGATAAAGCTGAATCACGCTGCCATACGGGGTGGTGGCAGCTGCGACATGTCTTTGATAGTTTGTTGTCAACAAGCCGGGCATTGTTCCAGGCTCCAGCCGCGAGATCGACGGATCGTATAGCGTCAGTACGAGCCTCTGAGGGTTTCCGCTGCACTTACTTAGTTAGCTGCTAAATGTTGACCTCTGGATTTGACATACTGTACTGACGTTGATCGGGTAGATTGGAATTAATTTTTTCCGGGTTATGAATTTTAGGCACACAATTTTTTTGTAAAGTTTCTTTCCTTCTGTCTTCTGCGCTTGCACCGGAGATGTAATGCAACTTACTTGAGCATGCCACACACCACTTGTTGGAAGCAACGAATTTTACCTGGCCGGACAATGAACGACGTTCAGCATTATAAAAATCTCTACAATTAACACATCAACCGATCTTGGATTCAGAATAAAAGAAATCAGCCGCCTAAATCGCCTGTTTCATAATGTACAAATAGCCCAATACTGCAGAACCCAAACATCAGGACTGCTGTGCATAATATCCCAGATGCTGTGTTGCATTGTGCTTCTTCAGGGCAATTTCTCGCATAAATCCCAACTGACACAAGTGGCACTGGTGTGGGAAATCGGCGAAGGCCATGCGATCGCGCGGCTTCTTGTACGTCTTCCAGTGCGTGTAAATTCCCAGTCGCTTCTTCTCTGCGCGGTCCTTTTCAAACTTCTCTTTGTAATCCCCAACATGTTTCCAGCGTTTGTGCCGATACAGACTGTGAATGGTGGAACACAAAATTCCACATTCATCACATGTTAACCGTGATTTCTCCGGGATTTCCCCAGAAAGTAGTGTTTCATTCCACTCTGCTTGACTCATTCCAAAATGATGCACATTCTGCTTGTGCAAGTAAAGTGCAGAATATCTCTTCAACACTTTCCCACATTCCGGGCATTCGTAGCCGCCCGCAGGCGTTCGATGATAGGATATCCGTGCACGCTTTCGTTTCGTCCCTTTTTTCTTTTTACCGACCTCCCGTCTGGACATCGTGAACGTCTTCCATATGCTCAGCCAGTTGTTTACTGCCGCGGCAGACATGCTGACAAACATCGCACGTCTTTATCTGTGTCACATCGTGGTATTCACGATAATGCAGTCTGACGAGAGGATACTTCAGGAATTTTATACCACAAGAAGGACAAGGAAATTCGCCGTTGACGCTGTGTTCCGGCCGGACGTGCAATCCCAGATCTCGCTGGTAACGGAATAATTTAGCGCAGTACAGACACTGAAATCCTACATGTGCTACCTTCATATGGATGGCACGATTGTTTTCGCTCTTGAACCGTTCTCCACATTCTTCACACCCAAATTTCCAACTCTCTTCCAGGCGCTTCATGATGTCTGGATGCCGGGCGCGGAAATGTCGTTTTAAATGCTGAAAGTGTTCTCCGCACACTGCACAGGGCTTCTTATCCGTCGCACTTAAACCGTGCTCCTTGGTGTGATGCACTAAGTCGCCAAAGCAGCCTCCTTCGAAATCACACGCCGGGCAACGACGCTCTGGACGCTGGTCCAATTCAGCTTTATCCACAGAATGATGTATCTGATGCAGGTCAAACAGCACTTTAATGGGGAAATGCAGTCTACAGGAAGTGCAGTAATAGGAAAACGTCGTTGTTTCTTTCATGTGTGCAATAAATTCCGTCAACGTAGCACTTTCGAGTGCATCTGCAGCAACGAGATCAGTCCCAGCCTAAACAAGAATTTTTATAAAGAGCTAGAATCCCTTCACACATTTTCGAGGCAATGATCTATTTCTGACTGCAGGTCACATACAGTTTCGGCATGTTCCGCGGCGAATTGATCCTGAGCATCACTGTGACTTTCCTGAATATGCACAGCAAGTGCCGCATATTCTTTGTAAGATGTGGTACACCACTGACACGAAAACAACCCGTCCACGCAGTGCTCCTTGGCATGATTAATTAAAGTTTTCATGTTGGGGCTCCTGAATCCACAGTATGAACAGCGTGTACGTTGATGGCTAAGGTTCATATGACACTTCAACGCACCGATACTAATACAGGTTTGCGAGCACTCGGAACATTCAAACGGGCATTTTTCCTGTACCATATGCAGCACTTCAGGATGGCGCGACTTTGCATGTTTCTGTACGTGATCAACCGGCACTCCACACAAAATACACTGATTCAGCTTCCGTAGGGTGCGCGCGTGCAGACCGATGTGTTCAAGCAGCTCGGCAAACGTCGACGCAGTAAACGCACAGGCTGGACACTTCCTCTCCGGTTGTTCTTCATGCCGGCTTCTATCAGTATCATGTGCAAAAGCGTGGACATTCAGCAGCGCTTCGCTTGTAAATACTTTGCGGCATATAGCGCAGCGGTAATGCAGGAATCCCGTTCTCCGGATGTAATCCAGAGCAGCCAGTCGAGCGGCTTCGTCTGGCGGCGAAATGCGACGGTGGACCTTCAACATATAAAAGAAATACACCCAATCCATTGAAAATGATCTCATTTAAATGAGCAATTAATTACCGCATATAAAAATTGTATAGTAAGTTTTTTAGTATAAGCAAAAGTTTAGTCACCACTATTAGCAGAATAAATCTTACCTAGCTAACTGTGCCACTCAGAATCTGGCTTTTAATCAGTAACTACAGTTGCTGGAATTCCATAATTTTATGCTACTTTGCTGGATAAATTAGTTCGGGTCGTTAAGAGCGCACGCGGATTACCCTTTTCAAGTGAGTTGCCAGCAGTTTCGGGCTCCTAAATTTTCTATGGCACACGAAGCAAGCATCGTTCACTGCGCGTACATCCTCCTCAGTATGCGTTGTGTTGAGATGAGATATCAGGTCTCTGAAATTCTGACCGCAAACCAAACATTTTCCATATTTCCGAGACAAAAGGTGTTCCCTGGTTTTCAGACTTTCTTGGTTGGAGTCCATAATTTCACCGGAATCGGGTTCAGGGTTTTCTGTCAATGGCAAATTCGAACCATCGTCCAGTTGCCTCACAGGCTTTTCTGACATCGTGCCATCTATCAATACAACCAAAATCAGAAAAACAATAAAAAAATTGCATTCACGTCTGCTGGTAAAATAAAATTTACCATTGTCGCGATGGTCGACGAGTGTGGCAGCCATAACGTCGGAGTCCTCCGTATAGCGGAAAGTATTAACGCCAGTTTCGGTATCTTCCTCGTTGGCCGAAACAACGAATTTCTCATCCAGTGAAACAAAATCTAGCATGAAAATGTAAAAATAGAAGCTGTTTCCTTTATTACGTTAATTTATTTATTTCTAAGATAACCACAATGTGATTTGTTCTATGTTAATTTACCATTGACAACCTCCGAATCGGAAACAAACTCGTCGTCCGTACATTCGCTACCGCCGTCGTCTCTTCTGTCAGAAACGATTGAAGGGAAATCCAATAACACGTTAGCTGTAAGACTAACGTCGAAATTAATAAAACTGGCGGCGAGATTGTCTGTGTCAGCGCCGTCGGCCGGCAGTCCACTGGAAATGGCCGCATCGACAGTATTTGCGGCGTTGCTGGCGTTTCCGGTCGTCGTGTTTCCCAGATAGCCACGTCCGATACGGCTGGCATATTCCCACGAGTAAGCGACCTTCAACTCCTCGTTCGGCAAAATACGGCGCAGTGTCACGAAGATCACCATCCCCAAGCTCGATGAACCATTGGAAGACTGCCAAAAAGGGACAGACTGCGGCACCTGATAAAGCGAAAACGGACGACTAATGAAGAATTCAGCTCCAATAATTTTTTTAGAGTTTGCTTTGCAGTGTTCCCTCAACTGCATCATAACTTAATCTACCACTTACGTGTACAGTGACAAATTTATCTGAGTATTTTAATATCTTGAAAAATCATCGAAGATACATTTTCATAAAACGCCGCATCAATACATTTGTGGCAAATACTTATTTGTACTGTACCAATATTCAACTTATCGCACGCTTCACTACCTTCGGTAAAAAATCACTACTTTCACTACGCTTCACCACCTTCGGTAAAAAATTCACTACCTACCTTCGGTCACAAGAAACAAAAATTAAAAATCTTCAAAAAAAATACAAATACCAGCAAAAATATAAAAAAACATCTTCGTGCAACGTTAATTTTAAGGATAGTTACTGTAGTAAGTAACTGAATCATTATTGACCACTGCCCTAAACTTACTTCGAAGACGGCGACGTTGCATTCTTGTGGATTGTCAGCGAATCTGACGTGTTTCATCCAGTTGGAGGTGTGATCGGAATCCAGCTGAAAGTAGCGCAGCTCCTCGTTCTCCGCATTCCCGCACGCGAAGGCACACTCGGCTGGTTTAATGCTTGTCACCGATCCCATCAAGGGACCGAAGATTGTCAGCGCCGGAATGACTTCTCTGGCGAAGACGACCTTCTCTGCAAACAACGCAGCATGACACATCCACTCGGCAAATCAAATGCGTTGTTTTTTATTAAACCAACCAGAATCATCATCAAGTGCAGCGTGCAGCTACAGTGATTCGGGAAGACTGGCCACGGAATAGGGAACGACGAGCTTGTCGGGAGTGATGCGTGCGTGTGCGTAACAAGGCCGCGGCGTGTGAGTTTGGCATTCTTCGCAGTCTAAAAAGCATCAGCTGCTCAGTCCGTCGAGGTATCCGCGTATCGTGCTAAAGGAAGACTCTGCAGACTTCGATGCAGCTTACATATTAACCCAACTGGTGAACATCGTACAGGCGAGCGCATTGCCTACAATAGGTTCCTCCAAACTCCAAAGGAACTTTGTGGTTTGTCGCAAGGAGTGAACAATCACAGGGTACAAGTTGTACGTCAAAGAAATGCAAGAAACGATCCGCTGACTGGAACTCAGAAACTAAGAAGCACTCTGTAAGTAAATATGCAACTCCACTAAAAGTAATCACAAGTTCATATCACTTTTATCTTGTACGATCCAGATAAAAATAACAACGCGAAAGTCGGCAAAACTGAAAGTCACAAGACTCACAACTAACCCTACAAGTATCTGTAAAAGCCAAAGTAAAATTGTAAAACAGTAATTAAAAGTAATCAGCCATCTAAAAGGCATACAGCTCCAAAAACATGTGGGACAAAAAAATTTTCAGCTTTCAAGTTTCACGACCAAGATGTGTCGCGCTGCCACACGGGGTGGTTCTAACTGCGTCACTTGCCGGAAGTCTGAAAATCGGAAGTCTCCTTCGTTCTTTTGAAGGTCTGATTTTAAACTTATTCTACAGTGGCTGTGTATTATTAGTTATTTGGTTTATTTTGCGACATCCAGAGAAGATTAACCAGCAACCATTGATGACTCTGTGAACTGTGAGTCATCAATTACAATAATGTTTACTGGGCAAAGGCCATCAGTGTAACAAAAGTGCATACGCGTAATACTACTTAAAATGATACAAGTTTAAACGTTAAAAAAACAACCAAAATCGTTATCGCCGTCAAAAATCCTAGGACGCATATTCAAGGTGCCCAAAACAGCGGCAGCGTTTCCTTTTACTACAGCCAGACTTAATCTCTGCTTCAAAAATGCAGTAGAACGAGGTTCCCCGGTCACGTCGCGAATCTTTCTGCCAGCGAAACGGATGAGCTCCATAAAATCCGAACCGAATGTGCCAAAAGTTTCGACTGCCAGGGCGTAAAACAGGTAACCCATCCTTTCCACGTGGGCGTATTTACGGCGTTTGCAGTCTTCGGCCATATGTGCAACACTACCGGATGCGCTCGCACTTGCCCGGACATGCGATGCAGCTACTGTGTCCCAGCATGTGGCGTCCCATACCAGCGCCTTACCATCCCGTACCGGCACTGGTCATGCCGTCTGGCCGCGTGTTATCTTCGCCTGACAGTCCGAGTGGCTCGCTTTGACATGGATACCCAGCATGCTCCAAAGCCCGCTTTGTTTCGGCATTTAGTTCGGTATGTCTAGACCATCTGCCTCTGCTGCTGGAACAAGAAAGGCCATGGTGGCCGTTCGTTTCTACATGGCTTCCGCAGTTCACACAATCGTGTTAACCTGCTACTGGAAGTCCAAAACGAAGTGCCACGCCGATTCGTACTTCTTCGTCCCGCAAGAACGTACGTAGGTTTGGAGCAGGCAACGTGAAACGGCAGTCCGGTACCCTTGTCACACGATACTGCTGTAATGACCCCTTTACCAGCTCCAAGACTATAACCCGCATTTTCCTTCATGTGGGCTCAATCCTGGAAAAAATTATTCCTTTCTTTGGCCAGTGTTGAATCAATGCGAACCACAGCAACAAGCTACACGGGCATGCTGCCGTTTTCCCCGCCACTTTTTGGTGCAGATTTCCTGACTCGCTTCCTCTTCCGCCCGCTTCCCTGACCGTGCTCCCGCTGCATGTGCTCGGCCAACTTCTGCTGTCCGCCGCACACCACCAGACAAACCTCGCACACCTTCATATTGGCCACATCGTGGCACTCGTGGAAATGCTCGCTGGAGGCATCGTACGTGGGGAATGTGGCAGTGCACGACGAGCACGGGTACACACCGTCAACGGCATGTTCCGCGGTGTGCGCGTTGAACTCCTCTGTTGAATATAAAATGCGAGCGCAGTACCAGCACTGGAACTGCGGATGCACTTTCTTCATGTGCGTCGTGTAGTTGGCCTTCAGCTTGAAGGTGTAGCCGCATTCCGCGCAGAGAAAATCACTGTGCTTGCCCAGTTGTTTCATTTCTTGCGGGTGCTCCAGACGCATATGATCCTGCAATAAGGTTTGCAATTTAAACCGTTCCGTGGCGGTTTTGAAATAATTTCAAACGAATACAACTAAAGATTAAAAAAATTTAGAAAATTTATCTTCGGAAATATAGGAATAGTTTTTCTGTTATAGTAATGTCATTGAAATAGCGATAGTTACTAATATACACTTAACGCTTATGTTTAACAGTTATCGCACTGTGTTATATTATATCGGCATTTGATCTGAGTCCCAGTCAATTCAACTTCTGCATCAAAAGTTATTTTACGCAGTCGCACTTTATTTTTAATTGTTATTCACTGTATTTTACTGAAACGGCGTTTAACTGGATCAATTTCTTCATAAAAACATTAATTAAAAACTTTAGATTACTGGTTATAAACCGTTTCAAAATCTAGAAGCCCAGTGTGATTTTCAAAAAAAATTTGATTTCAACCTAGAATACGAAACGTCTGTACTCTGTAATTGTGATATTAACTCCACCTTCAATCGTGGACTGTGCAGTCCACAGATGACACAGGGCCGGCACTCCTTCCCGGAGGACGAATGCACCCAGACATGCGCCACTAATTCTGCAAAATTAGCGGCATGGAACTCGCAAGCGGGACAGTCCCGTTCTGATGTTGGTAATGCTCTGTTGAAAGCTGTGCGGATGGAAGAGTTCGTGGTGGGAAGTGGTAACATCGCCGACAATGTGAAGGTTCCTCTGTTATATGTCCGGCGGTCGGAACTTGTTGGGGCACAAACGCCTTCTTATCCGTGGCCGGAATCGTTCGTCAGTGGATGGATCGTCATTCACGGGTTGATCAACTGCAACTGTTATCGCAACTAGTCGCGAAAAAATTGGATTAATTTGACAATTCGCTGTTGCATGCAGATAAAGCGCTTCTTGCGCATTTTCTTCGCAACAGGAATATTATAAATCATTAATTTAGTCAAATTGCAAACTGTCTAGATTATAATTTCAAATTGCAAACTGAAGGAAAAGTATTGAAGTTGCATATCGCAAATACATGCCAAATCAAGAAATCCAAAAACGCGTTTCTGAGCCAAAATGTGTCAAGAAATCCAGACAGAAACGGCATTTCATCGAAACTACCGCATCCCCGTCACTGCAGGGCAGTGAGCTGGACGCTTCGGCCAACATTGTAGCAACCTCCGGCATCGCCGACGTCACTGCAGGGCAGTGAGCTGGACGCTTCGGCCAACATTGTAACAACCTGCATCGAAGTCGTAACTGCATAAGCGACACTCTATGGCCGACCTATCACTCGCTTGCTGCGACAAACGCAATAAGCACAAGCCTAGAGCAGTACAATAAGCCAAACAATTTTTATCTGTAAGACTGTAGCCAAACAAAATCTGTAAGACTGTAACAAAAATGCAGTAAAGCGCTAATTTTACTGGTTAATGTAGAATAGTGGCTTCCGTTATACTGACCCGCAGTGTATACAAAACAATAACGCAGCAGCAAACAGTTCAATATTTCCTATGATCAACTAAATTGATTCTCGCACGTACTTTTTTTTATTTCTATTATGTGTAATGAAATGCAAACTTGACATAATGCGAATTCTAAGGATCGGATGAGAACTTGAAGTCTTGTAGCGCACAAGTCAACGTTTTTGGATGCACGCTCTATGCGCGGCCGTGCATTACTCCCGGCTTTATTATCCACAACGACCTACCATTTTCCAAATGCGCTCGACATTTCCAGCTCGCATTACGAATCATGTCGGCATAATTTGATGAATATCCAAGTTTCAATTCCTCGTCCGCCGAAATATCTTCCGTTGTAACGAACATGACGCGCGTTTCCAACAGTCGACATGCCGTTGATTCGTCGGTTTCTTCGACCTGAATAATTCCCAAGGATTTTACCGATTAAGTTTCATATATCGGTTGCTTCTTGGAATTTACTAACTATCACATCACTGCAAAAGCAATGGCAAAATTTCAGTCATCGAAACCAACGATGAGACAATGCTATTTCGTCTCGACGTCGATTGCTAACACATTTCATTTCCGTACTGATCGTGAACAATATATAACAAGATTTCCAATTCAGAATCGATAAACTTCAAAATGTCACCTCATAAACAGCAACATTTTGCTCTGCTGGGCTGTCGGCAAATCTGACGAATTTCATCCAGTTGGCAGTCTCATCTGAATCCAACTGGAAATATCGAAGGCCTTTATCCTGAACATTCCGACAGACAAAATCAAATTCATCCGGTCTCGTTTCGGAAATCGATCCAACTAAAGGCCCGAAGACGGTCAGGGAAGGAATGGTCTCTTTGGCAAACACTGCATTTTCTGCAAAACAGCACAAAGATATGCGAAGAATAAAAACACGCAGATATTTTACACCGTTTTATCAAATTTCGTTCCGAACGGCCGAAGAAAAATTTAATATAATGATTTTGATATCATATCCTCCGCAGGATCTGTACTCGTACTAATTCAACTGAATTTACCAATTAAACTGGATGAAATAACAACTACGAGTAGTAGTCTAGATTCTAGAAGAACTCGAGAGTTATTCACCTTCCGCCCGTATCAAATACAGCTTTTCCGGCAAGCTGGCCACAGCGTACGGCGGAGCAGTTGTATCGGGCATAGTCTGCAAATGCAAAGGACATGGCTCCACGTAAACCTGCTCGCATTGGTCGCAATCTGCAAAACCCTAAATATTACTAACACGCCATCAAAAACTAAGAAATAATAACAAACAATGAACAGAGCAGCATAAATTCCAGAAGAAAAAAATGCACAACAGTCAGATATACCCGCAGCACGTAAGAGTGCATAATTCCGCCAATGCATCGCGGCTGCAGCTAAAAAAAAGGTACTAGTACTCGTATTAAATTTTATCCACAGAATGTCTTAGTATTTGCACGTTTGCACTGTTATTTATTTCTGAAAAATTTCTGAAAAATAGTACTATTATAATAATTTTATTATTATTTGGTACTATTGTTATTTTCACTGTTATTATTATTTACTATTTTTTGCAAAGTACATATTATCATTAGTGTACTCGTACTTACAGATTCCCCGAACGGTCTGGCGAACTGGCCGCTCATCCTCCGCACTTAACGGCCCCTCCCCGCCCACGCCGCCCTGCCCGGTAAGTCGCTTATACTCCCGTTCCGCCGCCTTCCAATTCTTCGGCTCCGCAGCGGGCACGCTGATCATCAGGGGCAGTGGCGACACCGTCACCCAGAACTGCTCCGCCTGGGCCCGCGCGTGGTTGTGGTAGGTTGTTTTCTCGTGATTGGCATAGTACGCCGTGGATTTCTTGGCAGCGTCCAGCGGTGTGCCGACCAACTGCGCATGCCAGGGTAGGCGGTGGCCCTGCCAGCCGACGGCGAAGCCCAGGGAGCAGAAGCGACAGTAGGCCCCCCGGGCGGAGGGGGAGTACGCCAGCCAGGGGTACTGCTGCTGGTGCGCCACGTGGAAGGCGCCGTCTGCGTCGTTCACGGGATCGCTGTCACCGCTGGATGGATGGAAGCATGGTGTTAATAGGCTGATTAGGGCGTCTTGGTCGCAGGCTTCCCAGTTCCTGTTCACATGGTCCGCAATATCCAACGGCGAGGATTCGGGGGTGCCAGGTATGCTCATGATTCAGATCCAGTCTAAGATCGCTGCTGACAGATCGTACGGTTACGACTTAAGGGCAGGAGGAATATCGAGTTTTGCTGCGATTTCCTTTTCGACATGTGCGTTTCAACGGCTGCAATCAACAAACAGGCAGCAAAAACTTCTGCTGACAACAGAAAATGCACCAGAGATTGTTTTGCTTTCCAACGAGCACTCGGGCAAAGGAAGTCAGACTCACAGACTGGCTGTAATATTTCCCAACCAAGCGCCACACGAGTTGGGTTGCGCGCAGATACAATTTGGAGCCAGTAGCAGCCGCCCCAAACGTGCGCGGTATGCGGATGCCGACTGTCGGCCGGCTTTCAAGCAAAATTTTACTTTCGGGAAAAAATTTGATAGTAAATCCTGCTGCTATATTTTCGCAGCCGCTACATTTCTACGTGAGATTTTCATATCTCCGTAAACGATTCAATTTTTTTAGCCGAGCAGTCTGGAGTGCTCCACTAAAGTTACAAAGTGCCCCACTAAAATCACGAAGTACTTGCAGTCACGGAATAAATAATCCATTCCGTGACTGCAAGTATGAAACGTTGAATAGATGTTTTATTTGCATATAGTATTTTATTTTGAAAATAAATCCAATTTAGGTAAGTACTACCACAATTTCTCCCAAAATTATCAGAAATAATACGGCAAAATAATCCACAATACGTTTGTTTTGAAGTGCCGCTGGCGTTCACACCGCTGCGTAACGTGGGAACGCCCATCCGCCCGACGGGTTGACCGGCGCCGGCAAAGCTGATTGTAAAAATGACGAAATAGAGTGTCTCGTCTGGTAATCCTCGAGAAAGCAGCCAGACACAGCCAGCGGAACGTCGAGACTCGAATCGAAACCAGACTGTCGATTACGTCATTTTTCGTCCTTGAATCGCGATGACAGCAAGTCGGCAATAAAACGAGTAATACGTATAACCTTCCTGACTCCTGTCTTTCCTTTTCCCATCATTACTTCCCAAAAGCGAAAACATTCTGTCCGTAATTTACTTTCATAAATCCCATCTTCTCATCAGTTTTTGCTGGCATTTTAGTAATATAATATGAATTGATGATCTTTTAGGAAAGCGATTCTGCTTTGTAACTGATTCGAATTAAATTTGCCGGCTCGATGTAAAGCCGGGTTTATTTTTTGTGAGACGAAGACTTTGTACCGATCTGTATTTGCCATAAAATGAAGTGTATGAAATCTTGTTGCTGCTCTCTAAAAACCGGATGTTATGCTGTGACGTTCTACACACTGGTAAGATGACATTTTTCCCAGGGATTCAGTTAATACCGTATGTTTATATACGACCCGCTTACTGGTTAGTCATTTTTACATCTGTCTGTCGTCAGCTCGTACGCATAAAAAAATACCTCAATCTTCTGACGTGTAAATGATGCAGGTGACAGTCGTGTTGACGTTTATGCTGAGCCACGTGTTCCGCGGTAGACAAGAATACGCGCCCTGGACTAGATTCATGGACATCGGATTCACACTGGCTCTGCTCATCGGGACGATGATGCTGTATAAGGGACTCAACAACGTAAGAAACGCTACATCTGGCTTGAAATTGTACTGTACATATAAAAAATATCTACCGTATACTTCATACTGGCTTAGCGCTATGTTATGTACCGTAGAATATACGGTGCGTACGGTTACCAAAATACAACACATGTACTTGTACAATACGATTAGGTCAAAGCCAAAGATATGTTAAAATTTCTTTTAACATTTCCAGAACTGTGTTCCGTTGATTGCCGGCTGGTTGACCATCTTCCTGGTGAGAGTGTCCTACACCATTGGACTGCTGTTCTTCGAAATTTACATTCTTGTTCGCGTCTTGACCGGTACTCTGGTAAGCATGATTTTGTATATTTAACTACCGACCGGATGGTCATGCAGTTGAATGTATCACTCTGCAATTAATATTCTGCAAAAGTTTATTTGGATATCTTCAGTTATTAATTCCTTTAAAATAACAAATAGCAATATTTTCTCGGCATTTGTTTACTTTACGTAAGTATGTTCCCGGTCCGTGCTGGCTAAATTTTGTTTGTGCTTTTTCCCATGCAGTCCCTCAGCATCTTCTTCCGACACGAACTGCCCACCGCCATTCTGGTTTCCTGTGGCTGTGCGACCTTCGATGTAAGGTGTAGTGAACAGGAAACTTCATTTTCGCATTACATGTTAAAAGCATACCATAGCTTAAATATCTTTGACGGTTTGACCATATAGAATGAGATGTGCCGGTAATTTTGATCTTTTAACATACATACGGTACGTCCACATGCATATTACACTGTGTAATGCTACACCACGAAAAAACCTTTAAAAGTTAACGTTTTCAGGGACGTACCATGTACATTACTGTTCAATCAGTACCGAGTACAATACATCCCGTATGTACTGTACTCACGTACTAATCATGTCTTTTATAAAGTCTGATTAATTATGCGGATTAATTGTGCATCTGATTAATTATGCTTAATTGTAGATTGCTGCCATAGTTATCGTGGTAAGTTTCCTCCGTAAGCTGAGCGATACAAAGCCACCGGCACTGTCGGATGCAACTGTATCTGCTGGACAAAGTCCGGCACCGAGGGACTTACCTATGGACTTACCGTAGCGGATGCATGAGCGAATTGTGGCCATAATTTAATTCTTAACCACAAAATTATTTAGTCAGACGTCACGGTTTTACTGCCAATTTACCTCTGCCCTTGGCAATTATCTGTACAGTTTTCACTTTTCTTGCATGGATGACTATTGTCAAGAAAAAGTTTACTTTTGTGTGCCGATATTAAGTTCTCAGAAACGAACAGGAATGCAGGAACAGTGTGAAGACTTCTAGCTTCTTCTTGTGAACAGAAGTTTTATTTGTGCATATCAAAAGCTGCTCCAGAAGTACATACAGTAGAAAAGACCTCGTTGCATAAACACAGTGACAAAAACACAGCTGAATTACAAAACGGCATGTGGACCATAACGTCGAACGACACAGTAACTTCCACAAAAAAAGCAGTTTATCGTTTTGATCCTTTCCAGCGGTTGCGTTTGTACAAGTAACCCGCAAACCGGTTATGATCACAACTGACGTCTCAATTTCCCAACAACAGTGTAGCATACCGAAAAGTATCAATAATTATTTTCGTACTACTGTACAGTCAGTACAAAGTACTGTAAATTTTCGAAACGGTTCCAAACTGTTCATACGCAGAAGCCCCACATTACTGCAGTATCGGAGATTTCGTCTCAAGTAAACCGGACGAAAAGTTATCGGGAGTACTGCGCTGGTTAAACTCGCTCAATCAAGACGACACTTATTCCAGCAAAAACATTGACCACGCGCTCTAATCACCTTCTCAATCGCTTCTTTTTCTGAGAGCCACCAGTTTCCTCCACTGCTTTCCGTGTTCTCTTGGAGGTGTTCTTTGGCGGTCTTTTTGGAGATACAAGTAAAACATCTTCGACATTCGCTGTGGTTTCTGCAACATGCTCCGTTGAAACACTGGCAGCGACTTTCGTTCGGAGCAATTCCATAGCTTCTTGTACATCTGCCGGAGCGAGAGTACAAATCGCGTTCAAATTCTCCTCGACAGCTGCGAATTGTCTGCTAAACAATTCCTCAGCAGAAGGAGCAGTGCGCTCCGGTGCTGTTTCTTTTGCATCCAGCGATTTGCAAATTTCACTCGGCTCAAAAGGGAAAATACCCGCTTGCCGAAACTCAGAAATCAAGCTGTTTTCCAGATTAAATTGAGGCAGCGTTTCCACAAGCTGAAGGGCGAAACTCTGCTCATGGTCAACCTAGAATTCACCAGCAAAAGTGATTATTCATTATAATCAATTTTAAAGATTATAACTGTTACAAATGCAGACAGGGAGCAGTACTCGAAAACGAAACGTCAAATTCTTTACAACTTACTGCTGCAGAACACAGGTAGTCTCGACAGCGTTCTTCAACCGGTTCAAACGCCCTAACATCGACGGGAAGCAGCTGAGTTAGAAGGCGCACTGGAAAACGCACTACTTTGATGTCCTTATCACTAGCCGCGCACTCCAGAAGGAACTCGAGATTGTTGAGGTAGGAAAAATGCCCACCGACAAAAATAACATTCTAAAAGCATAAAAAAAATCAACAAATTAAAAATATAATCAATATACTCAATCAATAAAATTGTTCTGACACAACTATAAAAATCTCTCATAAAAATAACTTGCCTTTTGCGCTTGCAGATTGGGAAAGACTTCCGCGCGAACATAGTCAGCAAACGTTTCCGGGTCCATTCCTCCGGACTCGGTGGAAGCGATGTAGCAGCGGTCCGCGGTTCCGGCGATCTGCGAAGGCAGGTGCTGGACGTCAGGAAATATTAACAGTGGCCGCAAAACTAATCCGTCCGCTCTTCCACAGAACAGCGCCGTCACCATTCCCTGATGCGCGCCATCAACTAGGGAGAGATCCTCTTCTTCGCTCCGTGGAGTACATGCGTTTTCGGTGTTTTCTGGCAGCATGAAAACGCATTCGTCCAAACTGAAGAGTCCCCGGGAATCGGAGAGATATCCGTACGCGTGCAGTTCACTGAGCGTCGTCACCCATTTTGTGCAGCGCTCCACGGTCCATTTTCTGATCTTTCCATTTTTCACTTCCCTCGGATGTTTTCCTTTTGTGCTTCTTAGGTGAATTTCAGGATGCCGCCGTAGGAATAACCGATGCCAGGCGGACGACATGTTCGCTTTTTCTTTTGCAAAGCCTAAAAACAGTCTAGAGTGCCCATTGATTTTTGCGAACATTCCCCACAGAGTGAATGGTAAGAAGTAAGAGATGTACAGTAATTCACAGCCTCAAATCATTTCCATTTAAATGCGTAAAGCTGAGAACTGCGAATTATTTTTTATTATTAATAAATACTGAAGAAATATATTTCAGCGTTTTATTATTCAAAAATTAAGCAATATATTCCAGTAATTATTATTAAATAATATGAGTCGAAGAAACAAAAGTTTACAAAATGAATAATTTGTTGGTACGTGCACGCGACTGCACGGTACGATACACCACGCAGACGAGAAGCTTCAATTCAAATACCTTTCTTTATCGCAGCTATTTCCACCACTTTTCGGAAGATTGCCTTGTCCAAGGGAACCCCAATCTTCGCCATATTCACAAGCACTTCCGCAAAATGATCCTCTTCTGAATCCGAAAACTTCCTAGACTGAGCTCCACGAACACCGGAGTGTTCCCCTCGCAGCTTGTAAAATAACGTGGCCCTTGCCACCCCAAACTGTCGTGCGGCCCTTGTCAATGGCACTCCACTGTTACAAGCGCGTATAGCTGCTTCCATCCTCGTTTTTTCTGATACTTCGTCCTTCTGGTTTTGATTTCCAACAGCCAAGGAATCGTCATCATTTGATGGCAAGCCCGACTCGTCATTATCGCAATATCCGGCAGAAACGGAATCATCAGAATACTCCTCGACATCTTGAGACATGGCAGACGAATGTCAATGAACACAATAAAGAGAAGCTTCAAGAAAGAGATAAAGAGATATGTCACATATGCTTCTAAAATCGAAATACTTTAAAGTTAAAAATATAAAAAGAGCAAGTTAGCAGCTGTTAGCTGCTAAGTTGCTAGCTGCTAAGTTGCTAACTGTTAGCAACCAAGAAATTTTTTCAGAATGATTGGTTGGATTACTAGTGCCAGCCGCTTGTACGCAGTAACGCAGGGTGTAAGGCATGCTGAGGCATTTCCTCAATGGGCATCCTCCCCGGCGTGTGGCGGTCTTACCTTGCAACACATTCCGCTGAACTTCTGCTCCTCATCTCATGGTCAGTCAGCTGCAGCATTTAAAATGCTCAAAAATCAAAATAAACATAAACTTATTTTTTCGCTAACATCAAGGATCACCATTTCTCTGTTTGATTTTGATGCTTGTGGAAAATTGTCCTGTTTGGTATTTTAACACAGAATTTCTAGATATCGCACTTTGATGTCTTTCCTTCCCCTTTTCGATCTGTTCCCTTTTTCGCGCCATGTCTCAGAGTACTGAGAAGTATCCTGATGACAGCCTGTCTACTGGATCAGTCGGATGTTCTGATACTGATTGTTGCCCTTTGCCATCGAATAACGACAGCGATTCGCCAACTGTTGGGTTTCCATGCCAGAGGGAAGAGCTGCCAAAAGGAACGAAGATGGAGGCAGCTATACGGGCGTGTAGAGATGGAATGCCAGTGACGCTGGCAGCCCGACAGTTTGGAGTTGAAAGAACTACGTTACGCTACAAGCTGAAAGGGGAGCACGCTGGTGTTGCTGGATACCAAACCAGAAAGTTTTCCGATGCTGAGGAGAGTTGTTTTGCTGATGTACTGGTGCGCTTGGAGAAGATGGGAGTCCCCCTGGACAAGACAATCTTCCGGAAAGTGGTGGAACTCACAGCGCTGGAAAAAGGTATTTTGTAATTTTTTCTAGATTTTATGTCTTTGGCATTTTTGTGAAGTGACCGAGAATTACAGTAACTGCCTTTAGTGCTAAGAAAAAGTAACATGTTTAGGAAGTTCTTTTGTTTAATTTGGGTTGATATAAGTCCGTCCAGGAAGAGATGTACGAGTACTTACTAGTAATCGTGAGTGTGCCAGCGAAATAATAAAACAGACTGCGCAGATTATTACAGATGTATTATCGTAGTGCAATGGCCACACTAGCTGGTTCTGTAGCTGTTACGTGGTAGCGTGGCGTGCTTTACTGCGGCTAACCCAAACCCGTGCGTTACAGTTTAACTTTTATTGACGTTTCTTTTTAGGCATTCCGCTGGCGTGCATGTCGGACATGTACATCCGGTCATTCCATCAACGGCATCCGGAAATTACTTCAAGAATTGAGATTATAGGAAAGGAACGCAAAGGTGATAGAGAGTGGACCGTGGAGAATTGCACAAAATGGGTGACGACGCTCAGTGACCTGCACGCGTACGGATATCTCTCCGATCCCCGGGGACTCTTCAGTTTGGACGAAAGCGTTTTTCCCCTGCCAGAAAACACAGAAAAGGCATGTGTTCCACCGATTGCAGAAAAGGATCTCTCCCATGTTGATGGCGCGGATCAGGAAGTGGTGACGACGGTGTTCTGTGGAAGGGCGGATGGAAAAGTTCTGCGGCCGCTACTCGTTTTTCCTGACGTTCAGCACCTTCCTTCGCAGATCGCGGGAACTGCCGACCGCTGCTACATCGCGTCCACCGAGTCCAGAGGAATGGACCCGGAAACATTTGCTGACTATGTCCGCGCTGAAGTCTTTCCTAATATGCAAGCGAAAAAGGCAAACAAAAGTTTCTACAAAATTAACAGCGGCATTAATCATGTCAGTAAAGATTGATTGATTTCTGTGCGTGTAGAACGTTATTTTTGTCGATGGACAATTTTCCTACCTCAACAATCTCGAAATGCTTTTGGAGTGCGCTGCGGGCAGTATGGATATTAAATTCGTCTGTTGGCCAGCGGGCCAAACCAGTTATCTCCAGTCCCTAGATGTCCGCGCATTTGAGCCGGTTAAAAAGCGCTTGAATGAGTATATGCCTACTCCGTCTCCGCAAGTAAGCATCTAATACAGTAAAATGCCGAGAAAATAATGAATCATTGACCAAAATTTTAAATACTTCGTATGGGGTACAGTTTCGACATATGTTTTTTTCTTGGATATAGTATCATCCCCAGGAATAACGAATACCAAATTTCGTTATAAATTTTAGGTGGGCAGTCGAAGCTTTGCTCTACATCTCGTGGAAATGCTGCCATTGTTTAATCTGGAAACCACTTTGGTTGCCGAATTCCGGCACGCCGGCATTTTCCCTTTTGATCCGAGCGAAATTTGCAAGTCGCTGAAAACCGAGAAAATTGTCCCGGACCGCGTTCCGCCTTCTGTTGAAGAAATATTCAATAGACAGTTTGCGGATGTGGAGGCGGCTTTGAAAGAAATTGTCACACTTTCGCCAGCAAATATCGAAGACACGATGGAATTGCTCAAGCAGAAAGCCGCTGTGTCCATTTCAACGGAGGGTGCTCATAAAATTGAGTCGGGTTTTAGAAATGAATCTCCAAAGAAACCGGGAAAGCGGCTGAAGCATTCGAAGAAGAACCCGAAGCGGCCACGTAAAGTACCGGGAAAAATTACTAATATTGCGAAAAGAAAGAGATTGCAACGTTAGGTTGTGGAGGTTGATCACGGCGATGTTGTTAGATTTTTTTTGTTGGAAAAAATATCGTCTTTCGTTTGGTGTTTGAATACAAGTACAGCGGAGCAACTGAACTGCTTTCGGTAATTGTAATCGGCTGCTGTTGGAATTATGGAGTCCGACAAATATCAGCACTAATTATTAGTGTGTGCCAACGCTGCTTTTTAATCTAAGACGTGGCCATTGCCGAAAACAGGAAAAAAGCGTCAAGAAAAGGCAGCCGCCCCAGGTCGTTGTTACAAGTGGTATTTCTCTAACGGAGTTGGCAAACACTAAACTAAACTACTCGTAACAAAACATCAACTGATGGAAATGGTTTTAATCAACTGAAAATCCAAATGAGAAGAGCGGGCATGCTCAGTCTCCGTCCTCCGGTAATCCCTCATCTACGCAAAGAAATCCATAAAGTTAAGTAGAACTCTGCGTAAGCTCCAGTCGTGATTATACTTCGCTGCACAACTAAATAATTAATAATCGGCGGGAAATAAAATCGATCGCCCGATAAAGCCAGGCGCGCACAAGACTACATAATCACCAAAAACGAAGAACAAATACCGTAAATTAAATTAGAGTAATGATCTTAATAATTTACAATAATAACGGGCAAAAATACATCGCAATAATTAGCATAATATTGCATTAATCGGTTTAACAATTACTGATTAATCACAACTAAGTACTACTTTCAAATCCAAATAATTGTTTCGCAAACTAGCATACCATTGTTATCCAATTCCAGGCTGCTGCCGCCGGCAGGAGGGCCGGTCTTTTCGGACACATCGTCCATCACGTAAAAACTCAGTCCACAAGCCTGATGGGCGTCCTGGACCGACCTAGATTAAAAAATCGATCAAAATATTGACGCTGTTAACTAGCACAGCCACTGCAACCTGCCTGCGAAAAGAGAAAATCTAAATCACAACCAATGTTTGCACCGTGTAAATCGGTAAAATTAATAAATGCGTAAAAAATAGCTGATTGGCATGTTTCGGCCTTGAAGTATTAAACATTTAAGTACATTATTGGCCACATGAAATAGTTTCTCCTTGTAGATTCCTGATTAGATCATAAAATAATTTAAAGTGATATCACACTTACTCGATTTTTGATTCGCAGGCGGTCCGCTTGGCACGCTCTCCTTCCATAATAACCAGATCGTCCGCTGGTTTCCATTTATATTCGTATGACTGGATCAGAGAGCTGTAGGTAGTCGGGTGGAACTTCGTAGCCACAGGACGGCCCCGTTTGACGAAGTCTTCGAAATCCCGATGCGCATACACTGATGTCAGAACGTCCTCCGCGATTCGTGGTTCTCCAGAGCGCAGGATTTCCGGGAACTCTTCGAATGTTTTGAAAGCTTGACGTTTTTCTAAACCAGAATTTCCAATTTTTAATCGCAAATAAATTTATTAATCACCATTAACGATACACAGCCATTAAAGTTCAGATATTACGAAAACAGCCGAAATGCAATCTTCCTTTGGCTGGAAAAATCGTACTTCGGAGCAGCAGAGGCATTCTCCTTATTAATGGCTGAACTAAAACGCGGCCTGAGAAAAGTAGTAGTGCCTTGCGTAAATTCTATTTTCTTAAAAAACAGACAAATTTTTCGAGTAATACTGACTGTGGCAGCCCTGCACTCTACTCACCGATTTCCATGATCAAAAGAAACGGTTTTGGTTCAGCTTCTCGCGCTGCGTGGTGCTTTTTCGACGGAGCTGGGTCGTCCTGAGACGTTGGACGTTTCAGCGGAAACCACATCGCGGGTCGTGGTACACCGTGTAGCGGGCTCCTCAGACGAAATTACGCATCCAGATCAAGACTGCCCAAGGAACTCCGGTTTGTGGCAAGTGCAACGGTCTTCTAAAACTCACAAGTGAAAGTGCAACTGCATCGGCGAGATTTCAACATCACGATAAAACCCGCTTCACCGACTCACCGTGTGAAGCACATTCTCACATAGTCACTCACTGCAGTACTTACAGCTGAGAAGATTAGTGAGAACAATGGACGGAAGCTGCGATTGGGCGCTGCAAACGTATTTGAGCGCTCGACGTACAACAGTACACAAACGCTTCAATAAAAAACCAGGGCAGCTGCGTAGCACGTAGAACTACGTACGTGTACTACGTACGTACTTGATACCGTACGTGGTAAACGGGGCAGCTCAAATCATTATTTTTTCCGTTTTGAGTGTTGATTTTTAAGATAATTAATATTTTAATTTTTAATGTGCTTTCTGAAGTTGGAGATCGGCGGCTTATCGCAAATCACGGATTGAGTGAGACAAATCTTTTTTAAGCAGCTTTGACTGCTTGAGAGTCGATTTCGTGAGTTGGCTAACTTGGCTGGCAGTTGGCACAGATGTCGGACGGACGCAAGGCACACAAGCATTTACGGATAGCGACTTTAATAAACCTGAACCCGATGAAGACATGTTCCAGTCTGCTCTAAACGTGTGTTTTTATTTTCTAAAAGATTTCTTCGGTGAATCTGCATAGGAAAGGCCGTTTAACTGTTTACTGGAACGAAATACAATGAAAACGAGAAAAGGAGCAACTGGCGTGGTTTAAACGGGGTTCACCTGCGCGTTTCCCTGTTGTGTCAAGGTACAGTGCAGCGTGCAGTGCATGGACATATTATTAGCTTCGGCCAGTGTTGACTGTGAAGAAACGATTAAAGCAGATCGTGATTGATTTCCTCGCCTGCTTTCCCGTAGGAAACCACTCCGAGCGATGAATTCGCTGCGGGCCGTAGCAACCCCTTCGGCGGCGGCAGCGATATGACGCCGCCGGACTTCAGGAAGATCGATGTGGGCCGGAAGAGACAGAGTCGCGAGGAGGCCGACCGCGACGACGCCTCTCAGACGTCGCTCACCGTCTCCAGAGCAACTACGTCTCCTACTCCAGCTCCACCGAGCGCGACCGCGAGGAGCCCTACGCAGCGCCCAAACGCATCGTAAGTTGTACAATGTAAATTTTATGTTTTAATCGTCTGCATATTATGATTATTATCGGTTGATTTGTTTGCAATATTTAGACAGCGTGTTCTGAATAAAACAGGTTCATGCTTACTTAAATTACGACAGAAATACTTGTTTGATTTATTTATCCTGGCGAAATGTTGTAAGAAATCAGGTTTAAAGTATTTATTTAATATTTTGTATAAAGCAAGATTTATTAATATTTTTGATTTTTTCTGTTTTTGTTCTGGTTTTCATGGGGGATTTTCTATGAAATCAGAAATAATCAATAAAAATAAAAAATAGCAGTTAAATTGCTTTAACAGGTTACAGAGGAGGAGGAAATAAGTTTGTGGCGATCACGGTGAGCGAGCCGCAGAAGGTGAACGAGAGCCTGAACGCATCCGCGCAGTACAAAGTCAGCACCGAAACCAGCGCCGTCTTCCGGCGCCGCTAGTTCTCCGTGCTGCGCCGCTTCAGCGGCTTCTTGGGCCTGCACGAGAAGCTGCAGGAGAAGCACGTCCACGTTGGCCGCTTCGTGTCGCCGCTCCCGAGAAGCGTGGCCGGGATGGCCAAAGTCAAGATGTCCAAGGGCGACAGCACCGCGCAGGACGGCGCTTCCGGTGCGAAGATTTTTATTTACTATTTTTATTGCAAAAAATTTTCATCAGAATTTGTTCGATTTATTTTGGATGAACAATCTGTCCCAGTTAACATGAGAAGGGAACTGTCAACTGTGTACAATGTTAATTTGTCGGACAGTTAATTAATTTTACCTCATTTGATGGCTGAATTTTTAACCAGTTCAATAAATTTTAACTATTTCAGTAAATTCAGATTTGTTTTATCGGCGATATTACGTGTGATATTGATTGAAATAATTTGGTTGAATTATATTTCGGATTAGTTTTTAAAATTATTCATTTATTGATGCATTTTTCGATCTATTTAATTCGTTTTTATTCCATTTAAATTTGGAATATTTAAGTAATTGATTCGTTTGCGTTGGATTTATAATTATTAATTTTTTGAATAAATTATTATTGATTAATTTGTGAATTAACTGTGCAGAGTTGGCGAGCGCGACGGGGATGTGCGCGAAGAGCGCGGCGATGCTGGCCATCTGCGAGGAGCGGGCGCTGGCGGAGACGGAGGAGAAGATCGACTTGGTGTACTCTGAGCAGGGCATCATCAACTACTACATATGCCATATCTAGTATCCACTACGTCCTGGCCGAGATGCTGCGCGACTACGTCGGCCTCCTCACCACCCTCAAGGTGATCCAGCCACGCAGCTTTTAATGGAATTATTATTCTGTTGTTAATCTGTTCTATTATTATCTTCCCAGAAAAACTGCAGTTTCCCCGTTTGGATATATTCGTCGTTTTCGTGCTGCGGTATTCTCCGTATTTCCATCGGTATCGTTTACAGTGCCATGGCGCGTCGCCATATGCTCGTCGAACTGGTTTTTCACCAATACACGCCGTCTCACACAAGCTGCACGGCTTCATGCGCGTGGCATCATGACACTTCCGATAATAATTGTTCACGGCGGGATATTCCGGCAATACCTTAGCACACGCTGAACACGGATACTGACCGTTAACGCTGTGCTCCACAACATGATTCCCGAAATGTACCGAGTTGTAGAACACCCTGGCGCACTTCCAACACTGGAAGCCTTTATGCTGCGCCTTGATGTAAAACTCCATTTTCCGGCGTGTTTTGAACTTCACCTGGCATTCCGCGCACTGATGCTCCCAGACTCCCAGTGCTCCGTAATCCGCTGCATCGCCGCCGGGTGTTTTTGGAGAATGTGATCCCCACAAAACAAACACGGTCGCTGATTGTCCTGCCGCACGCGGTGCTGCGCAGTGTGTTGGACCAGTTCCGGACCTCAAAAATTACGCCAGCATGCATTACAGTAGAAGTACCATGCATTTGGGGAGAAATCCATACTTGAAGCCCAAAGTGCGGACACAGTGCGATGAATGCCAGCAGATGTTTTCCAGTCGGCACACTTTGTACTACCACAAAAGATGGGTGCATCTCGGCGTCAACAGAGAGAAGTTCGAGAGGAAGCGGGCGGAACGGAGGGCGGCCGGCATACCGAGCCCGCGCTGTGTCAGGCCGCGGAATCGCACCGCGTATGAGGATTTTAAGCATAAATGTGAGGAATGCCAGCTGGGATTTGTGCTGGCCATTTCCATGCTCAAGCACAACGAAACACGACATCCGGAGAAAATCGTGTTGCTGTCGAGCAGCAGTCGTTATCTGTCTGTGAAGACACGTGCAATAGTGCACTTTGGGTCATGGAATTTTAAAATTTTCCTGTAATATGTTTTTCACATTGTTAACTGTTTGTCTGATTGTTTTAGCTAGGGTTTATTTTAACAGCTGCTTATCAATCGCATGCTAGCATAGTCGACTCTGTGAGCAGACAAGAAAATTCCGGACATTGGTGCAATTTGTCAGTTCTGTGACTTCTGTCAGCAGATGCATGGATACGAGTATCACTTTCGATACGTGGGGACGAGTTGTCGTGTACGTTGCTGTCCTAGCAACTAAGTACTGTTTTACTTCATACGTTTTCCTGTTATATTCCTGTCATTCTACCTGCTGCGTAGTTGCTGTTCACATCATTAATTATGTAGTATTAATTAACTATTAAAGCATTACTTATACAATACTTCACGTTTTCTGTTTTACGTAACTTACTAATAGTTGCACTACTGTATTTACCATGATTTTTGCATATTTATTTGACATTTTGCAGTTTGTCATCAGTGCCAGAAATGGACGAGCCTGCCGTGCTTTTCGCATGCGAAGCGCATACTGGATACGACGGTGATTCCCTATTCTGTGGCCAGTCTGCCGTCTATCCTGTACCTGGATGTTCCTCCAGATGGCCGTGCTGGTAAGGATGGGCTACGGATTTTCTATAAATAACTGGATGAGCAAGTCAGCTTTCTCGATTTCCACCAGAATTCCCAGCGCCAGCTGAGCGCTCACCTTTTGAAGCGCGGCACCATTCTGACGATCCAGGTTTATTTTTGAATCTAAAAGATTGTGACAGTGGCGATTCTGATGTCTTGAACAGATATGTCCACAGTTTTGTTGTTTTACGTACCGCCAATAATGATTAACGACGAAACCGTATCCAGATCAATGTGGTCGCGGTTCACATACAGGTCCAGTCCGTCTCCTCGTGAATTGATGCCGACTTGGAAGGTAATGTTGGCAACGCGGAGCGCTAAACCTGACCACACAGTGCCTTGCAACTCTACTCCTAACGAAGACATATATCTATACTTCCAGTTTAAAGACCACAATCGCAGGATATAAGTGTACATTGTGGATGCGCCCGCTTCAAGGATGGTTTATTATACCTTGTACGGATTTTATTCTGGCGGTTCGGCCTTGCACAGTTATCACATTAGCTATCTCGAGCAAAATGTATTCACCCAGTCCGTTAAAAACATAATGAAAGCCGTCGTATGTCCGAATGTGTGGATGTCCGCCACCGAATGCTACGAACACAAAAACAAATAATCATCTGATATGCTTGTAATAAGAAACTTACGTTTTTGAAATTTTGATAATAATTTTTCAGTGATACAAGACAAATCAACTCATAGCTGTTTCTATGGCAGCCACCCTGGTCGGCTTAAGCATGCGCATAGCAAGAAAATCCGTGGCATTGCCGAATTTCTTACCACCGGACAACGATCCTGTCGTGAATTCACCGGATAATTTGCCGGCTGTTGATGCGTACACGATAACCATTGCCGACGCGCCAACATTTCCAGTTGCACCGGAAGTCGAAAGAAGCGTGATGCCTTTCACTCGTGGAGACGACGATTTAAGTAGGTTCAGTACTTGAAATCTGTTGTATTTTTTAGTGCAGTTTCTCTAACGTTTTTTATATACGCAGTTGAAGAATCTGAACCAGTTTTGAAAGAACTGTTGCATCCAGATGGTGGTTGCGAGTCTCTTCCCATCCCACCTGTTGCACAGAAAGACGCCGTCTGGGAATGCGATGTGTTGGCGGAAATGAATACGCTAAAAACCAAAGCGCATACTGGATTGAGCAAAAATCGCTTATGTTTGGTGTGCGGCGAACGGGCATGGAATCTATCGGACCACCTGGAGAAAAATCACCCCGAAGAGGATGTTCAAGCCGTTGATGATGCGTGCTTCTTTTGCCGTAAAATTCAGAAACCGCGAGTCATTGCTCCTCATTTCCTGATCGTAAGCATATTGAGATGGTGTTTCGTTGCTGATCGCAGTTTAGATGGGAGAATGATGCCAGTAGTGTTGAAATAACAATTTCTATCATTTCAGATTTTCTAACGGCTTTCGAGCATTGGAAGCGGTTTAAAATGGTTTATTTAAATAATTTCAGGTGCCGATATTGAGTTCCGATCAAATACAGAATTGTTGAAAATAGCGATATTTCATCAAGTACTAATTTTTCATTAAATTTAACTTTGTTTTTGCCGGAAAAACTGTCCGGAAATTGGATATTAATTCAATGTTTATGCAAATTAATGTTATTTCAAAGCATTGTAAAATGGTCCAAGACGGTTTGATTTTCCACCCTTGAATTTTTAGGTTCATCGCGAAAGGGCGGCGATGCCGGACGAAGCCACCCGCATGGCTGCGCTGGACTTTATGCGGCGAACGGGATTTTTGCAGTACCGTTGTGTGCGGTGCAAAAAAATATTTCCCAAGAAACACCTGTTGGATTTGCACAGCATTATACATAGCCCGGACCAGGCGGATCAGCCTGAGCGGAAGTGCTCCGAGTGTCCTTTTTTGGCGGAAACTTTCCTGGATGTGGTGAAGCATACAGCGAAGCATCAGAAATGGTCGCGTAAGATCCGAACGCCGTGTTTATTATGCGGCGTCGGCGTGCGCGTCAACCTCCGCGACCACATGGAGAGTAACCATCCGGACGAGATGAAATTGATCATGGCGACATGGAAATTCCAGTGCCCGGAGTGTCGGCACCAATTCGCCAGGAAATTCGATCTCAACGTGCATGCGTCAAAGGTGAACAAAGGATGGCAGTGTGTGTATTGTGGACACCGTGAGGCGCAAGATTTGCGATGGCTGGCTTTCGACGAGCATCTGCTGACGCATAAAATTGACAAAAAATTCCCTTGTCTCGTCTGTGAGAAATCCTTTAAAAATTATCACCGGCTGTGTATTCATATTCGGGATTGCCATAGCGCCGACTGTGTACAGCATGCAGATATGGTTGCAGTGGCGAATTCGTCTGCAACCGTTTCTCCTGCACTGCTCGAACGCGTCATCGAGATGATTCGGGAAATAGAAGTATCCAATTGCTAATTTGCTACTGCCGGTTTTGCAGACGAACTTTTGCCAGCTTTGAAGTGCTCGATCCGCAGTGCTCGATCCGCACAAGATGCAGCACCCTCCTACGAACGATCTTGAAGCCGATCCGCGGAATTACTGCTTTTGGCAAAACAGCGAACATTGTATTTATTGCTGATCATTCCACAGGAAGTCCTGCATCAGCGCACCAAGATTTACGCCAACTGGAGGAACGCGCAGAGCACGCTGGCAAAGAGGCAAGAAGCGCGAGGCCAAGGTCAAGCTGGAGCTGCCCGGCAAGCGCGACAAGATCCAGTGCGCGCCCTATGAAGTCCGCAAGGTCAGCGCGGGAATTTACCTTTTTGTTAACAGCAAAACAGTTTTAGTAGCCTAATTACTAAATAATTTACTCAAGCTCATGTACTTCGGGCACCGAACTTAGCCTGGATTCCGATTTTGTGTAATTTTGTCATTAGACGCCTGTTATACATTGTGCCATGATGCTTCTGATGAAGCGCCCTACAACTCCGAGCAACGCCAGGACTGCGAAAAGCACGCAGCGGAAGAGATTAAATCAAACCCATTCGTCCTTAGAGTTCAGCGAATTTAACAGTAATTAGTAAATTTATTTATGATTGAGAGAATTAATAAGGCGTGTAAATGCTGGTTTAGGGAAAAGCCTGGCTTTCGAAACCTTCGAAGATCTCCCGGAAATCCTGCACCCTGGAAAGCCACGAATCGCGGAGGACGTTCTGACATCAGTGTGTGCGTATCGGGATTTCAAAGACTTTGTCAAACTGAGCCGTCAAGTGGCTACGAAGTTCCACCAGACTACCTACAGATCCCTGATCAAGTCATACGAGGATAAATGGAAGCCAGCTGACGACCTGATTATCCTGGAAGGGAAGCGCTCCAAGCGGAGAGCCTGCGAATCAAAAATAGAGTAATTTTCAAGCCATTATTAATTTTACCGATTTACGTGGTGCGTAACAATGGTAGAGTTATTGGATTTCGTCTTTCAGTAATTTAAGAGATTTTGTCCTTCCGCAGTCAGACTGTAGTGGCTGTTGCTAGTTAACAGCGTCAGAATTTTTTTAACCTACGGGTAGGTTGGTCCAGGACGCCCACCAAGCTTGCGGCCTGAGTTTCTACGTGATGGACGATGTGTCCGAGAAGAACGGCCCTCCTGCCGGCGGCAGCAGCCTGGAATTGGACAATGACGGTATGCTAGTTTGCGAAACAATAATTTGGATTTTAAAGTAGTAATTGTGATTACGTAATCAAAAATTGGTAAACCTGTTAGTACAGTACAGTACAGTACAGTGCAGTACAGTTAGTACAGTACAGTATTATGCTAATTATTGCGATTTATTTTTGCCCGCTAGTATTGTAAACTAGTAAGGTCATTACTCTAAATAATTTAATTAACGGTATTGACTCGATCTTTATTGGTCTGATCAAAATGCAATACACAAACTATTAGACTCAAACTCACTCAAAGAAAAGAGACTCAAACTACAACAGAAAAATTTGATTCAGTTATCCAGCCCTTCCATCGTGCCTAGCAAAGCCGCTTTTCCCGTTGAATTCCTGAAGTTAAGCGCTGTCGTAGAAATTCATGCGAACGTAGTTCTCCGTTGCTGCAGGTATTTGTTCTTCATTTTTGGTGATTATTTATTCTTGTGCGCGCCTGGCTTTATCGAGCGACGAGCGATGGATTTTATTTCCCTCCGATTATTTATTTAGTAGCGCAGCGTAGCACTTAGTACTCGTATAATCACGACTGCAGTTTACACAAAGTTGTAAGTTGTAACTGTATGGTCGTAGTTGAGGGCTTGCCGGAAATTGAGCGTGACGGCAGTCTACTTGGCCAGGCCACAGAAAATGCCACTACCTTGGCGTCTTGTGCTATGGTTGATTCGTCGTCGTTGGTTAAGGAGATCCTGGAGGTGGCGGGGCTCTTTGATACGGCCCACATCCTGACCAAGGAAGCCGCCAAATACTCATCCGAAGCGGATGATCCGCCGTGACGGAATATAGCAGTACTGTAGCGATACGTACGTAAAGTGACGGCTTTACTTGTACTTTCCATTATTCACTGTACTTCCTCGACGTTTCTCTTTTGTTTTCGGATTTACTTTTGGTTGTTTCTACACGGATGCGCCGTGTCTATATAAGTCCGTGAGTGGCAGTACTTTGGGGATCAGTTCTCTCATTACGAGTTTTGGCAGTTTCGGAGTTTCTAATTAAAATATCGTCGGAGATGCAGTTCTCGCTTCGCGTAGATTCTAAGGCTTAGCTATGCCACATTGAGATATTAGCTCATACTCTGTCGTTGAGTAGGTCGGTAGGATAGATTATTACGGTAATTATTCCTATCGTACTGATCTCTCCGTCAGCCGGATGAGTCCGATGGTGTCGCTGCTCGCCCGGAAGAGAAGAGGAGCCGTCCGACTCCGCTCATCAGTCCGACAAGTGAGCGACCGGGGGCGGCTGCCTTTTCTACATGTTTATTTTTTGACGTGTGTAGTGTATGACTTTTCATGAATTTTAGATTTTCCAGCCTACGTCCTGGTTACGTACGTGTGTATTGCGCGGCCCGTAGTACACAACGTCTGACCTATTTTCTGCATATGCCGCAAGTATTTTGCCGTAGCCGTAAACAAAGGCCTTATCTTTCGGATATAAATATCATGGCTTCGCATACTGCTCAAAAGAAATGACTGTAATCTGTACAATACGAGCCGAACCGCACATTTGAAATTAATCCTAGGATCTCCTCCTGTATTATGCTAATTATTGCGATTTATTTTTGCCCGTTATTATTGTAAATTATTATGATCATTATTCTAAAGAATTTAATTTACGTACGGTGTCTGTTTTTCGTTTTTGGTGATTATTTATTCTTGTGCGCGCCAGGCTTTAGCGAGCGATTGATTTTATTTCCGGTCGATTATTAATTATTTAATTGCGCAGTGAAGTATTATCACGACTGCATTTTACGCAGAGTTCTAACTTTATGGTTTTCTTTGCGCAGATGAGGGATTGCCGGAGATTGAGCGTGCCGCCAGTGTACTAGGTCAGGCCACGGAGAAGGCCACTAGCTTGGCGTCTCGTAAGCAGGCCGACAAGTGAGCGACCTGGGGCGACTGCCTTCTTTATGCTTATTTCCTTTTTTTCGGCAATGGCCACTTCTTAGATTAAAAAGCAGCGTTGGCACACAGTGCCACACACTAATTAAAATGATAGAAATGTTTATTTGTTCACGTACGGCGCTATGTCGCTGGCAGAACGACGAGATGGTAGAACGACTGCCTGCTCGTTGGGCGCATACGTGGGGGAGAAATAGGCTAATCAGTGGTAATCACTTTCAGTTAATGTGTTTCGAATGTTTACTATTTTTGGGAATTCATTACACGTCGTTTTGTCGCGGCAAATGTCGAGTATTTCGGTACTTACATAATTTGGATCTGGAAATGTGTTATTTGTCGAAAATGGTCGTGGACCTTGAATCGATTAAAAAAATGTTAATTTTATGCAAGATGCAGATGAATTAATGAATTACGTGCAGTCTTTTACACGCCGTGTTGGTGAGCCGTATAAACTCGCGGTTTATTTCCGCTCGTTATTACTATTAATTTTGACCATTTACTTCCTGATTTGTTGTATTTTTTTGATTTTAAATTATCTATTTTTCAAAATTTGATATTTTCTTTTCGCTGTTTTTCTTTTCGGTTAATGTTTTGTGGGAGAGAACGTATGAAGAAATTAAAATGGAAAACATAGTAATGGCTTTTTTTGTAAAATACCTAATAAAACAAAAAAAAAACCAACGCTTTTTATTCCCGCTGATTTCCGCCGAGTGGAAACTATACTGCACAGTGGACGATGCAGCCGACAAAAATTAAAAACTGAATTGAAAACTAAATTCAGTTAAAGAAATTCAACAAAACGGTGGCCAAATCAAAGTCGATACATCACCACTTATTCTTAGGTTTCTTAGTTCTTAGGTTTCTTATATTTCTTAAGAAACCTAAGAATAACCTAAGAAACCTAGGAATAACCTAAGAAGAACCTAAGAATAACCTAAGAACCCTGAGAAGCCTAAGAATACCCAGCACGGTGCGGGTGATCTCCGTTCTCTTCACTTGACACTGTGGCCCGCTGCTACACTTCAGACAGGAATTCCCGGATAGGGCCCGCGCTGAACCTTGGATTCGGATTCGGAGTTGGATTACCCAAACTTGGACTAGGATTACCTAACTTGGATTACATAAGTTGGATTACTTAACTTGGAATACTTAACTTGGATTTCTTAAACTGGACTACTTATTTTTGGGCTTGGATTACGTTTTCCTATACTGTTTTCTCGTGCTTATTCTTTTCCTCTTCTCATAAACTGTTCTTCATGCGAAGGCGACTTGGAAAGGCGCAAACTCGAAGCCCCAAGTGATTTGGTGGCGCAATTATTGCCACCGCTCAAGCCGCTTCAGCCGAGTCGGCCGCCGGCTTAGCCGCAGCTGGCTGAAGGTCTCACCCGGCTTAAGCAGCCGGCCTGGGATCGGCTACGGCTTGAAAAATCCCTCAGGCGGCTGGCCAATCGCCGGCTAAGCCGCGGCCTAGCCGGCTCTCGGCCAGCCGCTGCCATCTCTAGACTGTGCATCTGATGAAAAATTGAGAGTAGGTTAAATCTCAAAAGAGTGTCGTGCTGATATCCAGTGGCTAAAATATCAAGAAATATGAAATATAAATAAAAATTTAATTAAGAACAGCTGATTCGTTTTTTTTTGTTGCACAAGTTTTCTTGGTCCTATACATCTAATTTTTATTTTTTTCAAAGGGGAAAGGGAATGTGGACCAAACGCTTCTGTGCCGCTTTACGAAATCGTAAATAATCTGAGCCGAATACCGGTTGCATTACAGTATACAATAAACTTCGACTGCTACAGTAACTGGATGTTTAATCGAGCCATTATAGACCAAAGTTGTCTCTGCTTTTGGTGAAACGATTGCGGTTACACACAGTCGATTAGCTGAGAAGATAAAATTCTAACTTTGGAAAATTTCATACAGAAAATTTGTGAAGTAGCAAAGTCCAATATGGGAAAGCTAATATCTCGTTTAAGTAAATTTCAAACGGCACTACTGGAACAACCATTACAAGCATTAGGACAACGGATTGTACACTTCTTTGCAACAGTACTATTCAGTATACTGTTTCCTTTTTCTACTGTTTACCAACTTCATCTACCGATACTTTCCTAATAAAGCTACTTCACATGCGCTGCCGGCTGGTCTGTTCGTGACCTTTTCCCGTTCCTTAATTAGCTCTGCCACATTTAGTATGTAACATTGATCAGGGATTTACAAGGAGGAACTACGAGTATTTCATGTGGCCGAAAATGTAAATGTTTGAGAACAACTCAGGAAGATTGAAACATGTCGAGCAGCGATTTTTTACGCCATTATTAATTTTGGTGATTTACGTGGTGCGTAACGTTAGCAGTGTTTTTGGATTTCGTCTTTCAGTAATTTAAGAGATTTTGTCCTTCCGCAGTCAGACTGTAGTTGTAGTGGCTGTTGCTAGTTAACGTTAACAGTGTCAGAGGCCCATGACTGCGCCTGGTGCGTACGGTCCACACAGGACGTACTTGCACTCATTGCTTGCCATATCGCCTCTCTCGCTGTACGTACGTGTGCTGCTGCACTGCACTCACATCCGCTGAAGCGGATATACGCAGCGCATACACTGAGCCACACTTGCTCTCTCGTTCCTCTCTCGCAGTATGACTCAGCGTTCATACGCTCGCGTTGGATTGGGTCCAGTCTGCGCATCATCACACAGCTGATGGCACACAGCACGTGCTTGCCGCCAGTTGCTTTTTCACGCCTTGGCGAACGCTCAAGAGCTTTTCTAGCATTCACATGCTTGCTTAGCCATCAGTGCTTTGTTCTTTCTTCCTGCTATTACGCAGCATTGTTCCCTTTATTTGTACAATAAGGCACACTCGTGATCTCCTCGCGCTTGCCTGTTACAACAGCGTCAGAATTTTTTTAACCTAGGTCAGTCCAGCTGTCCACGGCGGCCACCAAGCTTGCGTTCTGAGTTTCTACGTGATTGACGATGTGTCCGAGAAGAACGGCACTCCCGCCGGCGGCAGCAGTCTGGAATTGGTTAGTGACGGTATGCTAGTTTGCGAAACAATTACAGGTCCTGGTAATAGTTAGCTTGTGCGCATTAATTCATCGTCCACAGGTTCACTGCTGAATTTAAAACTGAAAGCATTTGCAACTTCCGGTCGGTATGTAACAGGGTCGGAATGGGCTGCGCCAGTTCACTTGTGCACGCAACTGTGCGCGATCAGCCATATTGTTGACTGGTTGTTCGACCACAACGTCTTTTTATTGTTATTGTTCTTATACCACTCGAAGAAAACATTAGAATATGATCAGGAAAAGGGTTTTTACTGCTGTTTGAATTATAGAATCAATCAGGTGTCCTCATTTACTTTGTTATTCGATCAGCTAATTGCCCGAGTTATGCTCGACTATTCATAAGTGAGCAACGGCTGCATCATATGAGTATGCGGCTCTGATCACTCTGCCTGTTCAGGCAGCATGTTACTGCTACCCGGCAATGTCCAAGTGGTGCAATTTGCACCAGCTGTTTGTAAAAATCCATTGTTTTTGACATCAGAGCTGCAAAATTTTTTGGATAACTGGAGCTTCGAGATGTTATTATGAAGTAATTGAAGTTGATACTAATTTAATATCAGTCTTCTGGCACAATCGCTGACTTATATACACTTCGTAGAACTTTTCTTAAATTCTGCAGTGTTTTTTAAGCAATGTGGCTATTTTTAGTGCGTTTCAACAAAAAACAAAAGTACTGTGTGCCAAGAGCAATCTTTGCTCTATCGAATACATACATAGTTGATAGTGGCAATAATATCGACTATTCTGGTTTGGTAAAAATTGAGGAACTTTAGTGGTGCTTTTTGCACCCTGCAGACGCTGCCGGGTTAATTTAATTTACGGTGACTCAATCTTTATTGGTCTGATCGAAATGCAATACACAAGTTATTTGAAAAGAGACGCAAAGTACTTACAAGTTACAACAGTAACCGTGTTGCGATGACTCTCAAACCGTCACATATCACCGATGCTTATCATCGCCAGTGCTATAAAAATGGCAAACGGTCTGAATCAGACCCGTTTTTGTGTGATAACCGTTCGCTGTTTAGTTCTGCATCCCTGCTCAATT